ACACCATGAAAATGAGTTTAAACCACTAGGAGTGGTGTAAAATACCCACTAGTGACAGTGAAAGGGATTATACAGCGGCAGGAAGTAGTCAAGCTGAGACTAACTAAGCTCGGTCATCAGACTGAACGTGGGGTTTGTCCTTTTGAAGCAGGTCCAGCCAGCATAAGTGCCCCTCTGGGCCACGTTCCGGACAGACTGGAAAGGAGTTTTGTCCATGTGACAGCACTGATTGGCTGAGTGTTTGTAAATAACTCCTCGTCTTTATCCCTCCTTTCTCAGTGTGTTCCCAGGGCAGCCTGGATCATTTGCTCGGCAGTTTCAGCTTGTCTGTGGGGTTCTGTATTCACTCCGTGATGGTGTGTCTCTTAAGGATTTTTATTCCAGGATGATTCTAGGTTCTGAGAGTGGACCCCGCTTCTTTGTGCCCAGGCGCCTTGCAGGTGGCCTCAGAGGTGCATCATGAGTGTGTCTCTGTAAGGATGTGGGTATAGCTACAAGTTTGATGAACCGAGCTCTTCCTGAAGTTCCTTTGGGAAGCGCTACTGATTTTAGCTGGTTCAGCAGGCCCTGGGAGAGTGTTTAATGTGTGTCCTCTTCTGACGCAGCACAGCTCAAGTCCTGAAGAAGCCTTCCCGGGATCTTTTCCTGGCTCTGTGGCATAACCAGCTCCAGTCACGCAACGTGACACCTGACACAGGCTGGCTTCTCCCACCTGTGTCTGTCCTGTCCATGATCAAGGAGGTCTCATGGCTTGGGGATGGTGTTCTGTGTGCTTGCTTGGCTTCTGCCGAGGCCCTGGACAGCTTTGAGCTGTGTCAGGAGCTTGAAGAGCAAATGAGGAGAGAACGTGGGGGCCACCTTGTAACAGCCATACTTGTAACTAATCTGGTCCTGGGAAAGGCAGGGCTTACTCAAGGACAAAAATGGGAGCCCATTTTGAAGGCTCCGCCGCATCTCCCACCCCCACCCCAACATTACCAAACCAAGGTATCAAGGTTCCCGTACTGGAGCTTTGGGAGCTATACAAACCGTAGCTCCGCCAGCCCCAGCTCCACGTCCGTAATCAGGAAGAAATAATAAAGCAATGTTTCTGTTACACTGACTCTATTGGTCTCAAGGACACTGCAGACCCATGGGAAATGTTTCAAACCTGAGAAGGGAGAGAGAGTGGTGACCTGGTGTGTGTGGGAGCGCGAAAGCTGGGGACCCAACTTCTGGGGGGCCACTCAGCTGCAAAATGGCTGCTGTGTTTTCTCCTGTACCGGTGCAGGTTGTAGTGAATCGCAAACACTCTTGATTTTTAAGTTAAGACTCAGAAAAACAAAGATATCCCTTGAATCCAATTACTAATATGCCATTGCAGAAAAATTTCTCCCATAACATTCTTTCCAGTTCTTTGACTTTTTAGCATGTGTTTCCATTTCTGTACTGCACACATTTACAAACATTACATGATTTCCTATTTGAGTTGATATTTCCTGTGAAGGCTGCCTTGACGTTGATTTTAAGTTGCTGGACTGATTTATATACAGACTGTAGTTGAAGCTCTGTTCCTAGGAACCGCTCTTGGAGACGAGCTCAGGAGATTGGGAAAAGGTCCTAAACCTGGGCATTATTTAAATATGCTAAGGATTCTGATGTGTTGTGAGATTAAAGACCACTGGAGCATTTCCTTCATTTCCAGGGCTTTTATTTTTCTTTCTTTTTCTCTTGAGAAAGTCAAGCTAGGGTAATGAGATTAGGGAAAGCTATGTGCAAGCATCAGCAAAGCAAATTGCCCTGACTGCTGTGGGATCCAAAATCAGTGATACAGAATTGATCTGATACCTGCACATTCTTTTAATTTGAGTTTTAGTCCAATTATTTCTCCATCCCTAGCAGGCCAGTGGAATCATGGTTGCATATACGGCGGGCTTCAAGTAATCATTCTCTGTGGAACCATATTTTGACCAAACTACCAGTTATGATCAATTAAAACTTCTGAAGTGTATGTGAGTTAAAACCAAGAAATAAAAATTCAGCTCAGTGTTTAGCCAGAACTAATTATTTTAAATCCAAAAAAGATGACAGTTACTGAGAGCATAGATGTCCTATTTGGGGGCCTACCATGCTCATTTTAGTAAAAAGAGTTTCTTTCCATGGCTACTTTTTGCTTTTACTTCAACAAAAGAGAGAAAACGTTTCGTGTCTGGTCACACTGTTCAACAAAGACAGTGGGGTTGGTGGTCGCTGTACTTTTGTTCCATAATTCTAGTAGGATTTGCTCTCTCGTTCTATCTCTCTCCAAGTTTGTTCAAAAGGATTCTAAATATGAAAATATAAACTTAGAGAAAATATGTTTACTCAAGGTGATATAATAAGGCGTTGAAATAATGGAAGTGATGAATATTGATTATCGATGCAATGTGATCACTTTGTTTTTAGAAAAGCTCTTTAGAAATCTAAACTGCATGGCTAATTGCCCATCTCAAAATATAGTAAGAACATTAAGAGAAATCACACCAGAAGGAAAAAAGAGTCACTCATTCCCCAGCCTCCTGATCAGTCAGATGCTTTTTGTCTTGTTCCATTATGGCTCCTTTCCCTACATTAATTTTCTATAAATATAAATGTGTTATAGAGACATGTCTTCAGCTCAGATCGCCTTGACCTTAGATGCCTTGACTTTATTTTGCCATACAATCTCTTCTAATTATTTCAAATGTCTATCACATTGAGTCTTTGTGCCATTATATCCTTGGATTTTTCAATATTTTTAAAGGTTTGCAGTGGTACAAAATACAAAATGGACTTTTATTGGCAAAACTTGGGCTTCACATGAAAGAGATGGTGTGCATTGACTTGCAGTCTGGGTGTAGGTCATTTTATTATATTGATCCCTGAAACAGGTAATTTCCTTGATTGCTTCAGTTTGCCAAACATACTCGCACCTGTCGGTATGTCTGCCTGTAAGGAGAATGAATGACTTTTCCTCATCCCAGACTTGCTGGCTTTCTGCTTGCCCTTGCATCTGAAGAGGTTTCAGTTAGGTTTTCCTCCCTGTATGACTGGAAATCAGGGAACTGTGAGTTGGAGTGAACTGCGTAGATGGAATCAGAAATCACGATTCCCTCCACTCGCCTCCTGATCTCTCATTGATGCAATACCATATATTCAAGGAAATCCAGTGATGTTCTGTGTTTTGCCAAATTGCTTTAATTTTGTTTCAAAATGACCACATTATTTCAACATTGATTTCAGTTTCCTCTTAGGTGAGAGGGCCAACCTACTTGATCGTACCCTAAGCAAATCTATCCTCTCTCTTCAGTAGTTCAGTGGTTGCTGATGGTTAAGAAAGCCAGTGTTCACAGAGGAGCATTTGCTCTGCATCCCAAAATTCTTGATCACTGCAAGCAAACAGATGAGAACTAGTAATAGCCTGGTTTTTTCAGGCTCAATTCCTACGATGTGACTCCTTTCATCTGATTAACTCTGTCCCAGCAGCAAGAAGGCTACCAAGGGAGAGATGACGAATCTGAGTGGAGCATATTGGGGGTGGGGGTCAGTGTCGACATAGGGGCATTTTGAAGGGAGGAACAGGGGTTTGTGAGGGCAGGCTGTTAACAAAGAGCAGTTCCTGTGCAGTTGGGGTGCTGAGCGGAAGGCGGTCTTTGTTGCTCAGGATGTGATTAATACGACCTCACCCTTCAATTTTAGAACTTCTAAAATGAGGAAGCTTGCATCAGTTTGGGTCACATAGTTTGCAGCCTTGCGGTGCCTCCTTTCTTCTTTTTATTTACAAAAATTATATGTCATCAAAAAAGTTTGGAAAACAGTAAACTGAAACAAATCTCTCATGATTGTATTACCCTGAGCAGGATCTCTGGTAATACTTTTGTAAGAGTCCGGATTTTTGTTTTGTTTTGCTTCATTTTCTCATGTGCTTTAGATTTCTTTTTCTTTGTAGTTCTGGGAATCAAACCCAGGGCCTTCTGCATGCTGAGCAAAATGCTCTGCCACCTTATAAATGCTGAGCTCCACACTCAGCACCTTTTTAATGTTTATTTTGAGGATTTTGCCAAGTTGCTGAGTTGCCCAAGTTGGGCCTGAACTCATGATCCTCTTGCCTCAGCCTCCCAGAGCCCTGGAATTAGACTTGCATCTCCACACCCAGCCACCTGCTTCCCTGTTGAAGAAACACTAGAAAACATGTTTTATATAGCGTCTGAATCAGATATTTTGCTTAGCATTACTTCATATTCCTTTTCCCTCTGTGCCTACCATCTGGATGTCAATTGTGATTTATGCATAATTTCATTCTTCTGGTATTCCATAGTTGTTCTCACCATGTCCTCTGCACTGGACAGTTAGAATGCTCCATTGTCTATTCCATGCCCAGGGGTAATTACCAAGACTGGCCTACACCATGTTATTGTTACTCACACAAGTTTTTAAAGTGACTTCATTCTGTTGAGTTTTGCTTCTCTCAACCAATATTGTGCATTTTTCTCCGAGTTCCTTTTTTCCTGTTTTGTGTTTGCTCATTTTGAGGAGTTAATGAAGGAACATGTGGTCATTCATCTCGGTTTAGCTGCTTTCCTTATTGCTGGGACAAAATACCAGACACACACAAGGTGAAGGAAGAGAGGTTTATTTTAGCCTACAGTTTATAGAGGTTTCAGTCCATAGTTAACTGGCTGTAAGGTAGGGCAGCACAACAATCCATGACAGGGCAGGCAGAGGCAGGAAGCAGTGAGCCTCCCTTTCCCTTTTTATTCCATCCAGGCTACAAGCCTATTGGCTGGTGCACCCACACCCAAGGTGGGCCGCCTTATTATCCATACCCAGAACTGCACTAAACCAGTCAGTATAATTATTCACAGCCTTAATCCAATATCACATGCCTTAGATCCAGCCACTTCCCAAAAGCCCCACCTGTGGGTGCATCGGCTTTGAGGGAAGGTCTAGACATAAGCGGTAACACCGCTCAGGGGTGAGCATGTTTGTCTGTCTGTCCTCAGTGGTGAAAGTGGTGCTGGAAAGACGGTTGCTGCGAAGTACATCATGAGCTACGTCTCCCGGGTATCAGGAGGAGGCCCCAAAGTCCAGGTAAGCTGCCACTGACCTGTGTGAGAGAACTTGCATTTGCTATTTGTCTGTCTATCTGTGCATTTATTTATTTTCCATTTGCTATTTAAAAATGAATTTTTCACTGGATGTGATGGCTCATACCTGTAATCCCAGCACTCGGGAGGCTGAGGCAGGAGGATCCTTGTGAGTTTGAGACCAGCATAGGCTACAGAGTGAGCTCAAGGCCAGCCTGAACTACATAGCGAGACCCTGTCTCAAAAAGAAAAAATAAATAAATAATGTTGTCCCCATAATTATTAGAGAAATGCAGATTAAAACTGGGAATTAGTTTTACCTATTATATGAATAAAATCCTGTAAAAGTGTGTTTTTTTCCCCCTTGTAGTGTTTTAAAAGCTCTGGACAGAGGGACATAGTCATTCTCGTATATCAGTGGTAGGTTCGTGAACTTTATGCAAAGTCTATCAAATTTATGCAATGCACCGTTTGGCTCAGCAGTTCTGCTAAGATCATTTTATCAATCAATTGATTGGAGACAGAATCTTACTAAGTTGCCTAGGCTGACTTCAAATTTTGCTCTCCCGCCTCAGCCTCCCAAATAGCTAGGATTACAGGCATGTGCCACTGCACTCAGTTTTTGTTTTTTTTGTTTTTTTTTTTTTTTTTTTTTTTTGTCTTTTTTCGGTACTGGGGATTGAACTCACGACCCCCTGCTTGCAAGGCAGGTGCTTATGCTGCTGAGCTAAACCCCCAGCCCCTGCACTCAGTTTTTAATGTATCCTTCAGAGATGCTGAAGTGTATGCAAAACTCCACATTTATAAAGTTATTTGTCGCCTTTTTTGGTAATGGAAAAGACTGTAAATAAATGTTTGTTTGGTGAAATAGATTGTATATTATAGAATGAAATATCGCACCATCTTATAAAGAGACTTCCTGACTGATGTGAAATGACCTTGAGATACATTATTAACTACAAAAAGCAGTTTGGAACATGGCATGGAATATAATGTCGTGTATCTTTATTTGGCTGGCAGCCTGCTGCATGTCCCTGTGACCACGACTGTCGTAGAGTAGGAAGCTGGGGGAGGGGGAGGGGCTTCTTAGTCACCCTGTAAATACTTTGGTTGTAGATTATGTAAATAAATTGTCAGTGGAACAAATTCATAATTGTTGAAAGAAAGAAATGGAAAAGAAGAAGGAAGAGAAGATTGGCAGTTGAAAGGACACAGGAGAAAAAGGAGACAGCCCAGAGACTGAGGATTCCCAACAGTGAAAAGATAAGAACAGGAATCAAGAGCTGGGCGTGGTGGCGCATGCCTGTGCTCCCAGCACTCGGGAGGCTGAGGCAGGAGGATTGCCGCAAGTCTGAGGGCAACCTGGGCTACAAAGTGAGCGCAAAAGAAAAAAAATAAAAGGAATCAAGACAGGGAAAGACACCCCAGGGTCGGGAAGTGAGGTGCCAGGTGGATCCTTGATGTGGTCTCAGGTTCAACATTTTGGCAGCAGGAGCACCTCCCACAGCAGATTATAAGCCCCTCCCCTTCCTGAAGGCTGGGTGCTGGTGACAGGGTTAGGGGCCTAGATAAACCCATGACGCTCCTTGCTGCACTTCAGGCAGGTGCTATTCATGCTCTATGGTAGAATAACTCTAAAAATTAATATTAAAAAATCAGAATCCTTTAGTAAGAAATGTTATTACCAAGGTCAGTTGTAGACTTTTAAAAGGAATTTATAGTCCTCTTTATTTTAGGCTCTGTCTACTAATTAAATAGTGCTGTTATAGTATGGTAGATGAGAAAGTTTCATTAGAGAAGGGAAAAGCTGGGCATGGGAGCTTTTTGTTTTTTCTTTTTAAGACAAGAGTCTCACTATGCAGTTCAGGCTGGCCTTGAGCTCACTTTGTAGCCCAGGCTGGCCTTGAATTTGCAGAGATCCTCCTGCCTCAGCCTCCCTAGTGCTAAGATTATAGGTATGTGCTACCACTCTGGCACAGGCATAGGACCTTGTAATCTCAGCACTGTAGGAGGCTGAGACAAGAGGATTGTAAGTTTGAGACCAGCCTGAACAACTTCACAACTTAGCCCCTATTTTCAAATGTAAAAAGTTTTAAAAGTCTGTTTGGTGTAGCTCAGTGTAAAGGCCCGGAATTCAGTCCTCAGTGTTGTCAATAATGATGATGATGATGATGATGATGATGATGATGATGATGATGATGATGTAATAATAATAAAAGGAGGTGTGAGAAGAGATGGAAAAACTTCTCTTCCTGAGAGACACTGAGAATTAACTGGCATAGACACACTGGCCAGCAAAGAAGAGATACAAAGGATCTTAGTGAATACCCGTAACTCCAAACTCATTTGACAAAAAGAGCAAAGTTTCTGTTCAAAGGAGCAGAGGGAAGCCGGCACAGAGCTCACCTGCCCGTGGTGGGGCAGGGCCAAGGAGCCAGCTGTCACTCCATCCATCTCTAGTTAGTGCCTTCGTCCAGCCCAGCCTGCCATCTCCTGGGACCAGTGGCCACACTGCAGACGGTTGATGTTGATTCTTCTCTTCCTGTTTTCCTTTGAGGACAGTGATACAGAGCTCTTGGCTTCGAATTAGTCGGTAGCTCAAGAGCACACGCCAGACAAGTTGTTATTTCTGGAGCCTATGTGACCGTAACATGTGAATAATTACGAGTACAGAGTGACTCATAGCTGAGAGGCCTCTCCCGCCTCAAGTCCTCTGTGGGGCTGTCTCTGGCCGCCGTGTGCTTTGCACACTTTCAGGGCCAGCGTGGAATAACAGTGTTTGAGAACTGAAGCCTCCCCTGCAGTATGCCTGTATTCTTGGTGCAGACCATGCTGATAAATCCAGCGCCACCAAAGGGGAACTGGTTAGAGATATGGATTCGTGGGCCCCACTCCAGGCCCTACAGCCACATCTACATTTGAACAAGATTCCAGGTGATTCAAGCACATTAAGTTTGAGAAGCACCAAGTTATGTTTCCATGGCCTTGTTGGAGAGTGAGGGGGAACAGACTGATTTCCCACACCGTAACGTCTGTTTATGGTGCAGCGGGGGGAATAGTGCTTCTCCTTGTTATGGCTGTGTCTAGCTGTCCCCCACAGCCTCAATCCATATAGATGGGGCTTTTTCAGAGGTGGCTGGATCTGGACTGTGTGATTGATTCATGGTACAATGCTAGGATTAAGGGTAGGTGGTTACTAAATCAGCTGACTGACTGGTTTGGCACCACCCTATTCCCAGTAACCTGGGTGTAGTATAAGGGACAGAAAGGATTGTCTTGTCTCTTGCTTGCTTCGCTACCTTCTGCCGCCAAAACTTTCTCTCCTGCTATGTTGTGTGCTATGTCTGCCGTGGAGTCAGCCAATTATAGGCTGAAATTTCTGTGAACTGTGAGCTAAATAAACTTTTCCTCCTTAACTTTGGTGTCAGGTATTTTTGTCTTGGCAATGAGAAAAAAATAATGAGAATTTGGTACTGGGATTGGGGATATCGCTGTGACCGTACCTGACGATAGCTTAGAAGCCTTTGGAACTGGCTTGGGGAAGGGAAAGAGTTAGGAAAGGTTTAGAGATGCAGGTTGAAAAGGTGGAGCTGGAATACCTGATTCTGTACTTGACAGGAGATTCTGGTCAGAGCTCAGAAGACCAGAAGGCTGATAGAAAAGATGCCAATAAAGACCAGGCTTGGGAGGTTTCTGTTGGGAAGAAGGACCTCATTGGCTGTTGGACTCCAGCCAGTGTATGCTATACCTTGACTGAATGTTTGCCTGCATTTTGCTCACATCCAGAGACTTTGCCTGAGATTAAGATTAAGGCAGCAGACTAATTAGTCTTACAGAAGAAATCTGAAGGCAGTCTAATTTTGAGGTGGTGGCTCAGCTACTATTGGGAGCTTTTAGCCAGATTTATGTTGAGAATCAAGAGCAAAGAGGCCAACAGAATGATTTAAAACATTGAGAATTTAGCCAGAAAGGAAGCTACATTAAAGTCGTAGCCTGCAAAGATGGCACAGAGTAAAAATTGGTCACTGAAAAGACTAGCAAGAGAAAGCCAAGTATTTCAGAAGAAGATGACAGAAATATGGCCCAAAGGCAGTACAAGAACTAATAGGACCCCAGCCTTTGCAGCCTCAAGATTTGCAAAGGGAAAGACTCTGCTTTGAGAAGAGAGCCCCAGAGCACCATGTTCCAGAACTGTGACAGCCTAGGGAAGTTGCTCCTTGTAACTGGATTCAGAGTGCTCAGGGATCCAGGTACTCAACCCCTACACCTTGGCATCATCCATGTGGCACTAGTTTTAGATACATGCAGAATGCAAGTTTTATAAGGTCAGGAAGGATTCCCCCCAGATTTCAGAAGGCCTTGGAAGCCACGCAGTGTATCCCTGAGAGGTCTGTGTGTGGAGCTGTGAGTATGAAGCCAGAGGTACGGTGGAGACCCCAGAAGTTTGGAGAAGTCAGGAACATGGGTCGTCTGAGAAAAACTGCAAGAAGGGAGCAGAGTGGGCCCAAAAGAGAAGCCATGTTAGCTATAACCACCAGAAGTGCTGTGGGGACACATGCACCCATGCCCTTTGGAATTCACATCTTGCCACAGATGCTGCACATGGAACTATGGGACTTAATGTTTGCCCTGCTGGATGTTGGACTTGCTTTGTTCCCTTTCCTTTGTATCCCGCTGTTTGTAATTTTTCGAATGGAAATGGCTACCTTGTGCCCTTGAATATTGGCTATGGGGTATTGGATATTGAATATGGAATATTGTTTTCATTTGTACAGGAGTTTGCAGCTAAGAGTGTGTCTTACATCGTGGAGGAGTCTTTGGAGTTAGACTTTTCAGCCATGCTAAAACTGTTAGGACTTTGGCAAGTCTTAGAAATGCCTTTTGCGTAAAGGGATGTGCATGAATCTTTGGGGGGACAGGGGCAGAATTTTATGGCTTGTGTCTAGATGTCCCCCCCAAGCCTCATGCAGTCATAGGACTTTTCCAGAGGTGGCTGAATCTAGAGTGTGTGATTCTTTCACGATGCAGTGCTGGGATTGAGGGTCCTAGGATTAAGGGTGGGTGATTACTCAATCAGTCAACTGATTGGTTTGACACTAACCTAATCCCAGTAGCCTGGATAAAATATAAGGGACAGACAAAGGCTTGTCTTGTTCCTGCTTACTTTGCTACTTTCTGCCTGTTATGAACTGTTTCTCCTCTTCGATGCCCCTCTGCCATGCCACCCTGCATTGGAGCCAGCCAGTTGCAGACTAAAACCCCACAAACTCTGAGCTGAATAAATCTTTCCTCCTTTAACTTTGGGTGTCAATTATTTCACCCCAGCAACAAGAGAAAAATAAAAGACCCCTCCCCACTTCTGTGCCCCCCGAAAACACAGAGGTGCAAGGTGGAGCTGCCAGTGTGCAAATCCAGGCTGGCACTTTTGTTTTATACTAGAGATCAATCCTAGGACCTTACACTGAGCTAAAATTCTTAGCCCCTTTTTTGTTTCATTGCAAGATAGCATCTCGTTAAATCACTAAGGAGCCCAGGCTGGGCTCACACTTGGAATCCTCCTGCCTCGGCCTCTGGTAGTACCAAAATTACAGGTGTGCACCTCCATACCTGGCTCTGCCAGGCCCGTTTGTAGACCCTGATTTGCTGATGACCCCCTGGCTCCCAGGATCCTGCATCAAGCCATGTGGGAGACCCAGTCACACAACCCAATCTGTGGCTGTGAAAGAAACAATTCTCTAGAAGCCCCCAGGGACACCTCTTGGGGTTTCACCCTCCTGTGTTTGGGGAGAGTTTGTCCAATCCTTCTGACCCTTCTCTTTGCTGTGACAGCACGTGAAGGACATCATCCTGCAGTCCAACCCGCTGTTGGAGGCCTTCGGGAATGCCAAGACCGTGCGCAACAACAACTCTAGCCGATTCGTAAGTGCCTCTTACCACCGGCGTGGGCTTCCTGGGTGTCCATCCTGCACCCCAGAGCAGGTGGGAGTGGTTCCTGAATCCTCAGGAGATTGAGTGTCAGTCTTCTTTTTTCCTAGCAGCGTGCTCTCGATCTTCAATTTGTCCTTTGAGGGAGGTGTTATTTTTGAACTCCAAGATGCACATGGCATCATTCCAAAACTACTTGCCCCCTCAAATCCCCTTAGTAAGGCAAAGAAAAGTTGCTGGAAGTGGCAGCTTTGATCCTTTGGACTTGGCTGTTCGCCGGAGCAGAGAGGCACAGAAATGAGCCTACCAGATCAGCGCCCCAAAAATGGGCACTGTCTGCATGATCACACACCAATGACACTGCCCAGGTGACAGGGCTGAACCCACAGGGCCTCCCAGCTGACTGTCCTGCCCAAGGGGACAGGAATGCCCCCTAGTTCACCAGTTTTCTGTCCAGGCAAGGCAGAGTGGAAAACAGGCAAAGATGAGTAGGAAAATAGTCCCTTGACAAAAACGCACAGTTCCAGAGAAGCACACGCTCACCCTTGGGCTTTTATAGATTTCACATCTGACTTCCACCGTAGATTACGGCGGGCACTGCCACATGCAAGAAGCCATCTGTGAGGCTGATCCGTGGCCATTTTTAAATAGGAATTTCTCTGGCTCTGTGTTTCAGAAGAAGCCTCCATTCTGGGAGGGGTAACTCTGCTCTCTGGGGCCGATCGCCCTCCCCTAGACAGGTGCCATCGGGCTGCCCCCACCTCACTGTCCTTGTCCCCAGGGTCATTTGTATCATTTATTCATTTGTTCCTCTTACATGTTTCAGTTCAGTGCCTGGTTGTTTCCTCTTGAAGTTTCTAGGCAGTGAAATAACGAAAATGTGGCTCATTTTCCACTTGACCTTCTTCCCTAATTGTCCTTGTAAATCTGCCTTGTAAAGATAGACTCATTCAGATCTAAACCTCTAAGGCTGGGGCTGTAATTCAGTGGCGAGTTCAATTCCTGGTACCAAAGGGGAAAGAAGACAAATTTAACCCGCTAGCTGCCTCTCTACCTTTCTTGAAGTGCAGAAAGCTTACCAAATAAATTGTTCTTTGTCCTCAGAGGATATTTCAGTCAATTTTCTATAAATAATAGAAGCCTCAGCATTATTATTTATCTGATAACAAGGTTTCATACAACCCTAATGGAAAGGTAGAAAGCAGGACAGAGAGGCAGTTCAGACTTTTTCATTCAGTCTCTCTCTCTCTCTCTCTCTCTCTCTCTCTCTCTGCCAGATATGATGGCATCATACCCAATAATAATGAGAAAAGTGTAGATTAAAAAAATATCATTTTGTCTCTCAGATGGGCAAGCATTAAGGAGATTGATAATAACCAAGGTGCTACTCAGCTGAAGACACATTTTCCCCGAAGAGCAATTTGACAGCTTCTGGGGAACGGGGTGGGGTTTTCTGCAGATCAAACCCAGGAACTCACGTGCACTAAACATGGGCTCCACCCTGTGCTGCACCCTCAGCCTTCAGTATTTTTATTAAAATTTAAAGTGTTTCTTGTTTTTGACCCAACAATATTTTTTAGGACAAATTCTCTAAGTTTCTAGTTGGATAACAACTTATTTAAAAAGATAGCTGTAACATATTATTAAGTTTTTTTTTTAAAGCTGTAGTACAATATTTGCAGTTTATTTTAAACTACATATAATTATGTAAGATGTAACTAAGGTGTATAAATCAAGATATACTGTTATAGTGATTATTTGGCATGAGGATATGGAAATGACCTCAAAGGTAATTTTACTTTTTAAAAAATGTGTTAATCATAAAAATTTATTTATAATTTTACATTTTATAACCCCTTTTCAAATGTTAAAGCTATGAAATATTTGATGCAATATTTTGAAATAATACAATGTATACCTGTTTCCCTAGCACTCAGGTTTAATATATAAAACAGTTACCTAGATTTGAAGCTGCTTTCCATTTAATTATCAAATTGCAACACTGTATTCTTTTTCTGAATTTGCCTGTCTTTCCCTCCTTGCTGCTGTGTTGAATTTCCACATCTCTTGATAGGAGTTTTAGCTTGTATGTGACGGTCAGAACTGGGCCTACACGCTGTATTGTGTGAGAGCAGTAGTTCTCAATCTGGCTGCCTGTAAGATTCCCTGGGCTTTTTCAAAGCCCTACAGGTCTGACCAAGGATCCCTCAAGGTTCTGAATGGCTTTGTTCTGGGTGGACATAAATCCCCACCACTAACAGGGCTCCAGAGTCTGCCCCTTGTCTCCCCTGCTATTCCTAGGTCTGCGTCTTGTTTGGTTTCATTTCCCCCAATGGAGAAGGAGCTGAGCTGTTCCTTCCAGCGCACATCAGAGCAAGACAGCAAGACAGCGACTTGTATCCCCATAAGACGCTGCCCGCCCCCGGACAGCGAGGTTTCTGTAGCACTGCTGTCCTTCAGGATGGTGGGCCCTGGTGGCCTTCTGTCGTGCCCAAGGGAGTTTATTTTGTGGGGCATGAGGTGGAGATGTCAGGTAACAAAACAGACCTCCAGAGTCTGTCTGCCCAGAAGCCAGCAGCAGAACATGCAGGGTGCTTTTCTTGTCCTTGCTGAGTTTATGGCTCAGTCACCTGCAGCCCCCGGGGGCTGCATCCTGACTCCAGTTGTGTAATATTCAGTGTGAACTCAGTGAGCTGGCCAGACGCCTGGTGTGAAGGCTTCAACTTCTCTACTCCCTAACAAGATCTTCATCATTTATGTCCACTCACTGTCCTGGGCCCCAGGAGCGCTTAAAGAGCCCTAGAAAGAACAAAGTTCTAATGAGGAGATGAAAGTGTCGGTCTGGTAACAGTCCGGGTGCCTTTTCCTCCTCGGTTCCAGGGTTTTGTTTCCTACTAGTGGTCATCCAAGAAGCAGTGTTAGCAATGGCAGGGACACAAATCTCCGGGCCTGTGTAGCTGGACAGGGCTTGACTCACGGCAAAGTGTTAAAAGACAAGCATTTTAAATGTCCAGGAGTAGAAGACACTGACTATTTCTGCTCAGTGCCTTGAAACCACCTCAGACAGAGGACCCCGCAAGGGGCCTGTTGTAGGATGGAGGGGGCCCTGTGATCTCCACACACTGCTTCCTACTTCTCCACTTCTCATCCAGTCGGCAGGTGGCCTGGAGGAGAGGTGGGCATGGTTAACAGCAGGAGTCCTTATTTAATCCTTATTTAGTGGGACTGGAACCACTGGCTGTCTCTCTCCTTGTGGAATCATGTGATCGCACAAAAACTTGGGTTATTGTTGAACTGGGAAAAATGAGGAAGTTAGATCACAATTGGTAATAATTCAGAATGTGTCTTTCATTAATGAATTTCCTTGAATTATATTCCCCATTCAAAGGCAGTTGGGGGCATTATGTTTTTGTTTACCAACCACTAATGGAAATCCCTAACTCTCTTGCAGGGAAAATACTTTGAAATCCAGTTCAGTCCAGGTGGGGAACCTGATGGCGGAAAGATCTCCAACTTCCTTCTGGAAAAGTCTAGGGTGGTGATGAGGAACCCAGGAGAGCGGAGTTTTCACATATTTTACCAGGTTTTCCTTTTTTTTTTTTTTTTTTTCTTTCCCATTAGATACTATTCTGTGGGGGATTTTTTAATGCTTTTTGACAGAAAAAGTTTTATTTTGGAGTACTGGGAATCAAACTCAGGACCTTACACTTGCCAAGCAGGTGCAAGCCAAGGAGACTCCCTGCACTGCAGGGGAATACATCCTGGTTGGAATGACAGCCTCCCCCCTGGAAGTTAAATAATCATGACTTACTTCAAAGCAAAAGGAACATTTGAGTCTTTGCCACAAAGGAATTTATGTGGAGAGATCAGGGAGGAAGATTGTAAAGAGACCGTGCTTCGGGTAGGGACCGAGGGGGCCATTAGTCTGGGGTCCATACGACAGCAGGCATCAGCACAGATGAACAGTTGCAGGGAGGACTGAAGCAGTTAGGGCAGTGCTGAGGAACCTTGTAGACTTTCAGCGACACCAACAACCCGCTGTGACACATGTGCAGTAGTTTACCACCCCTGACGTAGGTCCTTCACACCAGCCCAGCGAGCATCCACTCAGAAGCCGGGGGAGTTTGGGATCGAGCGACCTGCCGGGTGCCGTAGAAGTGTATTCCAGGCTGTAGCAACCATCCCATTCAGCTATCTAAAAACTATTTTAAGTACTTAAAAAACATATTCAGCTTTTTAATGTTTGGGTTTATTTATGGATATTTTCATATCAGAGATCCATGTTAGAATTTCCTAGAAGATTGACCTGGCGGCTGTTTCTGTTCGATTTGGTTTCCAGTTTGAAAACTACTGGATTAATGGGATATTGAATAGTGGAAGTAGCTCATGTCCAGTCTTTTCAAGCATACAGACATCTCCAATGACACCAGTTAACTCTTTTAGTTAATATCTGTTGGTTGAAAGTACATATATGATAGAAAGCTTCTGTGAGTTCAGTAATGCTTTAAATTGTTTCAATCAAAGCAAAGATATGAATGAATGAAATCAGTTGTGTGTATCAAACATTTACTGAACAGCAGACAGAAGTATCAAGTGGATGGCAAGGTCCTTATTAAGTAAATTCCGGGAGTCCTGGGCTTGCAGGTCAGGAGCCAGCAGTGTGGAGAGGAAGCTGCTCCCGGTGTGGGACCTGGGCTGTCTCCATGTGCAGGATGAGGAGCAGGAGCAGCTGTGAGGAAGAAGCCTTGCATCCTGCCATGTGCCCAAGGCCAGGGGCAGCTTCAGGGGACCAGATCAAACGTGCCAAGCTTCAGGGGAAAGGGGTGGCTGGGCATCTGGGATCGGGGCCCTGAGGGCGGCTGGATTTAGATGCTGGAATGTAGGGAAAGGGGAAGGTGAAGGCGTTCAGTCGTGATGAGGAAGTAGACGTGGGGCTTGAAGAGTTCAGGATCAAAGCTCAGCTTTTCCCGAAGGCAGGCGGCAGCCTGGCTGCAGGTGAAAGAGTCAGAGGAAAGAACTCTGAAGACGCGAAGGAGAGGGACCACGTGAGGGAGGAACTCTTTTAGATGAAAAAGAGACCAAAGGAGGAGTGGTGTGAAATGATTTTCTGTAGAAGAGAGGAAAGGCGAGGGAGCCTGATGTCCCAGGGTGACCTAGAACTCCAGGTAATGCAGAGGAGACCACCCGTGTGTGGGGGCTGGGCTGTGTCCAGACTGGACGGGGGACCTGGGCGCTGAGAGGGAGCTGCCCAGGGACTGTGCTGGTGACTCAGCGCTGTGGTGTGCGGGAGATGCCTGTTGTGGGCTGTGTCCCTCCCAAACCCTTCTGCGGTGTTAGCCCTGGCAGGAGGATTTACACCACGGGGATTGGCAAACACTGCAGATCAGCCATTCCTCCAGGAGCTGGCCTGGAGCCTCTTCCAGCTTACCATTAGGGCCCTTTCAGAGCTGGAGGCAGGTAGCAGGATTAAGACCAAGAACAAGGGACAGGTGTTGGGCAGTAGGCTTCAGGGTACCAGGGAGCCCGACCCACAGCAGTTTGCGGATGCACTCCCTGTGGTGATCTACAAGGAGCAGCCAGCTGCACTTTGAAAGCTCTCATTCTCCTTCAGCTGGGCAGGAGCTCAGCAGGTGTGGTGTTTTTCTTTTCAGAGGGCTCACAGGTGCCCCAGTTCACTTCCTGTCACCGGACAAGAGAAAACCCTTGGGCCTTGTAGGTCTTATAAGAATCAGGATTTGCAGAAATGACTTGGGGCCACCGGAAGTAGAGTGGACATTCACAAGCCACTTCCTTTGTTTGAGGCTAGGCCCCCAGGATTCTAGAAAACAGGGCTTAGAAGCCCTCCCCGCAGATGACTGTGGGTGCTGCGGTTCTGACTCCAGCTCCATTGTGTTCTGTTGCTACAGCTGATTGAGGGGGCCTCTGCCGAGCAGAAGAACAGCCTTGGCATCACCAGCATGGACTATTACTACTACCTGAGCCTCTCCGGCTCCTACAAGGTTGATGACATTGATGACAAGCGGGAGTTCCAGGAAACCCTGGTGAGTGCCAGCACTGGGCCAGGCAGTGTTCGCTACTTACTCAGGCTGGACTCGAGTTTCCATTCTCCTGCCTCAGCCTCCCAAATAACTGGGATGATAGGCAGGTACCACCAAGTCCAGCTTAATCGGCCGTAACAATGTTAGAACACTGAAGTCTTTTTTCTGCCCCTTTCATCTCTTTGCTTGTTTTCCACCTGGACATTTCCAGGTTAGAGGACAGTCCTGTAGCTTTATGCTGTTCAAATTTTATGTCTGTCACTGTACAAACTGTGAAACCAGCCAGGTAATTGAGCACTTGCATCCGGAGGCAACAATTCAGATGGGTCTGCATGGGTCTTGGGGAGGTCATCGAGCCTTAAAGGGCTGCATTGGCTCAGTCTTTTGAGGGAGCCACAGCCAGGCTCTCTCCTCTGCCCAGGTCCAGGCCTGTGGGGACATGTCAGTGTGAGGGGAGCTATTTGCAATCTCAAGGGACAGGATGTTCAGACAGCGTCTGGATCCCTGGACTGCTCCACCTCAAAGGCACCAGGAGAGTCTGAATATGCAACAGGGGCCCATACCCTGGTCCAGGGGCCTCTGTCCTGCGTCAGGATACAGAGATGCAAGACTCAGACTTTTCAGCTGCTTTTATCAAATTTACTAATGCTCAGAAGCTTGGCTTTCTAATGGCACAGTGGTCAGTGACCACACTGGACAAGAACTGCCCACTGCTGTGCAAACCATGCCACACACACCGTGACACTCCAACTCAGGCTGTGCTCGGCTGCTTTACTGTGGGCTCCGAGGCTGCTCACCGCAGTGGCCGGATAACCAAAATCTGTCTTCCAGCACGCCATGAATGTGATTGGCATCTTTGCAGAAGAGCAGACACTGGTGCTGCAGATCGTGGCCGGGATTCTCCACCTGGGTAACATCAGCTTCAAGGAAGTGGGCAACTACGCAGGCGTGGAAAGCGAAGAGTGTGCGTAGATGGGCCCTGCTGGGTGGGGGCTGGGAGGAGGGCATGGGTTTCCCCTCTAGTTACCGTGGAAGCTGGTCAGCCCTCAGCCTGGTGTGGAGGTCAGGGGGGGGTCCAGGGAAGAGGTGGAAAGTCTCACTTGTCCTGCTGTGACAGAGCAACGTGGGCTTAGAAAAGAAGGGACCTTTTCTGTGCACCTGCCTCTTTCCATCACCAGCCTCTCTCTCAGCTCCCCCCAAACGTGCTCGGTGACATTCATTACCAAGTATAGAGGCATCTAGAGAAATCTTGAGTGGAGGGTTAGGGACAAAGACATAATAATGAAGAGTAATGGTTTAAAAACTCAACGATACATCTCTGCGTGAATCCTTTTTTTTTTTTTTTTTTTTTTTTGTCTTCTTGAGACAGGGTCTCACTATGCAGTCCAGGCTGGCCTTGAACTCACTTTGTAGCCCAGGCTGATCTTGAACTCACAACAATTCTCCTACCTCAGCCTCCCGAGTGCTGGGATTACAGGCGTGAGCCACCACACCCAGCCATGAATCCTTTTCTATGGCTGGTCTTTTTATAAGTGTTCTGTGTTTCCCTAATGGGCCTAGAGAGCAAGCCGTAGAATATACATCTGTGTGGAGAATGCTCCCGTTTTGTTTGTCCCATGGGTTGGGCTGGATGTGACCTCTGAACACAAAGAAAAGTGGGCTTCATACTGTCCAGCTGCGTTTCCTTCAATGACCGCATCTCAGGTGTCCTGATCCTTGCCAAGAACTGAGTGGTCACTTTTGCTCTCTGAGGAGAAATCTGGGTCCCGCTGGCAGAGGCAGTCCAGCTCCCTGTGCCCATCATGATCTACCACAGATGCTCCGTCGTGTGACTTAGCTCCCAGCCGGGCTGCTTTCCGGGCGGTTCTCCGAAGGCCCACGTCCTTTAACCACCCAGGAAGGCGTTTCTTCCTTTCTCAGCATTCTTCCAGGATGACAGATTTAGATACTTGGTAATAAATAGTATCCCACTCATTGCTGACAACGCACTGGGAGTATTTCCATTCCAAATAAGGTACTTTTTAAAAATGTTTTTTTATTTTCTTTTCTCATAAAAAAGGGGAAGTTCTGCTAGCATCTGACGTCTATCTGATAAAGGCAAATTAAGTTTGCCAGGGAAAAGGTAGAAAACAATACACAGAGAGGGTGCCTGTAAAGCCTAGAATTATGGCCTAATAAGCAAGGTAAAATAACAGTGTTTGCAGGCTTCCTAAACTTTATTGTTGACATTTAATGAACTCTCATCAGCATCTGGTGGAACCACTCAGGCGTAACCAGGGTTAAGGGCTCCGGAACAGCTTGGTGTGCAGTAGCAGCCTTCATGGTCTCTGTGCTTAAGGATAAAGTCATGACGCAGACCAGCGAGCGTGCCCTGGGTGTTTGTGCCAAAGGTCTCACTGTTCATTGTCATCCAGAATCAGTAGCCTCTGCAGCCAGTTAAGGCCCAGACTGACCGGCAACAGTTTGTAAAGTTCCCCAGCCAGACCTAGTGGAGCAGCGGGATCCGATGGGGTGGAGCTGGAAGCCAAGGGTACCTGACAGAGCTCTGCACCCCTCTGGTAGTTTTCTTCTATCAGTTCTGTTGTTTCATTCATTTGGCCGTGAAGGAACGTGTCGCCCTAGGTATACTGTGAGTGTCGTTCCTCTCACCCTGGCAATCTGCTTGCTCTCCTCCCCAGCAGTGACCAGGGTTCCCAAGGGTATGCTTTCCAGGCAGCCCCACACATGCATTCTTTCCCCACGTTTGCGGAGTGAGAGTTGGGACACAGTGTTCTACAGTTGCATTTTCATGTAACGTCCTAGCTCCGATTATTTTTTATCAGTTCAGAAGGACTGTCACCCTTCTATAGCTCCATAGCTTTCTGCTGCTTGGCTGCCTTTGGGTTTTTTTCTGACTGTTCCTTTGTTACCAAGTATCTAGACGCTTCCTCATCTTCTGATATTCTGAATGAACCCTAATGAGATGGTTTGGTTATGTCCTCTTGCTTGTATTTGAATATACCTGGAATAAATGTGTAGAAGGAAGGGTTACCCATGTTAGACAGTACCTATCTCTAGCTATTTTGAGTAAGACAGCTAGACTTTTATTTAAAATAGCCATTTATTTAACAAATGGAGATAAAGAATTTCTTTTGTGTTGCTGAGAAGCCAGTCAAACCTCGGCTTAGATAATGTGATAAAGGGGACACTTTGGGAAACCGGTTTTGCTTGAAAGGCATTAAATATCAGACTGATGGACAATAAAAATTCCATTCAAGGAAAGAATACCATTTTAATAACAAAGAGGAATAAAATAGCTAGTGACAGTTCCCTTTTTTGCCCCATGATTAATGGATCACAGATAAGCCTAAGCCATATTTACCTTACCATTTGTTTTTAAATCACAAACAAGGAATTTTGTATTGCTACAGCTTTTCAGTTTCCCTGTCTTCAGAGAGTTCAAATTTAAGTAGAAAAATTAAGCCTCACTTTGCCCTCTCGGAAAATGCAGTAATGCAAACCTGTCTTCGTTAGACTTGCTGAAACATTACTTTCTAGAGGGTGGTTGTTTTATGTGACGCTTTCTACCTAGACTAGATGCTTTCTGATCTTTTTAAATTCATCATTTGTTTCCTTCTGGCTTACCCGGGCACCAGGTTCTGTGGCAGCTCTCACCCTGCTGTGGCATGGGCACTCAGGGAAATGCAAGCAGCCCTGTCATTTTAGCCCCTGGGCAGCCACTGAAGAAAATCTGAGGCCCTAAAGCTGGTGGCTGGAAAGCGTGGGGTGGAGTTTTCCCCACCCAAGTGCTCCATTTCCTCTCTGCTCAGCCTCACGGGCTCCTTCTATGTGCAGCTCTGATCCCTGGCCAGATTCCATGCCTTATTTTTTGAGTACCTGCAGTCCCCGAGCTCTGCCTTCTACTACAGGGCAAGTGTAGGCGGTGGAAGTGTGGCCTGTGTCTTTGGTGGTCTCCAAAGAGGTCTCTATTTTGATTTCTTTTTCTTTTTTTTTTAAATTTTATTTTAAAGAGGAAAAAAACCAACAGAATTTCAAAACAAGATTAATAGGAGGGTAACGATGGTTAATACATTGGTATTGTTATTATTATTATTTTTTTTTACTTTAAAGAGCATAAAACCAAGAAATGGCCTGCATATTGTTATCTTTAGTTACTCAGAGCAGAATAAAACCAATCAGAATAAACCAGTGTAAGTGATACAGGACTTCAAAACACAATGAAATCAACAATGGTTACCACAGTGCCTCTTGTTGTCTTCAAAATAGCTGCAGATACCATCAGACATAGTAAAAACCAATCCAAACAGAATAGAATATAAACAATGAAAACAGAATAATGAATGCAATAAAGGACTTCAAAACAAGCCAATAGTAAGTCCCAAATGGCTACCATAACATATCTTACTGTCTTTGAAGTAGTTGCTCATGCCCACAGATCAAACAAAACAAAACAGAATAAAACCCAACCCACCAAAACAATGAAAGTGATACAGAAAGTCAAAACAAGATATAGGAATCCACAATGGCTACCACCTTCAGAAAGAGACCCTCCCTAGATGCCACACTGCGTACTGCTATACTCTGAATAGATGATCAGACCACCGGCCCTAGGCCTGCAAGGTCGGTGGAACACCAAATACCACAAGCATCCAGCTGCATTCCAGCTTAAGGGCTATCATCACAGCCTGTGTTTCTGCACATCAGCAGGTTGCTTGGGGGTGGGGTAGGGGCCCTCACATGAGCTGGTTCTCAGAGGGGAATTTGCTTCTTGGTGAGGCCTTGTTCTGTCCCCCTCCCCATGGTCCTCCAATGGCCTGCACATTGTTACCTTTAGTTTACTCAGAGTACAAGATATAGGCACTTAATTGTCCAAACAGTATTAGTGCAGGTGTTTCTTTTCAATGAATTAATAGAAATTGGTAGTATAACTATCTTAACTGTGTTGTATGCATAAATATATTTTTTATCTTCTTTCATTTCTGCTTTCCACCATCCCACTTTCTCTTTCCTTTGGAGCAGTTCCTTCTCCTTTCACCTCTGTGGATATTGTGTCAAGGACTCCTAGCCCCATTGCTTTACCTTTTAGCTAAGATCATAAGGATAATGACACAGACAGTTTTACCAGATAACTTAACCATGCCCCATGTGGGATGTCAAGGAGTTTGGGAGGATTCCGTATTTACAAAGCAAATAAACCTCCAGTGTGTAGTGCCTGTGGATAATGAGTAGGCCCTGGTGGATACGCTGTACACCACTGATGGCCAGGTCTGTGACTCTTGAGTGAGAGATGCCCTCCCTGAAATCGACCTGCTCCAGAGTGAAGGCCTCTGGGGTCTTGGATACTCTGGCCACTGTCGCTTGATTCTCCCAACAACCCTACTTCTGTCCTTGGACTATACTCAGTAGAGGATTCCTAGACCTGTGTTAGCATGAAAAGGGGAAGGGTATCAGTGGCCACAAGCAGGTCAGCAGGGTTGGTTTGGCTCACAGATTATCAAAGTGTCTCTGTGAAACACTCCTGTAGAGGATAAACACCTTGTTCCAGCTTTGTGCTTTTCAAAGTGTACTCATCGACTGCCTCTGCTTGGAAGACATACACTGAGAAATGCCAGCCTACCGCATCCTAACACCGTCTGTGCAGTTCAGATTGTCCTTTAATGGGAGGCTTGTGATTTTTGAGCATTAGCATAAGATCTTTAACATGATCCTTTTACCAGAGAGCTCCGGGAAAGCTTTGTGCAGAGAGAGAAGGCTCACACGCAAGCTGAGAGATCGTTTGTAGCTGTCAAAATCTGTCATTTGGAGCTGTCAAAATCTTGCATTCTGCTAAAATCTGACCATTCTTTCATGCCCAGGGATAGTGTCATGTACTTACACGAGAGCACTTTGATCAGGAATGAAAAACCTCCTCTATTTATGTCCCCGGCCTTTCTCTTGCTAAGGTCCAGGACCTGAAGTCAGGTCGCCAGGCCTGGGAATCTGGATCTCCCCATCCAGAGACTGAATGACCCTGCCCTGGGGTGATTGAATAGAAAAGGGGCTAGATGGGGCTAGCTCCCGCCACGTGCCATCCCCCCACCCCACCCCCGTCTTGGATTTCTCAGTGTCCCTCTTCAGAGTCACCAGGTCCTCTTTTCCTTTCTGCCTGGCTCATTCTTGTCCAAGGAACCTCACGTTGGGTTATTGGATCCAGTCCACCCTCAGTTTTGAATCTCACTGTGTACTCAGCTCTGTCTGCTGTGGCCCACAAGGTTTTCCCGTCTCCTCGTCAATGCTTGCTCTGGTCTCCTCCCTGTCCACGTGAAGCCTGCCTTTCCCCTCAGGCCTGGCTCAAGGACCGGCCTTCCTGGGCTTCCCCAGCGGGCGGTGAATATGCCAGGTTCCTCTGGGCTTTGCCTGCCTTTGCCAAAGATTCAGTTCTTAGGAGGATTTTTTTTTTTTATCTGATAAATTATTTTTGACTCATCTAGAATGTTTGCAGGGTTTCTTAAATGTTCTGTATCCTTTCTTTGTAGTAACCCTAGAGAAGGTAAATACTCGATTTAAAAGCTGACCTTTTTCACTCATAACAGTCCTTCCAGGTTTCCTGATGATTCCTTTTTGGTTGAAAATGTTGTATCAAAAAGGGAGAAAACCCTATTTGGAGCCCCCAGGAATGTTTCTTGATAGAGTTCCTGCCAGGCTGTCTTGGAGACAGGAGCATCGCAGGTGGGGTAGGCTGCCTGCTTCTTGGGTCACTGTCAGAAGTCCCAGTTGTGCACACGTGCACACACACACACACACACAGAAACACACACACTCATGAATGCAGCCTCATCTTCGGGAGGTGACCTGTTGCAGCTCTCAGAGTCACATCCCATTTGTTCCACAGTTTTGGCTTTTCCGGCGTATCTGCTGGGCATAAACCAGGACCGGCTGAAAGAGAAGCTGACCAGCCGGCAGATGGACAGCAAGTGGGGGGGCAAGTCGGAATCCATCCACGTGACCCTCAACGTGGAGCAGGCCTGCTACACCAGGGACGCGCTGGCCAAGGCCCTGCATGCCCGGGTCTTCGACTTTTTGGTGGATGTAAGTACACAGTGAGTGACATGGCCAGCGCCATTCTAACCGTGAAGTGGGCAGCTGCCGAAGAGCTGCTTCGGTGCCCGGGCTCATTCCTCGTGGTCATTACCTGCTCCCCGTCCCTGTCCCTTTCTCTAACTGCTTCTGTGGGATCTGCTCTACACGACACGGTAGGTAGCTAACTGGACACGGCAGCAGCTGCTTCTAGATAACACACATAGTAAGGCTAGGACCAGTGACCAGGAAAGGAGGAAATGCACAGTGCCACATGTTTCTTAACCTTTGCACCTTGCTGGTGTATTTGTCACACGCTGCTGCATAACAAGCTCCTCCAAACTCAGTACCTTGCAGCCATCAGCATTTCTGTTTTTGTTTCTGTCAGTCAGATGTTTGAGATCAGCATAGCTCTGTGGTCTGACCCAAGGACAGGGATTCTGGGGGTTGCATGTTAGACGTGCAGTCAGCGGAGGAGATGGCGGAAGTGGCACCCCATGTACAGCTGGTGGCAGGAGGCCTCCGTTCCTAACGTCTCCTTGGGGCTGTTGATCCTCACAACATTGCGGTTGGCTCCTATCTAAGACAGCACGTGAGCCACAAGCCACAAGATTTTCATGCCCTGATCTTGGATTTACATACAATGGGACTTCAGTTCACAAATGCTTTTGTTTGCAAAAAAAGTAATAAAACACTTGGTTCCTTAACAGAAAAAACTGTTTGGCAGAATTCTGTTTTTGTTTGCAAACTTGGCATCCAGAGATGAACACTGTGGCTGTCTTTTCCAGAATCATGGAACAAATGCAGTTCATGAACTGCGGGCCACTGTGCTCTCTCTTTGCCTTGTTCGGTCCATTAGGAGCAAGTCCTCCCTTAAGCAGATGAGAATGAGGTTTCGTCTTTGAAAGAGAAGATGATCAAAGACTTGGGATATATTTTAAACCTACCACAGATGTTTGGGGTTTTGGCATAATTACACACACATGCTTATGTGTACGCACATAGTACATATACACATTGATGACATATCTGTTCTTCACTGTCTTTCAGCACTGCAGAGCTAACAGTACCAATCTGTGTTAATCGTTCTGGCTTTAAAATGCTCTAATAGCAAACCCTTATATTCATTAGTGCCAGATACTAAGTATTTTAGAATAACAACAGCAAGAAATCTCATTTAATTCTTCTGTCACTTAGATTTGTGGCTTAGATTTTACCTGTAAATCAGGTGAGACAAAGAGAAGTTAAAAGGATTTGGCCTAGGTCACATTGCTACCATGTATCTGCTTTAGTAGCACCGAAATTCCTACCTATTCTGCTCCTCTGGCCCTCAGTGATCATGTGAGGAGGAGCCCCGAGGGGACCCTGGGTGAGGCCACCTGCGAGGCCATGGGCTCCAAGGACCGTGTGTCTGCATCCAGGCAGGAACAGCTGCAAAGCCTGGGTGTGGCCGGGGTGTCATAGGGCAGAGCAGGAGAGGGTGACTCCCCTGTATTTCTTGTAGCTACTTCTGGGTAGGATTTCTTGGGAAGGCCAGGGTCACACACACGTTGCTTTGCTCAGATGCAGAAAATCTCAGGCCTGCATGTTGGTGGGTTTTCCAAAAGCCCTGGAGCAAGAGGGTGGTGGGCGCTGAGACTGGAACCCACAGCTCTTGTCTCTGTTCAGGGCTCCTTCCAGCGCTGGACTTCTGCCTTCTTCTCTGTCATCCCTCAGCTTCTCCGTGGTAAGAGTGGACGGACGCCTGTGTAACTGACACTCATCCTAGCTGGTGTTTGTCTAGTAGGCACTTCCCGCGTGCTGGGCACTGGGCTTGGTGTTGTATATATCACTACCCATTAGCTCACAACTGATGTGTCATGTTCTTTGTGTGGAAAACACGTCTGGGCTTTCACCATTCAGATGTTCACCACCTCCAGGAATTGTCCTCTTGGGTTTCTCCCTCATCAGCGTCTCTCACTGACCCCCTGTTCTGCACCCCTACCCCCACCCCATCATCCAGTCCATTCCTTTGAGTTGCATGGGCTTTTCTCACAGTGATCAGGAATCCAGATTTAGGGCTCGCATGGCTTAATGTTGGTCCCAGGCTGAGCATCTTGCCCAGTGTAGTCATAGGCATCCATTTGGAAAACGGGGCTAGTGATGGTGGCACTTCTGTGCCAGGGACCATAAGAGCACAGACAGCAGCAGCACCCAGAGAGCTTTCGGCAAAGCCAGGCAAAGGGGAAGGTTAAGTGCACATATGCTGCTCTTATTACCAGCTGAAAAGAACATCGCTGTTACTAATCTGGAGACAACCCACCTTCTCTGTGAGCTCCAAGGTTCAAGGACGGCCTGGTCCCGGGCATCCCTGGCACATGGTGTGCTGCCCCTGAAGAACTGCCAAACCAGGGACGTTGGAGGTGATGGTTACAGATTTCGTAGTATTGGCTCTCCATGGGAATAAGGTTTTACCTCCATCAACTAGAGGACATTTTCTTCTAGTTTATTCCACAGTGAGCATGATCATTACATACTGAAAGCATGGACCAATAGATAAAATTAAAAATTGTAAGCAATATAAAAAAAGACTTCCAGAGAGAAGCCAACTCTGCCAGACATTAATGGTTTTCATCCTGAAACACTTTTTCCCCTACTGCAATCATTCTTTGGAAGCCATTGGCTTTTCAGAGTACTTGACATTGCTGAGACCTTCCTGCAGCTGCACTGTCCCCTGTATCACACTGTCCTCCGACTGTAGCAGGGTGTGCGCTGTGCGGTGCCCTGTGTGTGTCCCCGCCCTGCCCCTCTGCCACTCAGTGTCTTCCCTTGGGGGAGCTGAGTTAATGGCTTGCTGTATCCTCTCTCCTAGTCCATCAACAAAGCCATGCAGAAGGACTATGAAGAGTACAACATCGGCGTCCTAGACATCTATGGCTTTGAGATATTCCAGGTAAGGCCAGTTTCAAAATCAGTGATGTCAGAAGGTGATGTATTTCCCCGATTGGCTAGAAGTAATTCTAGGCAATGGGAAAAAAAGAAAAAAGGAAATCGCAGTCTGGCTCGTTTTTACCTTCATGAACTCTTCATGTATCTTTACCAAATTCATTTCTCTTGAGTGTACATTACTTTTTTTTCTATTGACACAGCCATCCAGTGTTTGCATTTTTATTAAAGTTTTTCACATGGAGACGTTTCATGAAATCCCTAAGAAATGACTTTTTAATGATTTCACAACATGATTACAGGGAAGTGTCTTTTTCTTTGTTTCTTCCAGAAAAATGGCTTTGAACAGTTTTGCATCAATTTTGTTAACGAGAAATTACAGCAGATTTTTATTGAACTGACATTAAAGGCAGAGCAGGTAAGCACTCCCTCTTACTCTGTGCTGTTCTATTTCTGATTTATCTTTACAAGGATAGATTTCTCTTTCGATAATAGATGCAGATTTCAGGCTCGTATTGGGAAACATACCTAATAAAGCCACGCAGAAAAGCCATATGCCGTGTAGGCATTTGAATCTCTGAAATATAAATACCATCTGCCGCATTTTCTTTCTCCTGCAGCACTCGCTGCTGCTGGCCTAAGGACTGGCTGTCTTTACCGCTCTGTGACTCAGCCTCTTTCCAATCCCACTGTCTGTGCCTATAGCGCATTCCTATGGAAAAACATGCTCTCAGATTCAGAGCTCTTCCTGTCCCCCTAAAAGAATGTATTTTTAACAAAGCTGACATTTTGATTCTTATTCGCGGTAACAGTCTTGCTTATGGTTCTTTCTAAGACTGAAGTGCAGGTGCCACCTTGTTCCGGACGCCATATAATTGGCGTCACCTTCACAAGGTACAGCCGTGTGGCATAAAACAATGGGGATTTCTCTATTCCCGTCTCTGGAGCCCAAAGTCTGAAGCTAGGGGCCATATGCCCCCCAAAAGTGCTAAAGAGGAGGCTGCCTGGAGCCCTGCAGTTCCTCCTCTTCCAGCTTCTGGTGGCACCAAGCATTTCCGGCTTGTGACAGTGTCACTCCAAATTCTGCCTTCTCTTCTCTGTCTCTGTGAGACCAAGCTTCTTCCCGCTCCTTTTTTTGGTGACAGTGCCAGTCTTTGGATAACTCCCTGAGGCCAATACAGGGTGATTCGATCATGGGGCCCTTAACAAATGACATCTACAAAAGCCCTGTTTCCAAACCTCATATGCCCAGGTGGACTTGAAATTTGGGGGAACTCCCTTTTACCTGCTACATTACTAAGCCAAGGTAGCGTTAGGGCCATGTGATTGTGGACGTGTTTTTGTCTCACCTTGGCACCAGTGGACTCCCACACACCTCGGACTCCCAGCCGCCAACTGCTACGGAGTAGATGGCCAAGGAGAACGTGGTAGGGACCAACATGGCAGGTGCCCCGTCAGTAACTGTGCAGGGCACAGCAGAGACTGGCTTTACGGTAGGTGCAGTGGGCACCCATTTTTCTGGGCAGGAAGTGAGGACCTGTATTGTGTTTTTGAGAAGATCAATGTGTTTCTGTAGAGTGAAGTCAGAGAACAGTAAACTGGGTAGGAAGTTTAAACACCAGTCGGGAGACTCCCGGGGGAAACTGAGCAGACGCAGAGGGGCTCTGGGCCACAGCAGTGGAGGTGGAGATCATGGTGAGAGGTCAAAAGATCCTGCATATAGTATGGAGACTGGAGCCAACAGGGCTTGTTCAAAATAATTTGCAACAAGCTCAGAAGGGAAGAGAAATCAAGCAGGATCCCTAGCTGTGAAGCTTGAAGAACAGGCTCAATGGCTGTTTGCTGGAGGGTGAGAACAGAAAACGAGGATACGAAATCACAACTCTTCTGAAGGTGGCGTTTGTGAGGCCTTCTGTTCCTCTACCGGGAAGTTTCAATATGGGAAGTGTATGTGAGTCTGGACCTTGGCAGCAAGATTCAACCTAAAAAAAATAAAGTTCAAGGGTGATAATTTATAGTATCAATTAATGCCACTCATGAAAATCACTTAAGGATGGCTGCAAAACAAGCGGCTGAAAGATTAGGCCCGGAGACTCCATCATTTATAAAAGTCTGGACTGAGACAAAGGCTGCAGAGCACGTCAGCATGGTGCCTCGGTGGCAAAACAAGAGACCAGAAGAATGTGATGCTGTAATCACATCAAATGAGGAGCCAATCTGAATGAGGAAGCCTCTCTTTTCAGTTCAGATGCTACTCTGTCCTAATGTCCTATGTTACAATCCAAAGAGGTTTTGTTTTGCTGTAAGCTGAATTTAGTATGTCTATAATCCCAGCACTCAAGAGGCTGAGGTGGGAGGATTGCTGTGAGTTAAAGGCCAGCCTGAACTACAGAGTGAGACCCTATCTACAAAACAGAACAACAGTTGTATGGTAGCATTTTTATATGGTTCAAACTAAATAAGAAAATCACCAAGCCGTGAAGTATTGTTTTCCTATCATCTCCCAGAAAAAAAGGAAATCAAAGTTCCTGGTGTTTGTTACAGAGGAATTCTATTTTGTGTGCTCCCACCAGCCCCAATATTATTTATGTTGGTTCCTGGTTTCTGTCTTGCAGGAAGAATACGTCCAAGAGGGGATCCGATGGACACCCATTGAGTATTTCAATAACAAGATTGTGTGTGACCTCATAGAAAACAAAGTTGTGAGTATTTATGTGGTGTGTTTGACTAGTCCCAGCTTGGAAGATTTACCTGAAGTAGGTTTTTGTTCTGTCTGGAATTGTTCTAGAACAAGCATGTTAACTACTATGCTTTGTAGAGAGTTTTGACAATTATATTTGTTTTATGTGTATGTGTATATGCAGAAATAGAACCATCAGAGTTTTTTCCTTCTAGTAAATATGAACATGAGCAGAAAAAAAATCATAGAGCTGGAGGTCTCTCGAGGCCTGGTTCCCCCTCCCAAAGCCAAAAGCTGTCAACAGTAAGGCGTCCAAGACAGTTGGGTTATTTAATAAACTGCTGCGTGTCAGCAGGGCGACCGTAAGAAATAAGTCTATATAAAAAGTGGGAGGCATTTATGAAATAGTGCTAGGAGGAAAAGGCAGGGCACTTCGGTGGAACACACAGACCCTGCTGCAGCAGAGTCCTCAGGGTCTGCATAGGCACCAGGCGGACAGAGGATGTGAAGACTTGAATCGGGGTCAGTGGGAAGTGCGTTCTGGCTTCCCCACGTCGGCCCCGTAGGAATAGGGGTGAGGAGGCAGGGGTGTGTGTGTGTGGCTTTGATGAGTGGAAATGGACCTTTTCTCCAGCATTAGATCTGGGCGGTAACCGGCTGCTGGGTACCTGGGAGCGCATATCACTTGTGGGGTGGTATCTAGTCTCCCAGGCACTGCCCTCGCCTAGGAAGAGACCCAAGGGGCACTGTCTGGTGTGGAAGTCACTCACTGACTGGGGCTTTGCCTCCTCCGTGCCGCCAGAACCCTCCCGGGATCATGAGCATCCTGGACGACGTGTGCGCCACCATGCACGCAGTGGGTGAGGGGGCCGATCAGACACTGCTGCAGAAGCTGCAGATGCAGATTGGGAGCCATGAGCACTTCAACAGCTGGAACCAAGGCTTCATCATCCATCACTACGCCGGGAAGGTTGGCTGGGGCCAGGCTGGGGCTGGCGGGAGACAAAAGGGGTCGTGAGGTGCCTCCCTGGGCTCAGGGTCTTAGATCTGTGTTCTCAGGAAGCCAAAGAGAGCCGCGTCCATATGCCTCACTGCATTGCATTCATTCAACAAACAGGACCCAAGGAACAAAATGCCATGTATGCCACTGTGTGTTTGAAAAGCATGAGTCACCCTGGTGCATACAGTAGCTGCCAAAGCGATGGATTTTTGTCTCTCCCGGCCTGCTGAGCCCCTGGGAATACGAATCAGGACCCAGGGCTCCCTTGCTCGTTGTGTGTTGTCATAAAGTGCTCACGTTTTGGCTGACCCCTGGGGGCTGAGTGTCTGTGTAAGCTGAGGACATGGCTGTCTGCCTGGCCAGGGCTTACCCAGTCTTGTACAGGTCTCTGGGCTCAACTTCCATCCTGGCCTTTCTCTGGTTAACCGGGATCCCTAGTTTCAGTCACTGCACAGAGCACTGCAAACCTGGTAACTATTTCAGGGAAAATCGCTAAGCTTCAGATGCCATGGCCCATCTCAATAGATGAAAGAGATTAAGGAGTTTAATTTGTTTTAGCTGAAGTTTAGAAAAAGCAGGAAGTTCCTTCTAGACACCCCCTGGGTCCGCTGTAGAAAGGACCTGTGGCCTTCAGAGCTGGTCACAAATCCTCGGGGCCACTGAACCGAATCTGCGAGCCGTCACCAGCTGACACACCTTTGGGAGACAGCTCATGGGGAACCCCAAACACTGCCTGAAGAGAAATAAAACACATTCTGGTGGGGATGGCCATCCATGCCCGGATTTTTACCCTGAGAAATACATGAAGGATACAATCCAGTTTATTCCGGTTCCTGGCAGGTGTCCTATGACATGGACGGCTTCTGTGAAAGGAACCGGGATGTGCTTTTTATGGATCTGATCGAACTCATGCAGAGCAGTGAGCTGTAAGTACCCGCTCCCCTCCGCTGATGCATGGTGTGGGCTCAAGATGTTCACCGTCAAAACTAGCAGACGTAGTGTCTGAATGGTTAGCATTCTGCTCCTTTGAACTGCTGAGTCTGGATTAGGGTTCTGACTACTGGGTTTCTCAAAACTACTTTCCTTACTCTAATCTGAGCCTCGCCCTAAGCTCCTAACACTTCCTTCCCAAATTCCAACTGCCAGCTGTATGGCTGGCTGCATCACTCTTGTCCTGTTGCCGAGAAGTGACCACTGTGGGCTTGGGTCAGAATGGCCCTTTCTGACCACCTAAGTGTGAAGGGGTCTGGTTCTCTGATTCTGTGTTCAAAGAACAAAGGGAAACAGATTTTTCACCATCCCTTCATGGCCAAAAGCTTATCAAGACCCACGTTACCGGGGTCCCTGTCATACTTGTGAACTCAAGAATTCTGTGGACCTGATGCTGTCTGAGCTGCATACGGGGCTTGTCAGCAGGAGGGGCTTGGTGTCTTTTCCTCCCCTTCTCCCTGCGAAGCTTCTTGAGATCCTGGGTCTCCACACATGCAGAGAAGTGAGAGGGCACCCAGGATTCCAGCTTTCTGAGTTCTTAGTTCCCTCAAAGTTAGGGATGCTCTTGCCAATCTCTGTCATTTCACTGTCACAAGGTCGAAGTTGACTTTCTCAGAAAATGCTGAGTCCCATGAAAGATAAGCTGTCCTTCCCGGGCCCTGGGCAGAAGCCTTCGGCTGCCTTTACCTACCTCCCCGGCGCTCCCACCCTTGTCCCCTCGAACTCACACCAGCTCTTCCACGGCATCAGATCTCTGTTCATTCATAACACGCAGAACCCATTTGCTTTTCTCTGGAAAGGTCAGGCAGACCACAGCTCCTGGCTTGTGGGTTTTGTGGCAGCCACGAGAACGCTTGCCTCCCCAGATTGCTTTTGGGTTATAATTATGTCTGGCCAAGTTAAAAGTAGACTGCTGGAGAGACTTTCTGGAAATTCCAAGGTGTCCACAAAATCATGAGTTTGAGTGTGTCAGATCACCTAATGACGTGGATCACTTCCTTTCCTCGCCTGTTAGAAAGTACTTACTAAGCACCATCTAGGCAGCAGCCTTCAGATCCCATGGCCATGAGGTGCCTGTGATGTCGGCTCCGCCCCGTCTAGTGTAGACAGACAGGTCCACACAGGCAGTGCAGTCGGAGCTGGGAAGGAAGCATACACAACAGTTCTCCAGAGAACTGCTCATCTCAGGAGCAGTTTTGTCGCTGTTTTCTGGGTGGAGATGAGGACACACGACTGCTGGCATCCCGTGAGCAAGGTCCCTCGTGCAGGACAGACGGCACACCCCACCCTCATGCACCGTGATCCAGCCGTGATGCAGTTCACACAGGGTCAGAACCGCGCGCTGCACCCCAGCAGAGTGTGCCCCAGTTCCACACACTTGCCGCCCTGCTGTGCTGCTGTCTGTGAGCTCATGGCAGCTTCCTTCTGGCACGTTCCACTGTCTGATGATGCCTCGGTTCCAGCGAGCAGGGATGTTTGAGGCGGAGTTTGAAATAATTTCTCAGGCAGAATCTCTGCGACACGTATGTCTTCACGGCTGCCATCTGTGGGTTGCTTCCCAAGCTGCATGCCTGACCTGTGCTGGAAGTCAGATGTCTGCCTTCAGCCGAGAGTGTGCACTTCAGCAATGCTAAGACCTGTTCAGAGAAGCAGGTTTCACCCCCAAGGTACACGCACACTGCTAATCCTTTCTGTCTCTCCTCTGCCAGGCCTTTTATAAAGTCTTTATTTCCTGAAAACCTGCAAGCTGACAAGAAAGGACGCCCAACGACTGCTGGAAGCAAAATAAAGGTTAGTTTTACTTGTAGGCATTTAGAGATTCTTCTAAGATCTAGGGCTCCCTGGCAGGGGTTAGTACAATGCTGCTGTGGAAAGGTCACAGGATGTTGCTGCATGAGCTGTGGCTGCTCTGAAACCCCAGATGTACCCTAAGGACCTCAGTTTAATAGTCAGCAGATGATAACCAGCTACTCTCTAAGAGGAAATGGCTTTACACTGAATCTGGAAGAATTTATGTGAAACTAGCAGAGAAATTTTGTAGCACAGAGCCATGTTTTGGATATGGAGGGCAGTTTTCCAGACCAGACCCCAAACCTACCAAACAGAGAACACGATTGGCCTGAAATTCGTTGTGTGGGGACAGTATCTATATGTGCCCCCTTGCCAGGTCTGACTGCAAATGGCATGGCATGTCTCCCTGGCAGAAGGAATTCTTTATGCTTTCCAGAGGCCCCTGTGGGCAGTGCCACATCTGAGCCGTTGTGTGGTGAAATTTATTTTCCCGAGTGGAATTCTGTACAGAGGTTGTACCAAGTGCACGCTGTCATGAAACTGAGAAATAGTCACTGGATCATATTTTTTAAGACCGTACCAGTCATAGTATGGCTTCGGTGGTTCAATGACCCATGTTTAGATCCCTGGCTTTTGTTGTCTGTGTCATTGCCAGCTTGTCACTGAACTCCAGCGCCTCCCCTGCTTATCAGAAGCTGGAGATCTTAGTGTCCACCCAAGGGGCTGCTGTGATGCTTAAACTCAGTAATCCCTCCAGAGCCCTTCACAGGGCTCCTGAAACATACTGACAAAATGCTGGTTACCTCCTTTTACATTCTTCCCTGCACACACACACACACACACACACCCTATACTTGTTCACCTGCTTAATCCTGCATGCACATTTTCCTGTGTATGGCCGGTCCTGCTGGATCATCCACTCCCCGCTTGCCCTCCGTGTGCAAATCCACAAAGCACCTGTTACCATGACATGCTGGAAAAGCCGGCCTCCTGAACATCATGTGTGCCATTGCCTGACCTTCTCGCATGTTTTCTCTCCTCCAAGTCCTTCATATGTGGAGCCCGCCTCCCAGCACCTGTCAGGCTTCTGGGGGCAGAAACCTGGGCTAGAAAGAAGGAAACAATTAGTGAAAGGTCATGGCAATAAAATTCCAATCAGGAGGCATATTTGGTTTTTATGGAAGGAGTCAGATGCAAGCTGGTGTTTTGGGTGATGGGTTTTCTTGTTTTGTTTTAAGACCAAGTCTCGGGGCTGGGGATTTAGCTCAGCGGCATAAGCGCCTGCCTTGCAAGCAGGCAGTCCTGAGTTCGATCCCTGGTACTGATAAAAACGAAAAAGACCCCCCCCCCCAAAAAAAAAAGACCAAGTCTCAGCATCTTCCTACACTGCCCAGGCTGGTCTTTGACTTCTGGTCTCAACTGACCCCACTTCCACCCTCTGAGTAGCTGGGAGCTGTAATGTGTGCCATTGTGCCCGACTCTGTAAGCCGGGTTCTAGGCTGGCATGAGGAGCTCGTGTCTGAAGAGCAGGAGAAATGGAGTAGGTACAGGGTGGTCCCTGGGTTAAGTCTGTGGGGCAGAGTTGTGGGCAGGCTCCAGATGGCATTTCTGCAAGGCTAGGATATTAAGGTCCGCATGATGTTCTGACTCACGCTTCCTCTCAGAGGCTGGGTGAGGATTCACTCAGGGCCGAAACGTCTGGTCATGAGACTCGTGTTCCAACTCAGAGGCCGTGGTCTCCAGGGTTGCGATGACTCACTTTCAAGTGGTCTGAATGACGGACTGTACTGAGGGACGGGGATGGGGCAGGGCTCTTTTCTCCTGCTGTGAAGATCTGCTCCCTGTCTCTTCTTCCCATCCGTCTCCGGGATGACAAAAATTGGGCCGTTTTCCCAGGGAGCTGAGCGAAGTCAGCTGACTAATGTAGAGTGCTGATGTGATTCTCGCCCCAGCCGGCCTCCTCGGGGAGCTGTGTGTGTCCCTGTGTCTGTCTGGGCCAACCAGGAATAGACACCTCATGCCCCTAAGAGAACACACGGAAGCCTCACCCAGACTTGAGTGCCTTCTGTGATCATAGTGTTTGCCAGTGTTGCCCAGCATCCAGGAATCATCCTGATTCCTTGAAGAAAAACGGAATTTATAGTCCAGGTAGTTCACGTGTTGGATATTTTGCATTCTAATTATTTAAAAAATGTAAAGTTCGTGTACACTTTAGATGCTAGAGGGTTTCATTAGTAGAGCATTCGTTTGGTGGAATTTCCATCAACTTCATTGTAAATAAAAGCATACTGTATTCAATTTTAGAAACTTGAGTCCAAGATTTCCCTAAATTTCCTGTTGCCTCTGGAGGAGACCAGGCTTGAAGTTAGGGAGAAAGCTCGGAACAGCATCAGCTCCAAGGTGGCCGGGGTATACCTTGACCCAGTGAGCTGGGCTCTGACAGAGGAGTTGAGGGCCTGCCCATTGCACTCCGTCGTGTCATCTGCTCCAGCCTTTGGATTAGGGTACCAGAGGCCATCTGATTTCATCTACCTGGGCATAGGCCACAAAGTAGATGCTGAGGCCCAGAAAAACGTAGCGACTTCTCATGCCCCTGGTCATCACCAAGCTGCCTGCCTGCCTGGGCCCGTGCATCCTCTGTCCAGAGAGCAAAAGGCCGTCCTCACCCCACCCTGTCCCTGTATGCTGGCTCCTGCGTGTGTGAAGCGAGTTTTGCCCAGATCTTTCTCTCCTGACTTCAAGATACCTCGAGTAACTCAGTTACTGGCTTAAAACCAGTGGGTGAAACTTGGGGTAACTGCGAAGAATGGATGTACTCTCGTCACCCGACTCCCCTGCTGAATCAGTGCCTGCTGCACTGAGCTCTTCCACACCTCCGTGAGGGAGGAGGATAGCACTGTGGCTGAGAGACACAAGCTTAGCCGGGCCTTGTGGCTCACGCCTATAATCCCAGCACTCAGGAGGCTGAGGCAGGAGGATCGTTGTGAGTTCGAGACCAGCCTGGGCTACAAAGTGAGCTCAAGGCCAGCCTGAACTGCATATCGAGACCCTGTCTCAAAAAGACAAAAAAAAAAAAAAAAGACACAGGCTGAGTTCAAGTCTTACTCTGCTGCTTACTGATGGTGTTACCTCAAACCATCCTTTTTTCTGTTTTCTGACAAAACAGGAGTAACAAAGGTAGCTGCCACTTAGGGTTGGTGTGAGGTGGGTGAGGTAACCCAAGATAACCCATGTGCTTCCCCAGAAGTGCACACTCAGTAACTGTTCGGTGACCTTTCCAACCCAGAGACAACTATACTCAATGGCGGTGACCTCTGCATGCTTTCTTATGCTAGAGTGAGAAGCCCTTATGCTGCTAAGTGCTCAGGACAGGCGATGTTTGGAAATTAAAAGGTTTCATTAAATAAAAGATGAGAGCTGGGCGTGGTGGCGCATGCCTGTAATCCCAGCACTCGGAGGGTCTTTGTCAGTTCGAGGCCAGCCTGGGTTACAAAGTGAGCTCAAGGCCAGCCTGAACTGGATAGTGAGTCCCTGTTTCAAAAAGACAAAATAAGTAAATGATGAGAATCTAAAGCTAAAGTTTAACACATTAAGTTTGGAGATTTGGGAAGGCTTCTGCGGTGCCTCTCCAGCTGAACCTTCCCGTCATAAACATCCTCAGATGTGTGTTTAGGGGCTGTGTCATCCCAGGGCATGAGGTGGGGGGGCAATCACCTCATCAGAGGGCTTCGCCTCGGGCAGGCGGCCTCCGCAGCTCTGCCCCCACTTCAGGCATCACAAAGATCACTGTCATCAACAGAACTGAAGTCACCAGTGAGCATCGAGCTGCGAGTCCGCCCCATGGTTTTCGCCAGGGTTCAGGTTTTCCACACCCGTGGGAACAGCAGAGCCCTCAGCCAGAGGGTGGTCTACCACACGCGCATCCCGTCTGCTGACTTGGACGGTTTTTGGGCTTTGGAGCTTGGTTTTTGGTGTTTCCTTTTGGAGGCTTTCTCTCTGGTTGCCCATCTGCCTGGAAGGAGGGTTTGCATTTGTGCCACGTGGTGAGAAGCCCGATGTGTGTGGGGCTCTGCACCGTGCACACACAGTGCAGTTCCTCCATGCTGATCCCATCCCAAGCAGTTTCAGCTTCCCGGGTACGGCTCTTTCTGCTTGAGCTCAGCTCTGTTCGGGGCACTGATTGCAATGGGCCTCAAGCAATATAAATTAACAGCCGAGGTGATTCCCTGTACCACGTGAAAATAATTGTATGTGAAGGTTTACTTGGAATTTTTCCTGCATTTTTCTTATTGCTTTATTTCTTTAGCTTCATTGCAGATGCCTGGTTGCTTTCATCAAGCACATTTCCATTTAAGAGTGATATAGTCATCAGGAAAGTCAGCAGGGCTTCCCAAATGTGTAGTAGTCCTGACTCAGGCTTGATGCACAAACTGGTACGGAGATAAATTTGTAGCTCTCTGTTTCCACTCCGGAGTCTCGCACATCTCTTTTGAAGGTTGGTCTGCTTTAGAGACGGTTCTGGATCTCTAACACATGTCCTTCTTCCTGTCTAGAAACAAGCCAATGACCTCGTGAGTACCCTGATGAAGTGTACGCCTCACTACATCCGCTGCATAAAACCGAACGAAACCAAGAAGCCCCGAGACTGGGAGGAAAGCAGGTAAGTTCCCACCAAAGGCAACGAGGAGATGGCTGGTTTGGGTGCTGCACAGTCCCCTTGAGCCTGAAGGGAGTTTCCTGTGACCTGGGCCCTAGCAGTTTTGGTCCTGCTCCCAGGCTTTGCTGTATACATCCTGTCTTGCATTTTTCAGGACAAAGCCGATGTATTCCTTCCCTCTTTGTCTTCTAAAATGTGATCAGGACCCTTCAGTTTATAATCTACAACTTGCAATGCAGATCTTGGCCAAGCCAGGAGCAAGTGGAAAGATAAAGGAGACCCTCATTGCTGCAGAGCAGTCGTGGCTTTCAGATTAGCTCAAGGTTCCGAGGAGACCTTGGCGCACTGGCTCCTGGCCGGCACCCACCGTGCTCAGCTCAAAGTGTATAGGAAGGAGCAAGTGGCGAGTTACTGAGGCTCAGGGAGATACAGGGCCGTCCCTGAAGGCCTGGAATTCTGCCCTCATACCACGTGGCCACCAGGAAGCCCGTGGGGAGCAGTCACAGCTGCAGAGAGTGCATTCAGCGCTCAGGGACAGGACCCTGTGATGACCTGGGGTGCTGAGCTGGAAGGGGGCGCCCCCTAGCATGGCACCTCCGGCTCCAGACAGCTCTGCTCCTTGGCGGCTGCCGTCCTCCTCTGGGTCACCTGGTCCTGACCCTGGGTCTCTGATCCCCTGCAAATCTCGTTCTGGGGACTTCTCTGCTTGGCAGTCTCCTGCAGGGTGACGCTGCCCCAATACTTCCTCCAATCCTGGGCATGGGCTGCCCACGTGCGGTTCACCATCCGTTCCTCTGTGCCCTGGAATTGTACTACTCCATGTTCTTAATTTATCCTCTGCTTTTCTTTGGTTTGGTTTTACTGGGTGGTGTTGTGTTTTGTTTTGACTTGAGAAAGGGTCTCTCTCTGTAGCCCAGGGTGGCCTTTAACTTACAGCAACCCTACTGCCTCAGCCTCCCAGGTGCTGGGATTACAAGCTTATACTACCACACCCAGCTGTACCCTGCTTTTCTGAACCACATGACTTGGTTTCTCCTTTGAGGCTAGGACAGTAGCTGCACTGTTCTCTCTACCCTCCTAAGATTCTGAATGCTTCTCCAGCCTGAGTGTGAGTCAGAAGCCCCTGAAGGACTGTGAAAACCTACATAGTCCCTGACTTCCTGACTGCATTTTAAAAACCTTCAGTGGTGCTGGTGACGATGCCCCAGGCACTCACTTTGAGAACCTGGCTGGTCTGGAGCCAGGAGGAGTGCCAGAGTTCGGAATAGCTGTGTCCTGGTGCCAATCTGCCCTCCAGAGCTAAACAGGTCGGGTCTGCTCCCCGAGGCCCTTGGCATGAAGGAGTGTCATAGGCGACCTCACAAGTAAGCGGCAGGCATCTTAGGAGCAGAGTTACTGCCGAGCGGCCCCCACCTCACACTGTCCCCCCACTTCCCAGCCAGAAACCTTAAGTGAGACTGCCCCGTTCTCCCTGCCCAAGTGGAGTGGCCTGGTACCCCTCCCCTCTCCAGGCCACTAAGCCCCTGTGATCGAGAAAGCGTGGGGCAGCGTCTGCTGGGAGGGGTCCCCACTCTGTGCTTCCTTCTCATCAAATCCAGCCTGATTCACTGGCATATCGGAAGACAGAGAAAGGAAGGCAGCCATGAATTTTATTCAGCAAGTCCTCAGAGCCTCTCCTGGTAGTGTTTTCCCCTCCCTCCCACTTTCTTTCTCTCCTTTTTTCCCCTTCTTCCTTTTCTCCTCTTATTTGAATTTCAGCAAAGAATGTGATACCGTACTATAGGTTCATGTAAGTGGGTTTAAAGAAGCTCAAGTGTTCTTTGGACAGTATTGACTGGGTTGGTGCTTCCTCTAGGCTGACTTCCTGGGACCCCCGGATTCCAGGTGCAGATGTCTTAGCAAATGGCTGAGCTCCAGCCCAGTGCGGAACAGTAATCTCTGGTGCAGGTTTCTGCCCCATCGGCGTCCTTGGCAGAGAAATTTCCTCATCCCCCCCGGGATTATGGACCATGGGGTTTTCTGTTTCTGGTTGCAGATCAGATTTGTTTGGTTTCTGGCTGAGCTGCTTGCCCTGGATTCAGAATTGCTACCCTCGGGGAGTCCCAGGCCTTGGCCTGCAGGAGTCTGTGGCTGATGACTGTTTGGAAATGATGCAGAAATGACTCTTCCCCAGAGATAGAAATGTCACAGCGTGGGGTCAGCCAGATTGTGCTGGCTCATGTCTAGTGAGGAGGTGACAACACCCCTTGGAGTTTCAGAAATCACCGTGGGTCCTTGGCTGCTGGCAGGCACACCCCAGTTGCTAGACTGATTGTCCTGCTGAAGGAGGTTTCTGAAAGGAAATTTCTCGATATGGGAGTAGTGGTGAATGAGAGGTTTTGACCCATGTGCTTCATGGGAAAGGAGCATTTCTGCCTGGATCCACAGGTTGTGTGTTCCTGGCCTCAAAGCTGAGAGTGGAGCTAAAATGGGTGCAGAATCCTATCCAAAGAGCCGAGCTCCAGGATGGGTATTCAGTGTGTGTTTCTCTTAGGCCAGGGTCAGTTGTGGATTTGGAAGATAAGGAAAAAGAAAACGACCTCTTTTCTTGAATGAGATTTGCACCCCTTAGTTGAACAGTCCTCAAACTCTGCCCCTCTCTCCACCTACACCCCTCAAATGTGGGTGTGGACCATGCCTTCATTTACAGGACTTTAAAGCATTACTTTGCTCGAAGGAGTTCACTTTTCTAGCTGTCAGACTTGAGACTGGCACCAGGGCAGCTCAGCTCTGCAGTGCCTGCCCCAAACCCTGTCCTTCGTCCCTGCACTGCTCAGCTCCTGCAGTCCAGTGTCCCCTTCCTGTGCCTGCCCCATCCCAGGGCCCTCTGCTTCTTCCTCTGCACATGGTGAGCTCATGTTGCCCTCCAGGGCCACTCTGGAGAATCCTCCTCCTGATGGGAAAACTCCAGGTCCGTCCCCGCTCTGCTGTCCTGGTATACTTACAGTGTATCACTTCACGTCACTCACACCCCAGAACTAAGTACTTGGGGTGCACAGTACCAGCTAGAAATCAAGAGTTGGCGTCTGCCTTTGTTTCACAGCAGAGGGTACTGAGGCGCAGAGCAGCCCCACAGCAGCGGAGTCCAGGCTGCCCTGGAAACCCGGCCACAGTAGCAGCCCTGGCAGGAACCCCGACCCTGGCCTTGTCACTATCCCTAGAACCGTGCACAGGCCGGCGTGCACCAGTACATGACGGCGTAGATGGAAATGATGGTTTGCCGAAGAGCCTTGCTGGATGACCACAGTCGGGATCCTGTGTGAAACGGGTGCAATCTGGTCATCGCTGTTTTACAGCAGATCTAGGCCCTGCTCTCTGGGGCCCATTGTATTTATCAGCTGTCCATCCTCGTGATTAGATGTCCAGAGTGAGCAACTTAGAGAAGGAAAGCTTTATTTTAGCTCATGATTTCAGAGGGTTTGGTCCATGGTCAGCCAGCTCCTGCTCCAGGCAAGCTCCTGTGGCAGACAAGCAGGATGTGGTGGTGGGAAGCTGCCCACCTCTTCCTAGCAGCCAAGGAGTAGAAAGGGGAAGGGCAGGAACCTGCAACACCCTAAGACCCCTTTCAGCTATGCCCTATCTCCTTTCTCCATCACCTTGCAATATGCCGCCCCATGCCGATCGCAGACACAGATTAACCCACCAAGCCAGTTAAAGCCTTCACTACCAGTCACTTCCCAGAAGCCCACCAGGAACCGAGTGTTCAACACTTGAGCCTTTTTGGAGATTTTGAATCCCAGCTGTGACACCTGTCATTGGCACTGTTCTCCCCCATTTTTCCAGAAAGGGAGCGTATGAGGACCTGACTTCCTACCACAGTGCAGTTCCTACATGGCACCTGCAAAAGAATTTTCACAGATGACACCTTTCCCAGGATCTGTTCAGCCAGTCTGTATAGCATGCAGCCCAGAACCAGTTCCCAGGACGTATGAGCACATGGGTGTTCAGCGTCTGACCCTGGAGTTCGGGGAACTGCTTCTCATTGGGGGGGAACCCACCGTGTTACCCCCAGACCTGCCATACCTTTTAATACCAGCACCTCCAAGGCAGGGGCTCTTTTTCTCATATGAAAATACCCATATGCAGGAATATCCGTCTAGCATTCTTTCTGCTTCCATTTTCCAAAATACATGCTAGATTGTTAACTGTTAAAGGCGCTTAAATCTGTAATTTGAATGTATTTGTAAATTTAGACACTTAAAATTAATACCTTCATATACTTTTATTTACTTACATTAGAAAAATCCTAAAAGTATAGTCTCATTGAGTCTGGAATCAATATTAAATTTAAGATTCAGTAACAGAACAGCATCAGCATCTCTTAATGGAAAAGTTAAAATTCTTTCCATGCATAGTAAGTTCAAGGCCAGCCTGGGCTACAGAGCCCATATCAAAAATAAAACAAACAAACAAACAAAAAAACATAGAAGTCCCGCTGTTTTAATTTATTCTCTAAATGACAGGTATAGGGGGTTGGTTGGTTGGTTGGGAAGGGCCAGGCTTTGAGCTCTATCCCCAGGGCCTGCCCTGGACCTGCCCTGAGCTATATCCCCAGTCTTCTTTTAATTTTTATTTTGAGACAGGGTTTTGCTAAGTTGCCCAGGCTGTGCTAGAACTTGTGATGCCCTTGCCTGAACCCTGGTAGTGCTGAGATTACAGGGAGGTGCCAGCTTTTATTCTTTCTTTCTTTATTTACTGTGGGGCTGGGCCTCACTGTGTTGCTCAGACTCAACTTAAGTGGCTTGGACTATAGGCACAATACCACCATGCCTGGCTTTAGCTTTTATTTTATTGTCATTCTCTGGAATTGATGTGTAATATCTTCTTGGGGGGGGGTATCTTTTTGAGACAGTCTTGCTATGCAACTCAGGCTGGCCTTGAGCTCACTTTGTAGCTCAGGTTGGTTTTGGGTTTTTTTTTTTTTTTTTTTTTACTACTATGGGATTCATTGGGACTCGGGTTGGTTTTGAACTCACAAGGATCCTCCTGTTTCAGCCTCCTGAGTGCTGGGATTATAGGTGTGCACCACCACACCCTGCTTGTGATATCATCTTTTTTTTTTTTCTTTTTTCTTTTTGAGACAGGGTCTTGCCATGTAGTTCTGGATAGCCTTAAATTGATTTTGTGGCCCAGGCTGACCTTGAACTCACAGGAGTCCCCCTGCCTCAGCCTCCTGAGTGCTGGGATTATAGGCATGTGCCACTACACCCACCTGTGATATCTTCTCATATGGTTGCTATATAACTGTAGTATTGAATAATATATTTTAAATTTAATATTACCTGAGAGGTCATCTTAGTATCTGAACACTACAGATTATAGTCTTTTTTAATATGTGTTTCCCTGCAGGTTGCAACAAAGGGCTGAAGAGGTGGTCAGCAAGTTGGTGGTGCTGGTGGGTGGGGGGTTCTCCTGTGCTGGGCTCCTGATACCAACAGTCACATGTGTGTCCCCTGTGACCAGTCTCTTTAACATACCACGGTGTTTTGTATTTATCCACTGCTGTGTGTTGTCGGGTCATCTTATCCAGTGGACATACCACATTTCACTGGCTCGTTCATTGACCGCCTGGCACCTCTGCCTTTCAGAGTCAAACATCAGGTGGAATATCTGGGTCTGAAGGAAAACATCCGCGTGAGGAGAGCTGGTTACGCTTACCGGCGTGTCTTCCAGAAATTCCTGCAGAGGTAAGGAAAAAAAAGTGACTTCAAACTTTTTTTTAATGTACCCACTTAAAGTATGTGATTCAGCAACTCTTTTCTTGTACTGGGAATTGAACCTAAATTGCCCCCACTCAGATCAAACTTGCAGTCCTCCTGCCTCAGCCTCCTGGAGTGCTGGGATTACAGATGCAGGCCTTCATGCTGGCTTTTCAACATCTTTTAACAGTGTTGCATAGCTAGCACAACAGTTGATTTTAGAAAATTTTCTTACTTGAAAAAGAATTCCTGCTCTTGTTAGTTGTCAGCCTTCTTTCCTGCCCCTGCCTTAGGCCTTCCCTAATCTACCTCCTGTCCTATAGATTCGTCTGTGCAGGGATCTTCATATAGACAGACCCTTGTGTGTGCTCGAGTTGCACTGACTGCTTTGACTTACCATGTTTCCAGGAGTCACCTATGTTATTGATACAGGGGCAACACAGGATCTGCAGATGATACAGGGGAAATACTGTAACTCCCGACCTGCTAGATGTTGGATACACCTGAGTCCATGGTCCCCAGAACTGAAGAATGAATTCTGAAGAACAGTGGAGGTTAAGAGTAGGAAATACCTGTTAAGAACTCCTTAGGAGTTCTTCTAAGGGGCAAGAGGGCCCTGGGTGGGGTGCCGACACGCCCATGGCCCAGAGGAAGCTACATTAAGTAAAATCACAAGGTGGTGCAGTGTGGGACAAAACTGTGATCAGCCAATGACATAAAAGTCTAGTGCTTAGGTAACACTAATCCAGTGGAGAAAAGCAGGTCTCATAGCAAGTGTGGAAGAACAAAGAGTCTTCGGGGAAGGATGGGTCCAACCTGGATGACTGATGTCCAGCTAGACTGTTGGACCAGGTGATACCACTAATCTGTTCCCTCGGGGAGGCAGGTAGGCCCGGTCGGTCAGTCCGTCTTCATCTTGAGGCCTGGCCTCCAGGAGATGGGCCTCTGGTCACAGCTGTAACGTGTTTTCATCTTTCACATTGATTCTCTTAAGGGCCTGCCCTGTGTGACTGCCTGGAATATTTCTGCTTCACTTAGATCCTGTGACTGTCTTTCCATTCCTGCGTGGCTGAGCACAGCTGTTACCCAGGCTTCCCCCTCCTCTCCCGCTCATTCACTGCTTGGTAAACACCAGTTGTTCATGCTGTGAATGATGCTGCAGTAGAAATCTATGCCCTGGTTTTGTGTGGACATGTGGTCGCAGCACACCGGCAAGGGGAGCTGCTGAGGCGTCTGGAAGCTCTATGTTAACCTTTTGCAGGAAGTGCCAGGTTGTGTTGGAAATGAGCCACTTGCAGTCCCACCAGCCAGCAGGGTTTGAGGTTCCAGCCAACTATGTTAATGTGTGACTAACCCTGCTGGTGGGTGTGAAGTGGTATTTCAGGCAGGCTGATCTGCATTTCCCGGTGGAATGTGATATTCCTATGCTTATTGGCAGTTAGCATTTTCCTCTTTGGAGAAATGTATGTTCGGGTCCTGTGCCTGACTTAGGACCCTGTGTATTTTTTATTATGGAGTTGTAATATTATTCTTTTGATCACAGCTATAAAGTATAGAATACATCAGTAGTGACCAGGGTGCAGTAAACTCTCTGTGGAGCGTGACTCTTAGGTTGAAGAATTTAGAATAGCAGGGCGTGGTGGCCCATGCCTGTAATCCCTGCACTCAGAGGCTGAGGCAGGAGGATCAACTGAGTTCAAGGCCAGCCTGGGTTACATAGTGAGTTCAAAGCCAGCATAGTGAGGGAAAAAAAGAATTTAGGGTAATCGTGACTTAGTGAGGGCTGAAGTGTAACTTGACTGAGTGAATTTACAGTATGAAAACAATTGCAAGAAAATATTTACCCTACTTAGGAAATAAGCTAAAGTATTTAACTTCATTTTTTGTGCAGTTCAGGTTTAAATTTAAACTGATTCTTCATATTTCCTTTCAAGTGTTTTTGGCAGGACCTATACCTCAGTGATTCTTATTTTGTGCTACTTGCCTTTGAAAGGGATAAAACTGAGTGTGTAAGGTATGATGTCACCCGTACTTCCTGAATGACTCTGTAGAGTTCTCTGCGCTAGCGCCATCTATTTAATTTTAAGAAATAGAGAATAAAAGAACAAAGTCAAATTTAGCATTTTAGTCAGAAAACAGTGTTTTTCTTCCTGGTATTATACAGAAGCAGGATGTAAGGTTTTTTTTTTTTTTTTCTAATTTAAATATAATGTAACAAAGAACCAGCGGCCCGAAGAAGCCTGTAAGCCCAGTCCTTGAGATCCAGTTCTCCTGAGGCAGCTCCTTGGGAGCTGCTGTTTCCTGTGCCAGGAGAGTGGCACAGCCGAGCTGCCCCTCAGATGCCCCCAGAAAGGGTCGGTCACTCGAGGATGAGAGAAGCACAGCTTGTGACCCAGGAGACGTCAGACGTGCTGAGTTTGGGGACCTAGATCGTGGGAAATGAAGTCGCAAACCAAAGGAAGAAGTTAGGAGAGTTTTCTTGGAGAGAAGGAGAGCCCCTGAATTTCCCAGAGGGGTCCCCAGGGGTGGCTCCTGAGGCACTTTGTCAGGGGTGATTTATTCAGGAAGTCGCACTGTGGGTACAATGCAGGTCTCACTGCCATCAATCTGGAGGATTCCCAGCAAAGCCACTCAGCTGGTACTGATTCAGCAGGAGACAGGTCATGCGGTATGGAAAGAACCCAGGCGTTTCAGGAAAGGGATGGATCAGGCTGTCTTGGCCACCCACCTGGGTCACTGATGCCCAGCTGGACTTCTTGACCAGGTGCTAATTGCAGTCTGACCTCAATCACTGCCGATCCCTCGGGAGGCGTGTGGGCCTGGCCATCGAATCTTCATCTTGAGGCCCAGCCTTCCTCAGATGCACCTCCAGCTCCGGTTCACAGTCTTTATTTTTGTGCTGACTTCCTTGAGAGCCTGGGCCTTCTCCTGCTGTGTATTAATTTCATTCCATTTAATAAAGTCTCATTAACTCTGATCCTGCAAATGTGAGTTTCCCAATAATTCTGGAGGTAGATTAGGCCAGGAATAAGGATCACGGCCACTGTTCTTGGAATTAGAGATCCAGGGTACCAATAGTATAAGCTGGAGTGCATAAAAGAAACATTCAGGACATTGATAAAATAATGCATAGGACCTTGAAGCACCGCGCACCCTTCCCTTGCTGAGGAGCATCTTTGGCGGTAACAATGAGGCTTTGACCTTCCTTGAGTGGGTCAGCGGTATAGATGTCCTGTGCATTTTGAGAGTGTGTCCCAGGACCTCTGTCCTTTGCCCACTCAATGCCAGTTCTGTCCCTCCTCCCAGGTGTGACAACAACGCATCTCCAGACATTGTTTAATGTTCTCGGGGACACGGCCAGTTGAGAACATTAGGCAGTAACGTTTTTTTGGTGTCAAACTGCATTTCTTTGAAAATATCTTTTTATGTGCATGTATTTTGGAGACGGTTATGTTGTACAGTTCAGGTTGGCCTTGAACTCACCTTGTAGCCCAGTTTGGCCTGGAACTTTGCAGCAATCCTCCTGCCTCAGCCTCCTGAGTGCTGGGATTACAGGTGTATATTACCACACTTACATGAAAATACCTTTTTTGAATTAAGAAGGAAAAAACAAAACAAATATACAAAGCAGTGAATGAAAAGGGATTTCCTTCATCTTTCCTGATGCAGAAAGGTCTGCCCCCTTTAGTTCCAGAATTCAGTTTGTAATTTTTTCCTCTTCTGCTGTTTGTTTCGTGGTGTCATTTGTCAGATTAACATGATTAGATCAGATAGGAAGTTGATTCATGCTAATATGCAGCTTCAGGTAGGCACATTCACTCTGGGTTTTTTTCCCACTCTAATTAGGAACTAAGACAGTTTACTTCTGTTGGTAATATATGCTATTACCAAGTAATATGTAGCTCTTAGGGGAAGCAGAGAGGATCACTGTCGTCCCAACCCCTGACCCTTGGGTGCCATTGACCTGTTTCTACCCCACAGTAGCAGTTTCTGGGAACCAGGGTGTGGCCCTGGCCCGGCTCAAGGCCTGAGGGCCTGGTGCTTCCATCCAGATGTGCTTGCACCTGGGCCACGCCCTGCAGCTATGCCCTGCACACCTCTGTGGTGTCCCTTGTGCATCTGACATTCCTTCATGTGCACCTCTCCTTGAGTATGTCAGCCTCTGACAACAGACACTCTACCTAAGCAGAATACCTGCACAGACTTTAAGAGTCTTCAAAATAAACATTTACTTAGAAAGCCCTCCATGGTTTTATATATAGTGCCGTTTTTGAAGAGACAGGTTGAGGTTCAAATTCCAGCTCTGACACTTTAATAGCTATCTGCTTCCCCCCAAAATAAGACCTGGCCTGAAAATAATCTGCTTTAAAATAACTAGAGATGAAGAATTCCAGGTCAGCCAGGCGTGGTGGCGCATGCCTGTAGACCAGCCTGGGCTATAAAGTGAGCTTAAGGCCAGCCTGAGCTGCATAGAGAGACCCTCGCTCAAAAAGACAAAAAAAATCCCAAGCCCCCTCCTCCCAGAAAAGCAGAAAGAATAAAAACGCCAGTCCTAATCAGCCTTTTCTTACCTTACCTACGTCGCCGTTCTCTTGCATAAGGCTGATTCTGGGCTCTAGTTTGCAAGGCTGATTATCTTGCAGTGAGGTCTTGTTTTCGGGGCTGATTATTTCCCAGTGAGGTCTTGTTCTCGGGGCAGCATGGTAAGCAGCCTTGTCTCCACTTGCCTCTGTTCCACTCCACATGGGTAACCAGCCTGACCTCGGGGCTGTGGGACGGAATAGGATAAGATCGAGCCTCTAGAGCCTGTTGTGCAGGGTGAACCCCGAATGTGCAGCCTCTCACATCAGCTTCTGCTGCCCCGGGCCAGGCATCACTGAGGCACTGTCTGTGCCCCACGGGCTTCCAGGCTGGGCACCCACCAATGGGTGGAGATGCCCCCAAGGGAAGCACGGATTCCCCACATAAGCACAAACACAGCTGTCATCGTGAATATCCCTTGAATAGGGTCCCATGTTTTTAGCTACAGGAGAAAATAAGGGGGCAATTTCGGTGGGGGCCCATGAAAAGGCTGTGTGGCTGTGACTGGGGGAGCCCTGAGATTGGCACGGCCCTGAGGGGATGGTGTGGGCAGGGGCATTCATGTGGCTGCATCCCCCAGAGAATGGAGCCATGGGAGAGTGTGGAGGTGGGAGGTGGCTGCAGGTGTCAGGACCTGTGCTGTTCAAGGACAAAGCAGTAGGACAGCCATGTCCTGTCCAGGTTGTGCAGTGCTACATGTGTGGGCATGTGCCCTGCACCCAGGGAGACCAGGTTTGAGACAAGACCATTACTTTATTTTGCCTGACATGTGTCGCCGGTGACCTTTAACAGTCCTGTTTCTAGGCAGTGGTGAGGAAAGCAGATTTCACCCCAGCGTTAGCATGGAAACGGTATGTGGGATGGATGCGGGGAGCTGCATGGCCCCACTGGACCTGACGTCCTCGCCCCAACATCTCCACACAGGTATGCCATCCTGACCAAAGCCACCTGGCCAGCATGGCACGGCGACGAGAAGCAAGGTGTCCTGCACTTGCTACAGTCCGTCAACATGGACAGTGACCAGTTCCAGCTGGGCAGGAGCAAAGTGTTCATCAAAGCCCCCGAATCCGTGAGTGGACATCGCAGCCCAGGCTTCCGGGTCACCTCCGTTTCTCCCCCCTTCCCAGTCTGAGTGCCTCCTCTGCCACAGTCCTGCTGTTGCATGGTTGTCACGCCCAACTGCTTCATGCAGAGTGGACAGTACGCACGGGAAGGTGTTGCCCTCTCATGAATTTGTGTCACACTGTCTTAGTTACTTATTACTGGGACAAAATACCCAGCACCCACAGGTTGAAGGAAGAAAGGTTTATTTTAGCTCACAGTGTGGAAAGGTTTCAATGAACAGTCAGCTGGCGCCAAGGCAGGGCAGCATGGCAGGGTCCATGACGGGCAGGCAGGAGGCAGTAAGCAGTGAGCCTGTCTTCTTTCTGTCCCTTTATGTTCCATCCAGGCTACAAAGCTACTGTCTGGTGCCACCCATGCCCAACATGGGCTTCCATTGTCCACACCTAGAACTGTGTCCACCAGTTTCGTTATCCACAGCCTTAACATCAGTGTCGCACACCCATGATCCAGCCACCTCCCCTGTGTGAGTGTGAGGCTTTGGGGACATCTAGGTACCGCCATAACACCCCGGCTCTGTGCACTACCTGTGGGGGCAGAAGCCCAGCCTGATTTGTGTACCAGAGCCCTGGACACAGTGCCTTGGTTATCCTGTGTGTAGTCGGAAAGGGGCCTTCTTGGGGCTGCAGCCTTGTCTGGGTGACAGGAGCAGTCAGTGACATACAGGCTCAGGTTTCTCCTGTGGGGCAGAGCCAAGTCCAGGCTAGGAGTGCTGGAATTGTACTTGAGAACCGTCAGGAAGCCCAGGAAGGACAAGGGAACAAATCTCTGGGTCTCTGGAACAGACACACTGTGCAGCTCATCCAGCCATCAGCCCCCTACAGATGGAAGTAGGCAGCTTGGTGAGCGTCCACAGGAAGCTCTGCCCATGGTCAGGATCATGCAGAGCCCCTTAGAAATTCTGCCCGGGTAGCTTAGACTGCAGGGAAATTGTTAGGACTGAGCTCTGGTGACCTTGATTCTTGAGGTTTCCATAATCATTACAAGACTCTGCTGCAAGAGTCAACAGAGACCGTGGCGAAATCAGTCATCAGACCCAGGGGAGACAGTGGGAAGTGACCGTGTTGGGAGAAACCAGGGCACTGGACTTCAGGCAGATCCTTGCTGAGCTCTGCTCTTCCTGCCTCCTGGTTGGGGCCGAGACTCAGGCCTGCGGCAACTGTAACTGAATGACTCTGGAAACCGTAAAGCTGATGAAATAAATAGCAGTACACATCAATCGAGCCCTTGTATGAAAAGTTGGTGGTAGCATTTTCCCACTCTGAGCTATTTGTAGCTTTGCAGCAATTGCATTTCCAAATATAAAATGAAAATGTTGTGTCATACGCCATTAAGCCACCCACAGGACGGTTCCGGTCCTTTCTAAAAGAGGATGGAGGGATCTGTCAGCGCACCCGGAGTGCTGCAGGCTCCACTGCCTTTCTTTACTTCTCAGCTTGCTAAGTGATCCTGCGGAAGTCAAGCGACCTCAATATTTTTCATGCTTTCTTTTTTATTCCAATTGAGCTGAGCTTGGAGAATTTATATCCAAAACCAAGGTTTATTTTTGGATTTGCCTTGCTTTGCTTTTCCCCCCAGTTGCATTTGTGCCATTGCTCGTCTGTCCTGTGTCTATACTCACACACACACACACACACACACACACACACACACACACACACATTGCTTCCCCCAGCCACTCCCATCCAAGCCCGGTCTTGACCTGGAGGTGCTTTGCAGAAGGTTGCTTGATAAGATCCGTGTCCCGATTGCATCTCCACTTTCACAGCGTGCTGGAGTCACAGATAACTGCATGCTTTATTCACTTTAAAAAATCAACATCAGGGGCTGGGGATTTAGCTCAGCGGCATAAGTGCCTGCCTTGCAAGCAGGCAGTTGTGAGTTCAATCCCTGGTACCAATAAAAAAGGAAAAAGACAAAAAAAAAAAAAAAAATCAACATCAGCAGACACTGGACACCATGCTTTTGTCGTCCTGTTTCACATGTCCGTGGTTTCGGCTTTTGTCTGTCTGCTGTTATTCTCTGCTGTTGAATATTCCTGACTTCTAACTTTTTGGGCTTTTGGGAAAAACCCTAAATAGTCTGTAAGAGTCAGGAGCCATTCACGGCCTCTTCATGTCTGTGAGTCACCCGTGTGTGTCTCATGACACTTCCAGGTTCTTTCTGGGAAAGAAAGAGACAAGGGTTACTCAGAAGGCAAGAAAGGTCGCTGTGTGTTCTTAGATGCTGCCTCTCCTGTCCAGCCGCTGACCACGTGTGTCCAGAACCTGGCTTTGGGGAGGCTCCTGCAGCTTCTCGCAGATGCCGAGCAGCCCAGGCCTGGGCGTTCGTGCGCCCTCTGAGACCTCATTACCCCACTGCGGACCATGAGGAGGAGAAGCAACTAAAGATAGACCCAGATGAGCAGATGCAAACCAAGCCCAGCTGCCTCCCGCCCAGATACGGTGTTTACTTCTAGAACATCTTTGGCAGCGACTGCTCAGCTTCCCTTTGGGCTCAGATTAGCCCCTTTTATTTTTTTCCTGGAGAATCAGTTTCCCAAAGTGGATGTAAAGGTTCCCCACCATTCTACAAGTTGACTAAACACAGATTTACAGAGGCAAATCTAGAGCATTGCAGCTGAGGAAGAGCCCAGAGAAGCCTGGAAGGCCTGGGCCACTGGTTTGGGGACGTTTTGGTTCCGTCTGGAGAATGGAGCCAGGTAGCCAGCGTAGGGGTCCAGGTGTTGAATGAAACAACCAAGGGTGGTGGTGGGGGGGGGAATTCCTGACCCCTAGTGGACACTCAGGGCGCTGCAGCTGTTTGTTGTCCCCAAGCCTGGCTGAGCTGGGGTTATGGTAGGGGGCCTGGGCTGCTGGCCCGGCCCAGCTGAACTGGAGCGCTAACCAGTGCACCAGGGCCAGCTCTGGTCTCTGAGGTTACTATCCTTCACCCCAGAGGCTCCTCAGAGAGTCCTACAAGCTAGGGAGCTTAGAACTAACCCAGGAGCACAAAGCCGCCTTGCAGAAGCTGGAAGCTTCTGTCCCCGGGCCACATGGCCACTGCCAGTGCAGCTTCCACGGAGCAGGTGGTGGTGGCAACTGAGTCACAGAGATGGAGCCCAGCAGGGCAGAGACCATCGTAACTTACTCAAATCAAGCCAGACCTTTGCTTTTTGTTTGCTTTTTGAGACAGGGTCTCACTATATAGCCCAGGCTGTCCTGGAACTCATGGCGGTCATCCTGCCTCAGCCTCCTGAGTGCTGAGATTACAGGTGTACACCACTGTGCCTGGCCTGTTGCTTTTTGCTGAAAGAAAAAACACAGGGGTAAAAACATATATGGCCAGAAACAACTTGCCACAGTGATCATTCAGGCATAAGTGCCTGCCCTGCAAGCAGGCAGTTGTGAGTTCGATCCCTGGTACCAATAAAAACAAAAAAGACAAAAAAAAAAAAAAGCAACGTCTAGATCTTGTGGGTCAGCTCACCTGGGTTTTCTCTACACTTGCAGCTGTTTCTTCTCGAGGAAATGAGAGAACGGAAGTACGACGGGTATGCCCGGGTGATACAGAAGTTGTGGAGGAAATTTGCAGCCCGGAAGAAATACGTTCAGATGAGAGAAGAAGGTATTTTAGTTGTTTTTGTTGCCTTCGGTTACTTTCTGGTGAGTGCATTTGAACGACTTATTTAAAAGCAGTGGAAGGGGCTAAGGATTTAGCTCAGCGGCATAAGCGCCTGCCTTGAAAGCAGGCAGTCATGAGTTTAATCCCCGGTACCAATAAAAAGGAAAAAGACAAAAAAAAAAAAAAAAAAAAAAGCAGTGGAGAGCCGGGGATTTAGCTCAGTGGCATAAATACCTGCCTGGCAAGTGCAAGATCATGAGTTGGATCCCCGATACCAAAACCAATAAATGAAAATAAAAATAAATAAAAGTGGTGTGTGCTTTGGAACAAGATGTGATGTGGTGTGCTGGATGTCTCACAGCGTTTGGTCTCTCTGTATTTCTGCTCCCTGTCCCCCTCTCTCTGGCTGACGGACCCTTTCTTCCTCTCCCCTCCTCCGGGAACTGCAGCCTCAGACCTGCTGCTGAACAAGAAGGAGAGGAGGCGGAACAGCATCAACCGGAACTTCATTGGGGATTACATCGGGATGGAGGAGCACCCCGAGCTCCAGCAGTTCGTGGGCAAGAGGGAGAAGATTGACTTCGCAGACACAGTCACCAAGTACGACAGGCGGTTCAAGGTGCGTGCCGCCCCCGTCCCCGGTGCTCCCCATCCTGCGGACAGGGGCTGGTGACATCGCTCTTCTGGTTACCATGCCGGCCACTGTAATTGTAGAAAGACTTAAAGACCTGGTGAGGTCAAAAGGAAAACAGCCAGGTACACGCAAAAACAAGCACTGTTGGCATCTTGTGTGTACTCTTCAGGCCTTTTTCAGTGCAAACACGCATTTCCATAGTTAGTTTTATAAAAAAAGAGAAAGTTCACCTTTTGTACTGTTTTATATCCTGAGTCTCTTTTTTCAGTGCCAGGAAGAACTCCCCATGTTACATAGATGCATCAGTGTAAATTATTTTATGTTCCCACACAGTATTCTATTTTTAGAATAGATGCTTCTTTTTTTCTTTCTTTCTTTCTTTCTTTCTTTCTTGCTTTCTTTCTTACTTTCTTTCTTGCTTTCTGTCTGTCTGTCTTTCTCTCTTCCTGTCTTTCTGTCATTCTTTCTTTTTTTTTTTTGAGACAGGGTCTCCCTATGTAGTCCAGGATGACCTTGAACTCACTATGTAGCACAGGCTGGCCTTGAACTGGTGATGATCCTCCTGCCTCAGCCTCCGTGTGAGTGATGGGATCACAGGCAGGCACCACCACACCCTGTTTGGTGCCTTGCTTTTGAAACCATCTTGTGAGTCAAATCTTCTTAGATTTTTTTTTTCCTTACATCAGGAAAAAAAATAGTGGAATAAATAACAGTGGTTAATTGAATAAGAAAGATGCTACTGTTTTGCTAAAGCCAAGTCACCCTAAGTTGCTCTGGTGGAGGTTTTGGACATAGATGTGAATGTTTGCCACTCCTGACAGCGCTTGGCTGTCCTGTGGTCACCTGCTGCTTCCGAGTACGGTCACCTTCGGTTCTTCACATCACTCACTGCAATGAGACGATTTCCGTTTTATAAGAACTGTACTCCTGAGAAGATCTGTGAAGAGACCTGGGGGCTGAGGGGCTCCTGTCTGGGCAGTGTCCAGCAGCAGGTGGTTAGCAGGCCACCCTGCCTGCTTGTTGGCCCGAGAGCCCTTTTGGCATGTTGGTTTCTTATGGAGGCCTGGCTGCATCTGCCATGCTGTAAGTTAGGGCCACTGAGGGGGTGGCTGTCCCACCCACAGCAGCCTCCCTGTGCTGCAGCCCCGGAGGCCCAGCTATCGCCTGGGAACATCATCCTCCTGACCACGTCTGTCTCCTGCAGGGAGTAAAGCGGGACCTGCTCCTCACCCCGAAGTGCTTGTACCTCATCGGACGGGAGAAGGTGAAGCAGGGCCCGGACAAAGGCCTGGTGAAGGAGGTGCTGAAGCGGCGAATTGAGGTGGAGCGGATCCTGTCTGTGTCGCTCAGGTGAGCGCAGGGCAAGGGCCTTGCGGGCCCTCAGCCTCTCTGTCTGTGTCCCTCGTCAGTCCAGTGTTGGGGAATCGCCCTTCTGCCTTCTCCCCGGAGGGTGCAGGGCCGCCTGGTGTCATGGGGGACTCTGGGGCGGGATGGTGATTCCAAGAACACGCTGCCTTCCTCAGCTTGGCTCTGGGCCAGGTGTTGGGGATAAACCCACAGTGCAGAGTGTACCTCACAGGGAGGCTCCCACCAGAGCACAAGGACTGGACTCCCAGCCCAAGCTAAACGCCCAGTGCACCCAGAGCAGACAGCTGGAGTGGGTGGTTCTGGCTGGTAGGCAGGCTGTGGCCAAAAGTAGCCTGTCCACCTCTTTGAAAGGCCAGGCCTTTGTGGTGAGGCAGAGACACTGTGTGGTTTCAATGCTGCTTGTCAGTGAGACCTACAACTCGGCTATCACAGGTTGCAGCTGCAATCAGACAGTCGTGCACGTTCGTGCTGCCCCCTCCCCACCCTGGGTCTGGGTCTCCTGACCTGCAGCCCGGCAGAGCTCGGCGCTCTTCAGCTGGCTGGCGGTGAGCTTCTCTTCATTCATTCCTCTGTTGTGGCTGGTGCACTGTGGCTGCAGGGGGCCTGAGAGGACGCCCTAGACCCTTCCTGTTGCCATAGCAAAGCCCAGAACTAGGAGACGGCGGGGCAGACGTGTCCTGCTTGGCCTCAGTCAAGAAGCCGTTAATGGTGAGACAGTGACCGCAGCAGACAGAGCCTCCCACTGAGTCCTCACAGCCAAAGGGGCAGCTGCTCCTGCCTCTGGCGGCCTGGCACTGGCTCCCTGGTGTCCATGGGGCTGACAGGGAGACCACGGGAGCCACGCTCTGAAGGGTCAAGTTCCACGCAGAAGGAGAAGCCCGGCTTTGGAGGTCATGTGCGCTCCAGGCTTGTGTGACCTGCTGGCCTTGTCACCCAGCTCTGTGGCCGCTCCTGCCAGGGCAGTAGCCCTAGGGCCAAGAGCAGCACCCGTCTCTGCTGAAGCCGCCTGGCCGAGCCTCTTGCAATTCCCTACACCTGAAGGATGGAAATGTGGCCTCTGTCCATCCCCCTCATCTGTTTTCATCCCTGCCGCACACACAGTCCCCAGTGAAAATCCAGCCTCAGAGACCACCGGCTTCCTTACAAGACAGACTCCAACTGGAGAGCCCTGGCTTTCTCTGGTGTGGCCTCCGGGTGGCGGCTGATGGCTGGGGAGTGGAAATCCCGATTCTCCTCCCAGGCCAGGCACACAGCTGCCTTTGCTGCCCCATATGCTGGCTTCCCTGATGTGCGTCCCATTCACACCCCAGTTTGCACACACTCCTACCCTGTCCATGCACTCGGCCCCTCCAATGTGTGTCCTTCCATCCGAGCTGGGGACAAAGAGTCCCCGCCTCTGCCTCATCTCTGCTTGTTGAGTCCCACAGTGAAGCAGCAGCAGCAGCACCTCTGCCCCTGTGCTCCCTGGGCTCCCCCGGCTCCCGTCTGTCACCACTGCTGGGACTGTACCATATATCCCGCCGGAACCAAGCGAGCCCAGAAATGTTGGTCCCCCATCATTCCTTTCGTAACACTCTGGATGTGTGTATCTTGAGACACAGAAGTTGAATTTAAAAATGGATTTTTAAAAAAAATACGGGCTAAACTGACCTTAAATCATTGGTTTTCAAAATCACATGGAAGAGGTATCTTGATTATGTTCTGGGCATGCTGGAAACTTCCCGTAAAAACAGATTTCATCAATTTTGTTATGTAACTCGGTGTTGGGTGTTTTGTTTTCAGCACTATGGGAGACAGGGAGGAGAGAGGACAGAGGAAAAGCCAGGCATTAGCAGAGACTTCAGAGCGGGCACTGGTCACCCCAGCTGCAGGACCTTGCGGGCCGGCCGCCTCCCGGAGCCTGTCAGTGATTATAGTGTCAGTGATGGGATCTTCAGAAACATCCAGCGTTTGTTAAGTGTCTCCAATCTTTTCACAGTACCATGCAGGACGACATTTTTATCCTTCACGAGCAAGAATACGACAGTTTGCTTGAGTCTATCTTCAAAACGGAATTCCTAAGCCTCCTTGCAAAGCGTTATGAGGAGAAAACTCAGAAGCAGCTACCTCTGAAATTCAGCAACACGTAAGCCGGGCTCCGGGCTGGGGTGTCAACCCAGCCCCGGGGGATGGGGAGTCACGGGAGGAGGGGGTCTGACCTCCCACAGTTTCGGGGAGTCCCGCCCTGCAACCCCCTGTGTGCCTGGCTTCCTGGGAGTTGAGAGCCTGCTACAGATACTTGGACAGTTGTCACAGTTTTCACAGGGTCACCTTGGCGTGTTTCCCCACGGAGGGTCTGGGTAGAGACCACCCACGCACCGCAGGGGAGGGCAGATTTGTCTGTGTCACCCACAGAAGGGGATTTACTCCAGCTGTCCTACTCAGATGTCCCCCTCTGTCCCCAGAGGTGACCTCCCCCTCCCCCTACTCTCTAGCACATGGCCCCTGAGAAGCCTTAGCTCACTGCAGGGACCACAGGGAACTCTTGCTTGGCTTTGTTCCCCTGTGGGAAACACAGGTTAGAAGCCAGGCTGTGGAGTGCGTGACCTCAATATGCAGGCGATGTGGAGAAATTCCACAGGGCAGCAGCTTAGGAATTGTGGGCAAACCTCAGTTTGGGGTTCGGGTTGGGATCCAGCCCCCTCCTGCTGGGTGGGACGTGAGGGGGAGGTGGACTCGGAGTGGGGACCCACTCCATGCCAAGTCATCCCCAACCTGTGTCTGGCATCTCAGTCTCCCTCAGACATAGATAGCTCCCTGAGGTACCCAGGAGCACCTGGCGGTAGCACAGCTAAGCAGGTCCCCCTCACCCGCAGGGCTCTTGAGCTGTTGGGCCCTAGGTGTTTGTGCTTCTGATGCCCCCATGGGCTCCCAGTGGCACCACGCTGGTTAGCGCTGTGCCCCGCTGTCCTGTCTCCACCTACAGGTCCCAGCTGCAGGGCCTGTGACAGCCGTCCAGGCCGCCTGCCCTGGCTCAGTCCGATTTGCTGATTCGTCCCGTGTACCTCTTGCAGGTTGGAATTGAAGCTGAAGAAGGAGACCTGGGGTCCCTGGAGTGCAGGGGGCTCCCGGCAGGTGCAGTTCCAGCAGGGCATCGGTGACCAGGCTGTGCTGAAGCCCAGCAACAAAGTGCTGCAGGTCAGCATCGGACCTGGGCTGCCCAAGAACTCCCGTAAGTACCACCGTGTACCTACCCCCATTGCCGGGCCGTCAGGTGGGGTGCTGCACCCTGGGGCAACAGCAAGGACCCCTTCTGAATGTGTAGTTCCTCGTTGTGGTAGACCTGTCACCGCAGTATTAACTACTTAGAAATCTTGGCTGGAAAGTTAGCAGCCCTTCCCAAGGTCTTGCAGTGACACAAACGCAGCCCTCTCTGCCAGTTTGAAGGAGAAAGATAACACTGAGGGTGTCACCGTGTGATGTGATCGAGGATGCTTCAGACACTTGGGCGTGGCCTCATACCTTGGCTGACTCCTCACTGGCCTGTGATTCTTTTCCTATTATTAACTTTTTTTGAGACAGGGTCTCGCTGTACAGTTCAGGCTGACCTTGAGCTCAATGTATGGCCCAGGCTGGCCTCAAACTTGGAGCAATTCTCCTGCCTCAGCCTCCTGAGTGCTGGGATCACAGGCATGTACCACCATGCCCAGAATAATTGATGGTTATGAGCTCAAATGCTTAGAACATAAGCCTATGTGTTGTGTGATCACATAACAGAAGCATCTTTCCAAGCTTCAGCCCCGGCGGGGTCAGGGAAGTGTGTGCTGTACGTACAGGCTTTGTCCTCTGACAGGGCCCTGTGCACCGGCTGGTGCTGTCCTGCCCATACGCTAGTAAGGCCACTGGGAAAGGGTGTGAGTCTGTGTGTCGCTTGCTGCTTGCAGGAACACAGCACATTTTGGTGGGAGTCACCAAGAGATGTTTTAAATAAAAGGGCAGAGCTGAAAGAACAGACACCCAGGAACAAGCAGCAACAGGGAGCCCTGGTTGCCTGCAAACCTCAAGTGGCCCAGGGAGCAGGGAGCCAGGCGGACTTGGGACCCCGCCTCTGGCTTGGCCACCTTTTCCCCTCCTGCTGCTGGCTGAGGCCAGGCCACAGAGGAGGATGGGAGGACACTGGTGCTACCCTCCAGGCCGCTCCTCCTAGCATCTGGACGCCCTCTCAGTGTGTCCTAAGCCACAGCTTTTCTCTCTGCAAGAAATTCGTTGTAGAGTCGGGGGTTTAGCTCAGTGGTACAAGCGCCTACTTGGCAAGTGTGAGGTCGTGAATTTGATCCCTAGTACCAAAAAAAAAAGTGTCAGAAATTTGTTGTGCACCCTCTTCTGACTGGCTTCCTGCCAGTCTGCTGCCCTCCTGCGAGCCCAGCGAGACCTCGTTCCTTGGTTTCCCCCGCCACAGGTGTCTCTGCAGAGGTGTCACCTGGCCCAGTTCTGCTGCCCTAGCCCTAACCCTGCCCCAGGGTGAGGGGACACTCAGCCCCATTGCTCGCTAGAACAACGGTGTTAGAACAGGAGCCTGAGTAGGAAAGCCACGACAGGCAGGGTGTGTAGTGGGCCAGGGCGGGGCAGTCCATTGGCGCTGAGGTCTCGAAGTCACTCAGAGCCATTCTGCACTCCAGGCGGGTGATGACATCATGCCACACTCACCTGCGGAGCCCCTGCGCCTTGCTTAGAGCAGGAGTGCAGACACTGAGAGGCCCCATCTGCCTCTCTCAGAGGTTCACAGAACTGAACCGCCTTTGCAAAGCCCAGGGGCGTCACACAACTCACAACTGCCTCTGGGAACCTGTCCTCTAGCCCTTCCTGCTAAAAGCTGCAGCTCAGAGCTGGGCGTGGTGGTGCATGCCTCCAATTCCAGAACTCAGGAGGTTGAGGCAGGAGGATCTCTGGACAGCCTGAGCTAGAGAGGGATTTTAAGGCCAGCCTGAACTAAGCAGTGAACTGATTATAGCTTTCTTTCACTTGGCTATTTCAGGTCCTACCCGAAGGAACACTGTCCACAGCAGAGGTTCTTCCTGTGGGATTCAAAATGCTAACTACCCAACAAGAGCTGCCCCTCCTCCCCCAGGTAAGGCAGACACACATCACAAAGTGGGGGTGCCAAACCTATACACACAATTTATAAACTACATCTGTGAAGAAACCCATCAGCAGCTGGGCATGGTGGTGGCACACCTGTGATCCCAGCACTCAGGAGGCTGAGGCAGGAGGATTGCTGCAAGTCTGAGGCCAGCCTGGGCTACATAGTGAGTTCAAGGGCAGCCTGAACTATGTAGTGAAATCCTTTCTTGAGAAGACAAAAGAATAGAAAAAAAGAGAAACGAAACTCATCATCAAAGAAACACACATGTCCTAGCCAGCTGTAGGCCTCCCTCCCAGTGCGGGGGCCCTGCCTGGGACCCAGAACTCCAGGACAGGAAGAGTTAGTGGCCCTGCGGCCGCCTGAGAGAAAGGTTCCTGTGGCAGCTTCTCAGGAAGCGAGATGCTATCAGCTTCAAGGTGTAGGATGCTGCTATCACAGCAACAGGAGCCTGTCAAGTATCACCTGCCACTGCCAACCCTGGCTAGGTACCGCTGTGATGTGTGCAGTCAGTCAACAGTTCAGGTCACGAGGAGGAAAAGAGCTTTCTCAGATAGGATCCTGGAGAACAGTTCCCAAAAACAACGCCTGGGAGAATTAGCAGTTGCTACAAAAGCCCCTCTGTGGATGTTTGATACCGGGAATGGAACCCAAGGCCTTGAGACGGGATCTTGCTAAGTTGTGTAGACTGGAACTGAAGTTGCAGTCCTCCTGCCTCAGCTTCCCCAAATGCTAGGGGTGCAGGTATGTACCACTGCACCCAGCTGACGGATATTTTCTCAGCTGTGGCCCCTGGTACCTGGCAGCAAGGGAGTGGAGAGAAGCAGACAGAGAAACATGTCAGAGCTGGAGGTGACCGAGTTCTAGACCAGGTCCCAGGCCTTTACTGAAGATGCTGACATCCAAAGATAGATACATTTCCCGGGAACAAAGCTACTGGCAGAAGCAGAGACCGGGAGAACCCTGAGCCCTCTCTACACGAGGGCTCTTTCTCCAACCGAAGTGGACCTAGGGACCTGTCATGGGAGAGGAGACGCAGGCGGCCCACGCCTGGCCAAGCACCCAGTTCCATAGTCCACCTAGTGCTTGCTGCTGAGGCAGTGATGTGATCTCCACTGCAAATCTCAGACAGGGGTCAGCCAGCCCAAGCAAGCCTCCTCCACCTCCCGAAGCAGGGGCTGCCTGCCCACTTGGTGGAGCTGAACCTTAACACTCTCGGTGCCCATGGCCGGTGGGGTTCAGTCCTGCGCCACTCCCGGTCGGGCGTTCAGCATGTGCACTGACCTCAGGAGTTACCCTCTGCAGAGCTTGGAGGGGAAGAGCTGGTGCTGCCCCTGGTTCAGCACAGCACTGTGGGGTGCTGTGTTTCTGTCACTTGCCCTTGCTTGTGGGCTGAAGAAGTGCGCATCAGAAAACCTAAGCTTTCTTTCCTCTCCCTAGGGCACCACCAGAACGGTGTCATCAGGAACCAATTTGTGCCAGCCCCGCAGGCTCCTGGAAACCAGCGGTCCAGTGACAGAAGCCTGTATACCTCCATGACCCGCCCCCCACTGCCACGGCAGCAGTCCATAGGTACCGACCGAGTGTCACAGACCCCCGAGAGCCTGGATTTCCTTAAGGTCCCAGACCAAGGTGCTGCAGGGTAAGAGACTCAGCCCCTCCGGGACAGGCGCCAGCTCCATCCGTCTCCACCAGCCGTGTGAGGGGCTCAGAGCACCCTAGGGTCACTGTGTGACCCTAAAGCACAGGTTTTCGCTGAAGTACTGAGTCCCTGACCCAAGGGCACAGGCCGAGGCTGGCAATTCCGACCCCATTTTCCAGACCTGCCTGTCCTGGCGATGTCAGAGAGTCCCTTCCCCCAAGGGCCTCACTCTGCCCCACTTGTGGGCGGCAGCACTGAGAGTGGCAGCCCCTGGCATCTGTTCCTGCTCTGTAGGAAGGTGTCAGGGATGTTTAAGAACATAAAGCTTCACGTGAGAGTTGCTCTGGCTTTCTAGACCATCAGAGGTTGAGGTTCTAGCTCCAGGTGGTCAGGGCCGTTGGGAGTCTCAGGGGTAGAGGACCCTGAGTGCAGGCTGGATGGAGCTGAGCCAGCAGGTGGGCTTCAGTGCTAGTAAAAGAATGTCTTGGTCACCAGGCCTGATGGTGCTCAGCTGTCGTCCCAGCATTCGGGAGGCTGAGGCCAGGAGGATTTGGACCAGCCCTGGGCTACCTAAGTGAGTTCAAGGCCAGTCTGAACTGTAGCAAGACCCTGCCTCAAAAAAAAAAAAGCATGTGGGCCGGCTGCCCTGAGCCAGAAGTACACGTCCTACTCAGGAAAGCGGCAGGCAGGAGAGTCTCAGGGTCACGGTGTCACAGGGCCGAGGAGGGGAGCGGCAGGCCGGGCGCAGTGTCTTACCTACCCATGGTCTCTCCTACCCACCTCGCAGCAGCCCTTCTCCTGCTGTCTGAGCATCACCCAGGCGGCACCATGAGCCTGGGGGGCTGTGGAGAGAAATAGCCCCCATGAATTGTTTGGCTGGCAGGAGATGCACTCGGCTGTGCTCAGAGTCACTGGGGTGAGGGCTTGGTGGGGTGCAGCCGGTGGAGGGGTTCTGTCTCTGCCTGGTGGCCCTGCCCACTGACACTCTTAACCCCCACACCCTGAGTTCTTCAGTCCACGTCTGCAAAGCCTGGAAGGTTTCTAGATCAGGAAGCACCGTAGTCTCACCTTCCAGGTGCCATTAGGACATGGGTGTGCCCTTCACTGGTGTACTTCCCCCCACTCCATCACATCCTCTAAGGCATGTGTCCTCCCCTACCACTCACCCCCCCAGTACCTCAGTCTGCAGCCGAAGTTGTGGCTCTGGGGGTGCCCACAAATTCACCTTTGCACCAGCTCCTCGGCCTCTGCAGGCCCAGGGCCACCTCTTGAAGCCCACTGTCATCTAGCTGGAAAGGCACCCTCAGGTGGTGCCAGGGGCTTTTTGCCTATAACCCAGAGCCATGCTGCTCAGGTGGGTGATCCCCGAGAAAGGCGCGCAATGATCCTAGCTCCGCTTGGCATCCTGGAGTAGGAGGGGATGAGAAGAAACCCACAGGCTGGGCTGTCTCGGAGCTCTGTCTGCTAGCTTCCTACTCGCTTTGGTTTTGGCAGGCAGAACCACCTTAGCAGCCTGCTTGTCGGGTCACAGGCTTGTGCGGTAGCCAGCTGGGAGCATCTGTCGGCCAAAAGCAGGCAATATAGGAACGTGGTGTCTCTAGTGAGGCTGCTCGCTTCCAGCCCTTGGGCTGGGACTCCCTGTGTAAATCTGTCGCATGCTTTGCAGCCTTTCAGCCTGCAGACCGGGTCCCTGTTGCACTGTCTTGGACACTGAGGAGAGGACATCACACCAGTTAGGTGGCTGTGACTTCCCCAGAGCTTGTCATGCGTGAAGCTCGGTTCTTAGGCCATCCAGTTGATGGCTGTGGGAGTCTGGGCCATCTTCCTCTTGACACTGGCAAGCCTGCTGTGCAGACATTTGGGAAGATGTAGGAGCTTGGCCTTAGCGTTTATTTTGAAAAGCACAGGTGAAAAGACCGCTGACCCTGGCCTCTCCGGACACGCGTGGTCACCTCTTTGCCAAGAAAACACCAATTGCATTTATTCTGTGGGAAGTCAGCGTGCACAGGGAGTTTTGATAGCTCGGATTTGTACCTTTCCCTAAGCAAGAGGATTCTGCTTTACATCGGTGTTCCAGAGTTCACCTTGAGTTTACCGATGTGTAAAAAGATTTCTAGTCCTTTCCGTCTTTCTCCTGGGTTCCACGCCCCAGCTTTGTCTTTCCTTTCTCCCTCCCCTTAGTGTTTCCCCTACAGGCATATTTAGCATAAGAAATCACTGCTTTTGGATCATGTAATATGGATAAAGTCAAAGGTGTAATCGGCACTTCCTGTTAAATCAGGAAAATTGCCGTTGGTTTATTTTAGGTTCCGTCAGTTTGTGAAGATAGCATGAAGACTTTGCTAGTTTCCAGCCCAGCTGGATTCTTTGCCCCGGGGTGCAGGGTTGTGCATGTGGTGACCATGTCCCTGTCATCATCTTCGTCCTTCAGCAAAATCCAGAGAGGTGCAGAGACTGCCATTAGGGTACAGCCCCTGAGCACAGCCTCAGAAAAGTCCCATGTAGGATAAAGACCTTCTTCAACCCCCAAGGAAACAGAGCTGGGGGAAGGAAAGCCGAGCACAGGGCTCTTCATTAGACTCCTTGGGAACACGGGTGCCGGAGGCTCCTGTGGCTGGAACAGGTGCCGTCTTCCTGCAGCTCATTATTGGAAGTTTGGAACCAGACTGAAAACATCTGTGGTCCTTTCTGACCTATGGCTGGTTTCATGAAAGGACAACTTCAGGAAATTTCAAGCAACTCTGGAGATTAATCCAAGTAGAAGTTGGGGAAACGGAAAACCTACATGTGGTAGGCAGGAGCTAAGGGCTGGGGCTGTTGGCCATGCCCCAAAGGAGGGGTGGATAGAAAATGTAAATGCAGCCTGTCTGTCTCTAGTCGAGACTCTCCCAAAGGACCTGTATTTCAAGGGGCTTAAAATTTCTAACGAGCATCCAACAGCAATATATCTCAACCCGCAACCTGGCGGGGCCGCAGCCAAACCTGGCCTGGGCAGACAGAGAGCCCAGGAATTCCTGGCATTAATTCCCACGTTTCCAGTAATGTTTATAGATTCAACCTCTTGGAACCGAGCATATTTTAAAGAGCCAATGAAATAAAATACCATTATTTTCCTTCTTGGAATTTCAAGACATAAATTTCACATCTGCAGAACAAAGAGGTGATATTTGAGAGCTTAGGCTCAGCTCTCCCTGGTGGAGCTGAGGTTCGCCTGTCCAGGAGGCACGGGAGCCACCACAGAGTTCACAGAAGGTGGCGCAGAGGGGTGGACAGAGGTATGGACATGGCGTGTGTGCAGCGTGGCATGCGCACAGAGGGTGTGCAAGGCGTGGGGATTCGCAGTCTTGGGGACCAGCCAGGAGTTTGGTTTGCTGTTTCCTTCATGGAATATTTCCTGAACCTTCTGTGACACCTGACACTTGACACTTGACCTTCCTTGTGCCCTCTCGTGTATAACGAGTGAGGTAACTAGATGATTTAAAGACCTGCTCGTCGAGGGTTTTCTTAAAGGCTAAATACAGACTGTAAACCATAATGCAGCTCAAGTTTTCTTGTGTGAGGTGCCAGGGATGGAACCCGAGTTCCGCACACGTGCTCTCCCACTGAGTGTGTCCCCAGCCTGAAGAGTCTCTGGCATTTGTTTCGTTACCATTATATGCCTGCTTTGCTCTCGCAGAGACATTACCTTTGAACCAGGAGTGGGGTGGGGATGCCTTGTCCTCAGTGCAGCTCCATGTAGCGGAACCCTGCCTCACCCACAAAAGGCCTCTCGTCCCATCCCCAGCTGGCGAGCTGAGGAGAGCGCGCTGGACCCCGAGGTCCATGCTGCAGGCCCAGCTGGCTCTCATGGGAATGTGGGGTGGGTGTGGAACTGCAGCAGAGCTGAGCTGACCTGGTCTAACCCAGTCCCCAGGCAGGGCGCTGTGCAGGGCAGCCGCAGCTCTCTGCTCTGCCAGCTGCACGCCTCAGCCCTGAGACACTGCCCCCAGGAGGTGGGCGTGTCCCGGGCAGAGGAATTGAGCAGCTGTTGCTTGGTGTCACTGGGTATCTCCTTGTGGGCGCTTGGCAGCCCTTGGGTTCCGCAGCTGTCCACAAGGCCTCAAATGCCAGCGGGCATCCTGGCAAGGGGCATTCTTGGGTTCTATCACAGACACAGGGTGTACCCTGAGGGGCTCCCCTCAGGCAGGGCAAGGGAAGGGCTTCCTGCCTCCACCGCCCCACGTCCCGGACATCACAGCAGGGTACAGAGGGAGCACTCAGGCTGTTCACAAGGATCCCGCACAGAGAGAGGCCGCTGTAGCTCTGCTTGGGTGTGTGAGTGGTTAAGTGTGTGAGACTGCCCTTGAATGATGGGACAAACACCAAGGAAATGAAATCATGCTGTGCAAGTTACACGTAACACAACACTGGGCTCGCTTGAGAGGTGCAGTTGTAGAGTTCCACACTCACGCGTGCATAGGTTCACATATGCGTGCATAAAGGAAGTACTACCAAAACACCAATGGGAACAACTTGTGACGAATCTGAAATTCTTGCTGGAGGCCCCATTATCCCAGTGAAATCCTTTAAGGTTCATTAGGTATTGCAAAATACAAGAGGTGCCAGAATTACCCCAAATCCTGTGTAGCTTGCTGGTACCAAACAGATGTGAAGCGTTTTTAGAGAATTTCCATGGGTGCACAGTGACTGAGAGGTGCTAGTTAACCAGGACCCTGAGCTGGAACTTCTGCCGGCTTCTGTGGTACAGTACACTGGCTATAGGCAGGCACGGGGGTGCACGCCTGTAATCCGAGCACTTCAGGAGGCTGGGACAGGAGGTTTGCAAGCTCGAGCTGGGGCTAGTTGTGAAACTTTGTCACAAAATAAAAAGGGCCAGGGTGAGGGGGTAAGAGACCCTCTTACCATGACCACAGGGCAGGAGGAAGTCGGGCAGTTACATGTGGTTACAACATATTTCTCATACATCAGCCATAGCAGAGGTTTTCAAGAGCAGAATAGGGGTAAAATAATTAGGAATTAGATGCAGTATGAGGATTTGTTTGCTTTTTATATAATTAACCCAATTTTAAGTTTACATAATCTAATGTTTACTAAATGGCCATGATGAATATCTCGAGCTGGTCCCCGGCAGTACCCAGGTCATTGGGCAAGGGGCTGTTTCTGCTGGGAGGAGTCTAGGATCCTCCTTGAAGGTTGCTTGGTCCCCTCTGGGGGGACAGGAGACCTCATTAGTGTCTGGCAGGTCTGAGTGACACGCGATCGCCATCTAGTGGCACACAGGAGATCGTCTGGGCCCTGTTCCCAGCGCTGGTTTCTGAAGCGCTGGGGCAGAAGTCTGTGGTGCTGTGGGATTATAAAATAAAAGGAGCTGGTGGGGTCACTGCCTGAGTCCTCTCCTGCGGCACAGATGCGAACGCCACCTGCTAAGGAGAAGTGGTCCAGGCAGGTGCCAGCCCAGCCCAAGGTGGTGTCCTGCTGCATGCACGCTGTCACTCTGTTCCTGGGCGGTGCCAGGTGTGGTGGGCAGAGGTGAGCCCAGGCAGCCTGTGGGGCACATGGGTCCCCACCATCAGGCCCTGGCTCTGAAGGCTGCTTGGGTTCACAGCTGGGGTCGGGGCTGCACGACAGGGTGGGCAGCCCGGGGCCACCTCTGTCATTTCCTGGCAGCGCATTGAGATGTAGTGATCTGGAGCCATATGTGCCCAGGCTGGAGCAGGCCCAGGCCAGGTGCAGCCACCATGGCCAGAAGCTCTAGAATATTCCTGCAGGAGGTGTAGACATGGCACCAGGGAGGGTGAGGTCGTGCACAGGGTAAGGAGGCTGAGAGCCAGCTGTGGCTCCCTGGGGAAGCACTGCCTGTTGGGGCACTCTGTACCCTTCTTCACACAGAAAGGGGGCAGGGTGACCTTGTGTCGCTGAAGCACCCGCACCTGCTGGCTTCCCAGTGGGAAACCGAGATCCAGTCTACTCCTTTCCCAGCAGCTGGCCTGGGCAGCGGGACCGGGTCTCTCCCACCTCCGCCTGTCCAGCCGCTTGCCAAATGACCTGGGCCCAGGACAATCAAAGCAGCTGTTGCTGCAGCGTGTGGGCACTCAGATGCCCCGGGTCCTCCCTTTTCCATGTGATTGGCTAGAAGAATCGCTCTGAGTAAGACTGCAGTACCCTGGGCCTCTGGGCTGCTCCAGCAGCTGCACAGCCAAGGTGGCCCACCCCACCCTAGTTCCCTTTTCTCAAGGCAGCTTTATTAAAGATATAATTCATAGCCGGGCGTAGTGGTGAGGCTGAGGCAGGTGGATCCCATCAAGGTCAAGGCCAGCCAAAAGTGTATATTGAGAGCCTATCATTAATAAATCAGCCAACCACAGACTCAACCCATTTAAAATGTGCAATTTAACAGTTGGAAATACACTGAGTTCTGCAGCCATCATCATCACTGAGAGTATTTGATCAGCAGAAAAGAAAAGTTTCCTTGAGTCTCTCTCCTTCCTCCTCTCCTGGTCCCGGGAACCCACAGACCGGGCTGTCACGGGTGGTTCCTGCACTCCTGCTAAACCTCAGGTCCCTGACCTTTATAAATGGCATTATTGTCTCACCTTTGAGTTTATTTCAACTTTGAATTTCTCATGCTAGTACATACAGAGAAGCCAATTTCTCTTTAGAGAAAGAAATATTTTTATCAGTGCCAGTGAAAGTTTACAAAACACCGGCACCCGGTGTGTGTGTGTTGACCTGACCCCACGGCCTCCCTTTGTGGCTGACCAGTCTGAGGTTACCCGGGATGTGTGCCAGCCTGGGCGTAGCTCACTCTGCTCCAGCTCCATTCCCCACAGGCAACACTTCCGTGCCCCTTCACCTGTCTGGGGCTGGGTCTGCGGATAGCCTTCCCTGTGTAAAGGGCAGCACAGCTGCTCCCACCGCAGCTCTGGCTTAGTTTTTCACAGCCCCTCCTTCCAGGCGTGCATTGGCTGCTACACTAATTGAATTCCGTGTCCTGTGCCCACACTGGCAGTGCCGTTTGTGCTCCTGATCCCTGGCAGGGTGGGACGGAATCCGTGTGGTTCTCTACTTGCAATCTTTGTAGCTGATTTTCGTACCCTAGCATCTTACTGGAGCCCCTAAAACAAGTGCAGATGTGTCGCTTTTGCGGAAGAGGTCTTTTTGCTTCTATTCGAGCGAGGCCTGCTCTTTTTCTTGCCTGGTAGTGGTGGCCAGTGTTTGGTACTGGACCAAAGTGAGGCCTACTGGTGGAAGGTGGAGAGCGCTCAGGGCCAGAGCTCGAAGGAAGGAGGTGTCTGGCAGGGAAGACCCTGAGGAGAAGGAAGAGAGGACTGGGGCAGAGCTGGGGAGGCCTTCATCTGCTATGAGGCAGGGGGCACGCACCGGAGCCCCAGCACTGGGATGCCAGGGTCTGCAGTAATGAGGCAGTACCCCTCCCCCAAACCCCTACAGAGGAATGGGCTGAGCACCTCCGGGGTTTCTGGGGAGGGCTGGGCACACCCCACCCATCTGTGGTTTCCGTCTTCCCTCCCGGGGTGCCCAGGAATCAGAGGACTTTGGTACTGGCCGATGGCTCTCGGTGACCACATACTGACACAGCACAGGCTGCTAGCAAAAAGGCAGCCTGCTGGTCAGTTCAGGGCCCTGCTCAGGGCGCCTCTGCCTGCAAGAGTGTGACTGAGCCTGCCGGCTGTGTCTCACCCAGGCCCCCTCTGTCCACAGTGTCCGCAGACAGACGACCAGCCGGCCTCCCCCAGCAGGGGGCAGGCCCAAGCCCCAGCCCAAGCCCAAACCACAGGTGCCGCAGTGCAAGGCCCTGTATGCCTATGATGCTCAGGACACGGACGAGCTCAGCTTCAACGCCAATGACGTCATCGACATCATCAAGGAAGGTGAGCGGGTGGCCAAGCGCACGCGAGTATGAAAATACAAGAAAGCAACTCCCGGGCTGGGACCCAGGCAGCACCACACAGGAATGGTCCTTCGCCGTGAAGGATGGGGAGAGCTCTTTGCCACTGAGCAAAATTAGGGAGACTGGAAACGGCAGGTGACTGTGAGCTGGGTGTGGTGGTGCACACACCCATAACCCTAGTATTTGGGAAGCTGAAGCAGGAGGACCCTTGTGAGTTTGAGGCCACCCTGGGTGACTTAGTGAGCTCAAGGCCAGCCTGAACTATAAACTGAGACACTGTCTCAAAAAAAAAAAAAGTTATTCTAAGACAACAGCCTGACCAGGACCAGAGAGCACGACTACCCGATTGCCATGGGGGAGACGAGAGGACAGGCAAGTTAGTATCCTCCAAAGAAGTCAGGATGGAGGGAAACACAGACAGCCTCGTTTAGAAAAATCCTGAAAAGGGATTGGTTAAACTGCTGTATTCATTCAGCGAATTTCAATGCCAACATTTTGCATTCCTGTAAAAGTTCAGTATGTTTACTGACATGAAAAACTTTGTGAAACAAAAGGAAACGGACCTTAGGTGCAGAGCATCTGTAATCCCAGCTACTTAGGATGCTGAGGCAGGAGCACCAGCAGCCTGCAACTTTGCAAAGACCTTGAGTCAAAAAATGAAAGGGCTGGAAATGTAACTCAGTGGTAGCATGCCCTCAAAAAAGGGACTAGGTTGTGAGATTACACTGCTCTGCACTTTGCACATGTAATCATGTGTGCCCCTGTCTAGGCTGAACCCAGAACCTCAAAGTATATGCTAGTTGGTTGCTTCCTTTTGTTTGTTAAAACAAGGTCTTGCGGGGCTGGGGATTTAGCTCAGCGGCTAAAGCGCCTGCCTTGCAAGCAGGCAGTCGTGAGTTCGATCCCTGGTACTGATAAAAAGGAAAAAGACAAAAAAAAAAAAAACAAGGTCTTGCTGTGTAGCACCAGGCTGGCCTCAAACTTGCTGCGACCCTCCTGCCTCAGCCTCCTGAGTGCTGGGATCATAGGCATGTGCCACTAAGCCTGGCTGCTATGGCATCTTACACCAAAGGGGAATGGATAGATAACTGCTTTCTATTTTGAAAACAGTTGCCTATTTCTGCCTCACACACCCAAAATAAATAGATGAATTAATGGTCTAAAAATATGTGATTAGGTTATGTAAGTCTTGGAAAGAAACCTAGAATAGAAATTTTTTGAATAGGAAAAGCCTTTGTGCAAGACATTAAAACACAAAAACTAAGCAGGACTTGATAGCATAAAAAGTCACACTTGCAAACGTCTGTATATTTAAAAAGTGTAGGACGGCAGGCTGGGAAAAACATTTTGCAAATAGTTTGTCCTTGTAACTGGTCCATCCAGTCTCAAAGTGGACAAAGGCCTCCAAAATGGGACAGAAGGGAGTCAGGGGAGACAAAGCAAAACCCCTTGCCTCCATACCAGTGAAGGCAGAGTTCGGAGTGCCACGCCTGAGTAGCGGGCGCTTTCGGGGCATCATGCACCAGGCTCCCCTTGTGGTCCAGGGCAAGACCCAGGTCCAAACTCTGGAGCTGCTGGAAACTTGGGTGCTCCGTGCTTGGGGAGAGGGACGCCACCAGTGCGTGCCCATTGCTGACGAATGAGTCGCCAAAGACTGTTTTGAGAACTTTCTGGGTTTTGTCATCACAGTAAGTGTAGACTGTCCTACCTGTTAGGAATAGAGCTTCTCTTCTGAATACGTATAGGAAATAGGAGCCATTACTTCAGAGAACATTTGGCAATAGTGAGCATATCAAATCATTACTGCGGCTCTACCCTTTACCCCTGTATCAAGTAAACTGCAAACAGCATGAGCATTTCCTCTGTGAATTACCTGAGTGTGGGACAGGATTTCCAACACCTGTGGAAAACCAAGTGGCTGTAAAGCTACTTCATTATTAAAACTAACAGTTATAAAAACGGGGACAGCCTTACAACTCACAGGACGAACCCCCAACCCCCAATCTATGGGACTCTCCCAGACAAGCCAAAGGCAAAGAATTGAACAGGCAAATCACAGGAATATAGCGGTGGAAGAGAATACAGAGGCTCTTCCTGTACTGCTACACAGCAGTCCTCCGTGGACGTTAGGAGTTTCAGAAATGTCAAACACACGCTACACTAACATTTGTGTACAAAAGTGGGTAGTCTTTACTCACTATTCTCACTGCTTTTGAGATAATAAATAAATTATATTAATTATACTAAAACTAGAAGGTCCCTCTTCTTACGGCCAGAAATGTGTCTCAAAGAACTGCTTGCTTGTGGGCACAAATACTAAAAATTGGAAACAAGCGTCCTTCAGTAAGGCGACAGCAATGCAAATATTAGTACAGCGCATGTATTTTAAAAGTGAGATATTAAAAGAGAGAAGGAGCCGGGCGTGGTGGCTCACGCCTGTAATCCAAGCACTCAGGAGGCTGAGGCAGGAGGATCGTTGTGAGTTCGAGACCAGCCTGGGCTACAAACTGAGCTCAAGGCCAACCTGAACTACACAGCAAGACCCTGTCTCAAAAAGACAAAAAATAAAAGAGAAGGAGACAGTAGATGCAGAATAATCAGGTATAGAACACCTGTTGTAAATGGATTTGCACGTATTTAGAACTGCACAGAAAGACTCCAGATCCTCCCCCTGGGGAAGGGCCTGAGACAGGAAGTCAGTGCGGTCTCTAGCGGGCTCACATCTCACCACAGGCTCCTCCACGGCAGAGGAAGGAGCAGCCGAGTGCCGCCCTGCTCATGTCCTCCCACTGTCTCTCCCTGCTGCAGATCCTTCAGGCTGGTGGACAGGTCGGCTCCGAGGCAAGCAGGGCTTATTCCCCAACAACTACGTGGCCAAGATCTGAGGCACCCGCACCCGCACGGCACAGACAGACCAGGGCCACCCGGGGGCGCCCCACTGACCCACAGTGAGCAGTCGCTTCTCCCAGGCCCCAGCAGGGGGGGTGCCTTCTGCGTGCAGAATCCTGAAAAGGGGACTGAGGACAGGAGCGCCACCCCACCAAGTGACCCTAAACGGTAGCCTGGTGTGGGGACCAGGCGGGCACAACCACCGCCCACCAAGATTTATTTATTGTATTTAAACCTGGTGTGTGGACAAGCGAGACCCCAGTGACCTCGCTGGCTCCCATCCCAGCAGCCTCCTGTGGCCTGTGCGCCTTGGCCCCTGACAAGTGCCTTGACCGGAGAGCACATTGCTGTCCCCCATCGTCTACGATTCCCTTCAGGAAGGACCTGCTCATGAGCGCGCAGGCTCCTGGCTGGTGCAGGGCTGCTGGCCTACCTGGGCAGGGCACTGGGCGGACGGCCTTGCTTTCTCTGGTTCTTCAGTTGGAGTTTGGCTCACGGCAGTGTCACGTTTAATGCTGTACTTATCTCAAGAAGGATCTTTCTTAAGCTGTACATTTATTAAAAAAAAAAACCTCAGATCATATACTATATATATAAACTCTCGGGGTGGTAGGGACACATATGAATGTGCTAGTAGCGTCCCACTGTGCTCGCTCGGGAAGGTCAGTTTTATTAAACCTTGTACCAGGTACTGACAAAAGATGGCCCTGCTCCTCCTCAACTGCAGACACTATGGCTGCTTCTGACTCAATCCCCGAAGACCCTTGTCCACCCTTGTGTCCCTCCCCACCTCCTACCCAAATAAAGGGACCAGTGAGCCTTACTGGTGCCATTTGCTCCAGGTCATCATTGGGACCCCACCCCTGCGCATGGATGATGATAGTCCTATGTGTGCGGCTTTCTGTGACGAATTCTTGGGATAGGACCCCTCCGGGAGGGAAGGAGATTCAGGGGTCCCGGTGGCTGGCTGGCTGGCTGGCTCCAGGGCCTCAGGCAGCTTGGGCCATGGTGGCAAGGATGCAAGTCATCCCCTTCACGGACAGGTCCCCAGGGAGCCATGTCCCTCCGCTGGCCCTGCTCTGTGCGGTTTCCTGCCCTCTCAGTCCTGCCATAGTTTGAGGGCCCCCTGCGCTACAGAGTAAAACCCCGACTCAAGCCAAAAGCCAAGCCAGGTATGTAGCTCCGCAGCATAAGCACCTGCCTGGCAAGCATGAGGTCCCAAGTTTGATTCCTGGTACCCCAAGGAAAAATCAGCCCTGTGTGGACCACAATTCCACACAGGGGCCTTCGGGGTCACTCAAGATCCAGCACAGCCTTGCAGCCCCGAAGGCTGGTGACCATCTCACACTGCAGAGCACATTCAGTTCCTCTCTGAGCCCTGAAGTCCCCTCCAAGACTTAGGAATGCTCAACTGTGAGTCCCTGCAAAAGCAATCAATGTGACACAGGGCAGAGGTGGACACACCGCACACATAGGACCCCAGCAAGGAGGGGAGGCTGACTCCACGGCAGGAACCGAAGCCAGCTGGGCAGGGGGCGATAAGCGCCCTGCCCCACACACCCAGCCATGCGTGGCCCGGGTGACTCACCTGGGGGCGCTGTCCTGCTGCCTTGCCACCACACAGGCTGGCTGTGTTCACTGCTGACCCCCGCAAACACACTGTCCCTGGGCTCCCCACTGTCTGGGGAAGTCTCAGCAGGAGGCTCCAGACCCACATAGCTGGCATCACACGGCACCACGTCTGCCGCTGGTGTGACTCCAGCAGGACCCGCATGGGCCTTGGCTCCTGTGGCCTCTGAAGGCCTCGCTTGCTGCTGCAGGGAATGAAGCCTGGATGGCACCCCACATGGCCCCTGCCCAGTGCCCAGTGTGCTGCACTTGGGAGCCAGGGCTGAGTCGCTCCTGTGCCCTGACTAGTGGAAGACGTCCCCCGCGGTCCTTGTGAGCAGCACGCAGCTTCTCCCCAGCGCACTGATCTCTTCAGCAAGTGCCCCTCCTTGTTGGCGTCCTCCCAGCGTCTCAAAAACACACTGCTTTTTCAGCCAAGCTGCACCTTTCCACCATGTGTCACCCCGCTCCTCCTTGCAGCTGCTTCCCACCTGGCTAAAGCAGCCATTCATTTACAGGCCATGCTGCTGCCTTGAAATCAGTTGGCCCTGCGCCTTTAACCTAGGCTTCCGCCTCAGGCAGGCGATGAAGTCAGGAATGTCTAAGGAAGGAAGAGCTGGACTAAGGAAGGAAGAGCTGGACTCTAGCTCCTTCCACCCTGCAAGAGCTAGCTGCGGGGCACAAGACTCAAGAGGAGCTCCCCATCCCGCCCCACACCCACCCCCTCAGGCAGGGTCACAGCAGCCACCCCTCTTGCTGGTGCCAGCTCCCTGTATTAACCTTTCTGTCACTGTTACAACCTGAGATAAAACAACCTTAAAAGCAGTTTGCCTTGGCTCCTGGTTCCCTGGGGGTGGCATGAGGCAGGATCACTCCAGCCGGGCACCTCCGTCCCCTGGGTGAGGTCCCCAGTTCCATCCTAGCACTTCAGAAAAGTGAAACCAGAGATACAGCAGCCCCAGTACAAAGCGGGCGGCCTTGTTCAGAAATGGAGTGTTTGTGGGGCTCACCGGAGACACAGCCATGGGGCCTCCCAGCCTTGGCGGCCAGGCATCCTCATGAGGAGCCACGGCCACAGAGGGAAGTGGAGAGTGCATCGATGGACTCCCGCTGTCCTGACCTCGCCTGTTGGGCGGATGGCAGTGTGACTGGGGGATCCAGACAGCGACTCCACAATTCCAGGGCGATCCACTTCGAGGAAAGTTGTGGAGAGACACTGCGCTAGGTTTCCTTTTATTTTTGGTATCAAAAACCAAACTCAGGACCTTGTGCTTACCAGCTGCACTTATTTTTTTAGAAAAAACAGAAAAAAATACTTTCTAACACCATTTTGTAAACAGTCACACTGTGCACTTTTTAACTAAACAATGACATTTTTTTAAACCTATGGATTTATAGCAAATCTTGTGTAAAGTCAATGAGTTAGTACCAGAGAGATGAGTAGGGTGAAAATTTTCTGAAAATGTCCGACTGCAGCACTTGATAAAGGCAGGTAACTATTTTTACATGCCACAAAACATTCCTTTATAACTTAAAGTATACAGTGAAACACTAAAAGCATCAATACTTTTATTATAAACCAGTCAATTACTTAGAAGAATATTCATTGGAACTTACTAAGAATCAGAAAATACTGCATCTGAGGTAAAAATGTAAAAGCACAGAAAACTATCATTTATAAGGACCAGAAAGTGCGGAGGGCAGTTGGTGTTTTCTGAGGACTGTGTCACTTGAGATTTTGAAGCTGCTTCAACAAATGTGACTCAGCAACCTGCTGGACACTGCCACAGCCCAGGGCCATAGAATTGTGCCCAGTCTGCCCCAGTGGCTGGTCAGCTGCGTTTTCTAACAGCATCTTGACATGTTCCACATGATTCCCATGGTCAGTGTAAAGCAGAGATGCCCTTCCATCCAGTCACATTTCATTCACAGCAGCTCCAAAATCGGGCAGCATTTAGATAATATCCGTGTAGCCTTTACTGCCGGCCAGTGGTGGGCACCTACCCAACCCTTCCCTAAAAGCTGGGGATCAGTGCCGTTCTGAAGTAGCAACCCAGCCACGACTGTCTGCCTGCAAGCCACAGTCCACATCCAAGGAGGAAACCCTCCTTCATCCAAGCAATTGATAACATTTTCTTGCAAGTAGCCAGGTACAGCATCTCTCCCTGGGCTGCCCACTGCTGGACGGGCAAAGAATTTGCTAGCACAGGTATGCTAGAGGCCTTATTTCCTCTCCATGTGTTTGGTTCAAGCAGCCAACTGTTTTGTGGGTGAGAACAGGGTATGTGATGTGTCTTACTTGAATTTTAGGAGGAGGAGATGTATGGGTATTGCATTTTGGTTTCTGTGAGAGTCTAGAAAATCCAACTAAAAGATGACTTCCAAACTTGTCTTGAACTCCAAATTTCATGATGGAAAAAGAACAGAAACAAAACCAAGCCAAAAAATGGGCCAAAGCAGCAATAAAAAAAAACTCCATTTAAACAAAAGCAGAGGCAGATATTTATACCATAACTTTAACCTTTCAATAGGACAGACCGCCTCCTCTGGGTTAGAACTAACTTGATCTTGAATACTTTTACTTTCCTTGTCATTTAAGGATTTCATAAATCAGAGACAAACATTCATATCGGAGAGGTATATGGCAGGGTGAATTTTCCCACGGCAGCTCCCCAAGCCAACTCTCTCTCTGAACTTGGGACTAGCAGACACACTGATGTCTGGCGTGCAGAGACACAGCACCTGCTGGACTCTTCATGGTCAGCTGAGCCAGATCCATGTGTGATGCTGTAGCCATGATTTCAACTAAAGTTTTCAATAATTAAAGCATTTCTTCATGATGTGAATAATAAGAGCAGTATCCAATGTATTCTTAGAATTTGGGTATATAAAAATCTCAAGCCCAGGCTTGCTTGGGCCCCAATGTCACTTCTGATTTCTTCTTTCACCTTCTGGCAAAAAAAAAAAAAAAGGTTCCATATGGCCACAGCTGAGAGGATTTCCCGGATTCTATCTGTCTTTAAGCAGCCTTTATGCTCTGTGGTCCACCTGCTTGAGAGCTAGAGAGAGTCATCTCAGGTGACAGCTCTGGGGCCCTAGAGCAACACCCCAGCCTTTTCTGGTGGCTCCTCCTCCTCTGGCTGCGTTTATTCTTAAGCTGACTTCTGCTGCCAGAATGACCCAGGATAAATGACATTTCCTGTTTTTCCTAATTAGCATGTCTTCAGAAAATCGCCTTTCGCCACAGGGCCCTCAGCTGCCGGGCTGGGTTTCTCAGCTGCTCAGGACCAGCATTCTCAGGAGTTACTGACCCAAAGGAACACAGCAGTCCAGGGCAGCCAAGGGCACCTTCGTGGATGGGCACGCTGTACATCCACAGGTGTGCACACACATGCACGCACACCCATACGTAGCCCCAGGGCACATGATGTGGAGCACACATGAAGATGTGCTCTCTGCATCTCTGGAGCAGCCAAGGTGCCTTCCCTGACCCGGGACACAAGCTGGTATGTCCGTGCGTCCAGGGGGACCAGCAGTCACAATGCTTGGCTCGGCACCCCTTTATGTTCCTAAGAGTTGAACTTTGATTGGTCATATCTCTCAATATTTACAATATGAAATGAAATGGAAAATGAAAACTGGAAAAAACATTAAAGGCAAATACACACTCACCACCACAGCAATGACTGCCCACGTTTCAGGCAGTCCCGGGAAGGTTCCGCCACATGCTGCTGAGAGAAAGGAGGGGAGAAAGGCAAGGAGCATCTTAATTTTGTCATCAGCACAGTTCTGATGAAGGGTCTCCTGGAGTCCTGGAGCCCGCAAGGGCAGGCACTAATGAACTGGGGCAACCAGGGAGAGGGCTGAGCCCCTCTCAGTGCCTCGGGAACAAGGCTGAGACACAGAGGGCAAAGGGAGAAGCCTTTCCGTTTGTTTGTTGATCGAATGTTCCCCCAGCCGGAAGCACCAGTCACACCCTGGCATGCTTTCCTGGCCGTGCTGGCTGAGCCTGACCCACTGCTGTGTAAGACTAGCCTCGAGGGGAAGAGGAAGGTGACGCCGGAACTGTACCAAGTTCAAGGTCAGCCTGCGCTACTCAGTGAGTTGGAGGCCAGCCTGAACTGTGCAGTGAGACCCTGTCTCAAAACAAAGAAAAGCAAAAATGAACTCCACCTGCCATGTCCACTGCCTCCTGCTGGCCAGAAGGTAGTCATGTGGTCTCGGCTGCAGCAGAGCTGGGCCTATGGGCTGTGGCCTCCCATACCCAAGGGCCAGAGCACCCTCCACCACTGCCTCCTCCCCAGTCATGGCTGCTCCTAGGCACAGAGGCCCCCATGAACAAACAAGACTCCTCCCCAGACCTTCCTCAAGTGGAGTTAGTCACACTAAGTCTGCTTCTGGTTGCTACTTTATAGGTGGTGCCCCAAGTATGGTTTCATTATCGATGGGATTAGAATCTGGTTTCCAGGGCAACCAGCAGAGTCCACACAGGGCATCTGTGCTACTCCCTGACACCCCTCACTTTGGTGATCAAGAGTGGGCCTAACTGAAAATGTTGCCCTCTGATTGGTCACCTTTCCCACTGCTGAGACAAAATTCCCAACACCGACAACTTAAAGGAGGCTCACGGTGTCCGAGGTTTTAGTCAGTGGTTAGCTGGCTCCAGCTGGAAACATCATGGGAGGGGAAAACTGCCCAACTCCTGGCATGTGAGAAGCTGAAGCAGTGGAACAGCCTGAGAAAAGGGGACCAGCTATTGTGCACAAGGCCACGTCCCATGGCCACCCAGACACACCCGCAAGTGTGCATTACTAAGCTAGGCATCTCTGGAGCCCGTCAAGTTGACAATGAAACTGAACCGCTGTATCCCTTTCTCTACAGACTTTGCCCTTTCCAAAGGCCTGAATGAGCACAGTTCACTCTGGATTGTGTAACTGGCTTTACTGCTGTCACCTAATCTCCATGTGCTTTCCTCCTTCTGAGCTGTCCCTGTCTGTTCTGAGGGTCCCTTCCCACCCGAGGGCGTCTGTGGCAGCTCTGCCAGGGATCAACATGGCTTTGGCATGTGGGGGTCACACAGGGATCTTGACCTGACCCCAAGGCCCATACTTGTAATCACTATCCCTTATTAAACAGACAGGAATTTGACAGTCCAATTTGATATGTCCAATATCTGCCTCCACCAAGAAAAAGAAAAAAAAGAACCTTGAAAAAACCCAAAAGAAATACTAATGGGACTCAGTAGCTGTAAACCCCTTTGATGGGAAGGAGCTGCGTCTAACACATCTCAGATCTCTTCCCAAACCATCACTCCTCTGGAAGTACTAGCAGCGACATCCACGTACCTCCTTTGTACCGAGACTGTGCTAAGCATTGGGCACAATTAAACTCAACCCAGGCCAGTGCCTTCAGGTCTGTGCCCCTCTACACCATCTCCTAATTTCCCATTTTCTGATGTCAATGTTTCTGTGGTACTGATTTCTACTTTTCCCACTTATTTCATATATATAGCACTAGCTTGAGGCACTGCTGTGACACACAAGGAAGGTTTTTCTCACTGGGATCTAACCCAGCTATGTCCCCAGCATAGGAAGTAACTTAAAGGCCTTTCTATAACTTCCCGGAAGAACTTCCTGAGTCAGGGCATTTAACATTTAACTAAGAAAAACTATAACAAGCAAGCTTTACATGTCATTGGAACATCCCCCAAAGGTCTCCCTCTTCTTGGGAAGCAGTGAAGCCAAGTGTCCCTGAAAAAGGATGTTACCTTCTGGAGCCAGCAGAGTTCCTCTGAGCCTCACCTGCTGCTGGATACACCTGTGATCCAGCTGTGGAACAAGCTCCTCAGCTCTTCAGAGACTGTGCAACAGGAGGTCAGCACACAGAGACGCCCTGCACAGCCCTTAGAGCTGCAACAAGCTGGGTGCCCTGGCCTGCTGGGGGAAGGGGTGAGAGCTCCTAGGCTTCCCCCTGGCGCGGGTCCCCATGGTACCTGCACAGCAGGCCACACTGAGGATCTGCCCAGCAGATGACAGCATCTGCCACATTCCAGGCTCAGACCATGCTGAATTAAAGCACAGCTCATAGCCAGCACAAATGGCCCAAAAAAGTTGCCAGGTCTCCCAAATCTATTTGACTAACGCCTTTATTCAAGAGATGCCAACCAGCGTCTCACTGAACTCACAGTTTAGGATGCTGCTGTCATAAAACACTCAACAGTCTGTGGTTTTTCTTCAATTTTACGTGAGGGATCAGAGACCAAGGACATATGCTCCTTAAAAACTCGGAAGCATTTCATGTTTAAAAAGCACTAAAGGTAAAGGAGTACAGCTTAGTAGCAGATAACTTACTGAGTATGCATAGGACTTGGAGCTCCACCCTAGCACTGCAAGAAACAAAATGAAGCAAAAACAGTGTAAATGTACCATGTGCCCCCCCCCCACACCCACATTTAACCCATGTAGCTGGAGCAGCTCAGCAGGAAAATATGTCCCAAGGGTCACCTTTCCCAGGATGTCACGGCCCATTTCCTTCCTCTGTCCCATGTCTTTGCAAGAGACCCATCCTGAGGGCTCGACTGGTGGTCTTCACCCTGCTGAAGCAGCTGTCCTAGGCTGAAGAATTGCAGAAGAAGAAGTCTTGAAAGGAAACTGCCATGGTTATCCCCCTCTCCCTTTTAAATTTTCAGAACCAAAATTCATTCATAATCAAGGACGATCTTTTGCAGAGCCAGAAAGGCAAAAATGTACATGCTACTTAGAACAGCTCAAAAAGCAAACACATTTCTGCTGATTTCTTGGGTGTAGAAAGCACACACATAGACACATGGGTTTCGATACCTTAAGAAAAATCAATAGCTTTATTTTTCTTCGGTATATTTAGAAAATTAGTTTGAGAAGAGGTTGCATGGAATAGGCCAGAGGATTATTTACAAAATTAGAGAGTTCCAAATCAGTGTTTAAAAAAAAAAAAAAAAAAAAAAAAAAGACAGAAAAGGCAGAAAGTGCAGGGTGGTGACCCTGGGCCTAGGGCCGTGCCATCAGTGGGCTAGCCAGCTCCTTGACGGCTCTGGAATTCAGCTGCGGGATGGTGCTGATCTTCAGGAGTTTGCCACTGGCATACTTATTCTTGACAGCCTGCAGAGGTTGAGGGGAACAGTGTGGGTCGGGACCCCCTCGAGCCCCTCTGCTGGTCTAACTCATGAGGGGCTCCAGCCACCATCTCCAGACGGCACTATGATACCCAGCTCTTGACCAGCTCTGCCCGATCAGCCTCCAGTGCCCAGGTGAGCCAAATCCTGCTGGCCAAGGAGGACAATAGGCAGTGTGTGCAGTAAAGGCCCGGCAGTGGCTATCCCCGAGCACCTGGAGGGCTGCACAGGGCGTACTGCCACAGCTGGGTGCTGTCAGCACCAGCAGCACAGGACTAGTACCAGTACTTGGCCCAGGCCACACCTTCAGGCTGAAACCTGCAGCACAAGGGTGCCGAGACCTATACCCTGCTCTTGTTGCCAGACCCCTGCTGAGTATGGTATGACCCTAAGGCCACACCTGCTGCTCCTCCACGGTGACCCACATGAGACACCCAGGGCTCTACCTAGGAAGCTCCTGGCCCTAGCTGCCCTCCCAGCACAGCTCACAATAGCCTGGACGAGGGACACAGGCACTGATGGTCACTGGTACCCAGCCACCCTGCCGCTGGGAGCCTGAGGCAGGTCACTGCTGGCTGGGCCTGCCTGGCCAGGCCTCTGACCCAGCCTGCCTCAGAGCCTGCACCAGGGCCAGGATAACCCTGGGGAGACAGAGGATCTGTGCCAAGTACACCCTCCGCACACGTGGGTGACACAGCGTGATCCTCCCGCGTGCAGGCGCACCCAACCTGTCATCCTCTGACGCTGGACACAGAAACAGTGGTACTCACGATGAATTTCGTCAAGTTCTCGTTTACTTTCACCACGTTTTTGGCCATGTGCTGCATGACTTCCAGCACCTCGCTCTCCGAGTAGCCCGTGTAGTACTGCTGCTTTAGGTTCTGAAACGCAGGCGAAGAAGAAGACGTCACTGCGGGTGCACGGCCATCACCTTAGAAATTCAGTCACCTGGCAATTGTTGCCATGGCAACACAGGATGACTGTGTGCCTGAAATGAGCTAGAGAAGACACGCCAGGCTCTCCATCAAGTGCCAAAAGCCTCTGGGTATTTCTTGAAGAGGATGTAGGGTACATTAATTGACAAGTGTAACCCTCACAATCACCATACTGAACACATAAAGAATCAAGACATGTTATGCACCACTCGCCTCCATGAACGAAATCTTTAGGTAGTACAAATGTACACTAATAAAAACTTTTAAAAGTTCAATGTGAACAAAGTTTCAGGCTTACTTTGGTTCCCCTAGTAGAAGAGGAAGAAAAACAGACATCGTGAAAGCAAAGCCAGCCACAGAGGCGCCCTCTGAGATGCACACTCTGCATCGGCCGGGCGCAGTGGTTCTGAGCTCCAGCCCAGCAGGGTACACTTGGCCACAACAGGGGAAGTGTAGGATTAAGAACTGTGCAGTCGGCAGCGATCTACCAGATTCAGACTGAGCCACTGAGGACCTGTAGGTACTCACAAGCAGCAGCAAGAATTCAGAGCTCTCACACACAGCTGCCCAGGAAAGCAGGATGGGTGCTGATGGACACCGAGATTATCACTTAGGAAGATAAACAGCTTTCATTCCAGAGTTCTGTGATCCAGTTCTAAGTAGGACACTATATGTGGTATAATTTGCAATATACAGCACATTTTTTCCACACTGGGGATTGAACCCAGGACCTTTGCACGGGCTACATCCCCAGCCCACTTTTGAGCTTGTTCTGTTCTCTGACACAGGATGCCCAGGCTGGGCTCAAGCTTGCGCTCCTCATGCTTCAGCCTCCCAACCTACTGGGATAAGGCACACACTGTTAAGATGGGCTAAACACAGCTTAATCCTGAAATCCTTCAAGGGGGGAAAGAACTGAGCAAGAGCAAGACTGAGATCATGCATGGCCACTGGTATTTTAAATTTAATTCCCACAAAACTGAGAGATGAGATTTAGAAAGCACACTTAGAAATTTGGGTAAAATGACCTTTTTTGCCTCAAACTTTATTTCAAGATGAGAATGCACCTCGTGCAGGCTTCATTTGATTCAGTGACTGAGATCTTGCCACATCCCTCCTCTTCCTTCCTACATGCACATATATGCATACACGTGCACAGTTGTGCAGGTGCCATCTGCTAGTGCACCCCAGATGTGAGGACACACTCATCCCTGTGATGGTGCCATCTCACACAGACACCTCACCAACACTGAGTACACAGGGTCAAGATTCGAGTTTGTCCAACTGCAGCAGTACTTATAAGAAGGCCTTAAGAATCTAAGGGTTCAAAATTAGTCCCGCTGATGATCCCTGAATCAGTGATTCCACTGAGGATTTAAAAATAGTGGATTTGAAGTCAATCCCTGAAGCCCATGCCAGTCATTCCAGGGACTTAGGAGACTGAGGCAGGAGGTTACTTGAGCCCAAGAATTTGAGACCAGCTTAAAGAAAATAGCAAGACATTGTCTTAAGGAAAAAAAAAAAAGATTTCTAACCATCATCATGCTTTTTTTCTATGATTAGCTGCTATTCTCATCTTTAAAAAGAAAAAACTGTTCTGGGTGTGTAGCTCAGTGGTAATGCACTTACTTACCTAGCATGAGGCCCAGGGTTCTACCCACAGCACCACAAAAATAAATAAATAAATAAATAATTTAACAGCAGCAAAAAAAGACTGCATTTTTCAAATGGCAGAGCACAAGTAGGCAGCAGATCACGGCTTCTCTGGAAGGTGGAGTCCAGACAACGGGAAAAGGTCGTGTGCTCGGCAAGAGAGGGACGCCAGATGTCACAGAAAAACAGGATGCGCGGACAAGAAGCAAGCAGGCCAGACCAGCGGGCCTGGCTCCCAGGTGGGACACAACCTGTCTGAAAGCCCGAGGTGGCCCCTGTTGCCTGAGGACAAACAGCAGACACAGCTGCTGTAAGCTACAAATCCGGTGAGGGTTTCACTCTGAAAACAGCCCCTTCCACATGGCAGGCAAGCTTTGGAGAGGAATCCAGTGTGGTACCACCATACTAAAATCCCCTGGATTCAGCAAAGTGGTTTTAAGAGGGAAGTTTTTATACCTAGGAGTACCTGTATAAAAACACAAAAACCAGTGATTTCAAACAAATAACCTAATCAATGCATCTTGAGGTCTTAGAAAAACAAGAACAAGCCCAAACCAAATCCAACTGAAGGAAGGAAAGACTTCCTTCGGACTAAACATCAAAATGGGCATGGTGGAGCAAGTTATAATTCTGGCACTCAAGAGGCTGAGGCAGGACGATTCCAAGCTTGAGGCCAGCCTGAGCTACATACCCTGTCTGAAAAAAGGAAATCAATAAAGATCCTAGCTAAAAGAAAAAAGAAACCACAGCATTGAACAAAGTGTTAGTTCTTTGAAAAGATAAATGAGATGGATAAGCCCTTAGCCAAACTAATCCAGAGAGAGAGAAGATCCTGATCAATACTATCAGAGACAGAAAAGGGGATATGAGACACCACTGAAATCAGAAAGCTTACTAGGGACTATTGCAAACCTATATTCTGATAAACTGGAGAGCTGAGAAGAAATGGATAAATTTCTGATCACACACAACCTATGAACACAGAACCATGAGGACATAAGTACCTGCTCTGATCATTAGTAGCCGATGACATTGAAACAGTAAGAAAAAGCCCAATAATGAAAAGCACAGGGACTTCTGGGAAAATGGCATTGTGCTGATCAATAACAACATCTCAGCCTCTCCAAGATCCAAGATCCAGATGCTGGCAGATACTGACACTTGGGGAAAGAAGAAAAGAGAGCAGCTCATCCCCAGGAACTGCTGAGACAGAAGGGAAGACGCAGTCTGCACTTCTCCCCCAGCCCTTGGCTAGAGGCTCCCAGGAAAGGGAGACTGACTCTCCAGGGACAGAGGGACATCCGGTGATGCCAGAGAGCTGCACGGACAAACATGTACACTGAACCAGCAGGCTCTGGGTGCTGCAGAGAGCATGCACAGGACTCTGTTCCCACAAGGGTCCCTGGTCAGGGACAGCTGGTGAGGGACTTGCGTCTGAGTCAGGGAGAGGTCTTGGCGGGACACAACCCCGGGGAAGGGAAAGAGTCCTGAACCCAGGATACAGAGCTGCCCCTGACGGCATCACATCAGAGCTCCCCAGGGCTGCGTTCCCACAGTGACCGATGAGAGATAGCTGAGGTCAGGAGCCAGGTCAGGCTGCAAAGGGACAGGGCTGTCCCCGCAGCCTGCGACCATGCTCAGGCTGGGTGGCTCTGGATATGAGTCACCGCGCTGGGCCCTTGTCCTACTCCCAGGGACGCGGATCTGACTGCCGGCTTGGTCTGCCAGCGAGAGCAAGCAGAACTGTGGCCTGACTGGGACAATGCCCCAGACTGGAGACCCTGGGAACAACCACGCCCTCGCAGTCACAAAAAGTAGTGGGGTGCTTTTGATTTCTGTCTTTTATTTTGGTGTCGCTGTTGTTCTTTTATGGTTTTTGATTGTTTTATTTTTCCTTTGTCTTTCCTTTCCTTCTTTCTTCATGAGTCTATTAGGGTTTAAAGAATTTCACTTTCTCCTTTTTCCTTGCTTCATTTCTTTTTCTGACTTTTATTTTTTGTCATTTTGTTTTGTTTTTTATGGTTTTCTGAGACACAGTCTCACTATGCAGTTTAGGCTGTTCTCAAACTCATGACAATCCTCTCTGCTTGGCTTCCTGAATGCTGGGATACAGGTGTTCACCACCAGGCCCAGCTTTTCCTATTATTTTCTTGTTGTTGATTTTTTTTGATACAGGGTCTCACTATGCAATTCAGGCTGGCTTTGAACTCACTTTGTAGCCCAGGCATGCCTCAAACTCACAGTGATCCTCCTGCCTCAGCCTCTCAAGTGCTGGGATTACAAGTGTGCACCACGATGTTTGGCTTTCTTTTTACTTCCCAAATAATTTTCTCTTCTTTTTCTTTTGCTTTCTACTCCTCATCAGTTTTTTTCTCTTACCTATGTCTAATTCTATAGCCATCTTTCTATGCCCCAGTAAGATCCTTTGTACTTCTTTCTCTGGTTTTCGTTTAGTTTTGATTTTTTTTTTTTTTTTTTTTTTTTTTTTTTTTTTTTTGAGACAGGGTGTTATGTAGTTCAGGTTGGCCTCAGACTACAAAAGATCCTCCTGCCTCAGCTTCCCCCCACCCAAGTGCTGGGATCACAGGTGTGCATCACCATGCCTATCTTTAAATATCCACAAACTTCAGCACACAGAAGAACAAAACAAACAAACAACAGCAAAACAGAAACATAAAAAGACAAGACAACAAGATGCCTCCCAAAAGTCTCCTGAAGTCAACCCAGGGCCATGGAGGATAAAAATAGCGTAAACCTCACACACAAATCACCTGAAATGGTAACAGAGAAGGTTAGATCAAAAGAAGGTTAGATCACTCAGCAGCATCACAGAAAACAGAACTAAATGCTTAATGGAATGAATAATGAAACTAACCCAGGAGCTTAGAAAACACTAAAAAAAAAAAAAAGCTAGCTGAGCTAAAACAAACTATACAAAGCACACATTATCAGATTAATGAAGAATTAGCCCATCACAATGTTTCACCCAGAAATCCAAGAGATTACAAATGATATTCAAAGCAACAGGCAGCAGTAGTGACCAGTGTGGGGACTGAATTTTAGACCTAGTGCTGGGTGTGGTGGCACGGGCTTATAATCCCAGCACTCTGGAGCCCGAGGCAGGAGGATCTCTGAGAGTTCGAAGCCAGCCCAAACTACACAGTGGGACCCTGTCTCAAAGCAAACAGCTTGTACCTAGATGTGCCCCCAAAGCCTCGTGCAGTCATAAGGAGGCTTCTTAGAGGTGGCTGGATATAGGGAGTGTGTGACGCTGGGGTTGAGGACATAATGCTGGGCTTCAGGGTGAGAGTGCTACCGCCCTAACGGTGGACAGAAAGGTCACATTGTTACCTGTCACTTGGTGCTCTGCTGCCGTCTGCCCACCATGAGCTGCTTCTCCTCTGTCATGTTCCACCCTGCATTGGGGCCAGCCCACTATGGACCGAAACCTTTATAAACTGTGAGTCCAATAAACCTTTACTCCTTTAACTCTAGGTGTCTTGTATTTTGTCTCAGCGATGAGAAAAAGTAAGACATAAAGGGGAAAAAATAAGCATACAGGTAAATGAGACCCGTAGAACACCAAACAGCCACGATCAGGAGAGAAGCTTCCCATGCCACTATACTCAAAATTCCAGAGGCCCGTCACAGGGACAAACTTTTAAGAGTGTTAGAGAAAGGCAACAAACAACATATAAAGGTAAACCCATCAGTATTACAGCAGACGGTTTTCAACACAAATGTTAAAGGTAGGGATTACTTGGAATGAAACACTTCATTAAAGTCCAGAAAAAAACCAACTTCCAACACAAGCAAATGTATCCTGCAAAACTTTCCTTAGAACTGACAGTGAAATACAGTATTTTGGGAACACCTGAAGAAATTCATGACTGCCAGACAAGCATTACCCAAAAAAAGAAAAAAATTCTCAAGGATATCCTAGAAAGAGACAAGGAAATCAGCAATGCCAATAAATCAAAAAGAATGAATAAAGCCAGGAGTGGTGGTGCATGCCTGTAATCCCAGCATTCAGGAGGCTGAGGCAGGACCTGGGCGAGTGAGGTCAAGGCCAGCCTGCACTACAAAGCAAGATTGTTTCAGACAGACAAGAAAGAAGAAAAAAAAAAAAAGAAAAAGAAAAAGAAAAGAAAGAAAAGAAGGAAGGAATGAATCAACACCATGCACCTACATCCACCTGAATGTTGACAAACGGGCCAAAAACACACATAAGAACAAGACAACCTCTTTCACAAACGGTGCTGGGCAGATTGGTTACCCATTTGCATCAAGTTGAAACTAGACCTGTATCTCTCACTTGCACTAAAATCAAATCAAAGGGGCCAAAGACCTAAACACAACAATGCTGAGACTGAAGGAAAACAACAGAAGAACATTTGATCCCACAGACATAGCCAAGGACTTCCTGAGCAGAAGTCTCAGGGCAAGGAAACGCTACCAAGGATCACGGAATGGGATTACACCAAATCCAAAGCTTTTGTGGCACAAGATCAACAGACTGAAGAAGCGTTCTACAGGACGAGGAAAAGTATTATGCCAGCTACTCTTCTGGTAAGAGAAAAGTGCAGCGAACATTTTAGGGCATTAATCACATGGCTGTACTTGCTTGATCTTGCAATATGCATAACAAGGTTGCAGAATTAGAGCAGATTAACAAGAAACTATTGAGTACAGTGTTACTGCTTAAAGCCCCTGTTTTGTCTAACTTTAATATCCTTTGAAGGGGCTATGCACAGTCATTGGTTTCAGATCTTTCCTCTGTCTGTAACCAGTTCAATAGTTACACTGTTTGTCTTTCTTAATTACATCTTGGAGTTTGCATCCAACAATATGTTCTTAAAAAGTCAAAAGGATAAGCTGGACGTGTAAAATCCCAGCACTCGGGAGGCTGAGGCAGGAGAATCACTGAGAGTTTGAGGCCAGCCTAGGATACACAGTGAGTTCAAGGCCAGCCTGAACTATACAGTGAGACCCTGTCTCAAACAAACAACAGTCAAACATGTGCATATTGAAATCCTAGCTACTCAGGAAGACAGGAGAGGAGACTTGTAAGTTCCAGACCAGTCTGGTCAACTTAGCAAATTCCCATCTCACGATTAAAAAGGCTAGAGGTATAGGTCAGGGGATTTGATCTCCAGCCAAGTCAAAAAGTTGCACTGCATTACATAAAAGCTAATAAAAAGTCACCATTCCAAGTCCTCCGAGCTTCTATGCTTTTCCCCCAGAGGGCAGCGCTGGCACTCTCAGGTCCCTGCTCGTACCTCATGGGGGTACTTGCTTGATCCTGCAATATGCGTAACGCAGTTGCAGAATTAGAGCAGATTAACAAGAAACTATAGAGTACAGTGTTACTGCTTGGAATCCGAGCACAGCAGGACATTGCACTCTCTGAAGGCCCCAAGCAGTCATGCTTGGGCGACTCTGCAGACACTGTGATGATGCCAGCCTTTCCTGTCAGCCGCCTAAACACAGTGGGGCCCACCTTCTCCAGCAAAGCACTCACCCATTTTCCCTGGCCCAGGACCTTCTGAGATAAGCAGGATGCAGCCGCCGCCACCTTGGAAGGATGGTAGTGCACCATGTCATAGTCGGTAAGTGTCAGCTCCATCAGGTACTTGGCCAGGGTGTGCTGCTCCACGTCCACCTGCAAGGAACCCACGTTACCTGCAGGGCTGAGATGCCCGCTCCAGGCGAGGGGACAGTGAACCTTTCAGAGCCCTCAGTGACACACAGCCTGTCATGTCGTGCATGTGTGTGCCACAGTTTTGCCACCACTGGCCTAGGGTCTTGGGTCTGCGGGGTCAGACACATGGGAGCTGGGATGGACCTGAAGGCAGCTTGCTCAACAGGCAGTGGCTCTCCCTTGCTCAGATCAGTGCTTCCCGAGGTGCCAGCAAAGACTCCACAGGGGTGCGGGTACTCACCTCTCCGGCTTTCGATGCCCGCCGGAGGAAATGCAGAGGCAGGGGGCGGCCCAGCTCAAATTTCAGTTCTTTCAGGATAAGCATTTCCATCTCTAGGATCTGGGCACTGGTGTAGGCATTGTCTGTGATGTAGACAAAGTCTTCGATATTTGGAGAAAACATCTCCTCGTACTTGGAAGCCAGGAGCAGAGCGGTGATCCCGACCAGCTGGAGCTTCTTGCGGGAGACAGGCTGGACCTGGGTGGGGAGAGATGTGTTTGAGTCACCGGTGACACGGGGGTGGCCGGCTGGGGGAGGACGAGAGTAGCAGAGGTCCAGGAGGACGGGTCCATCAGTGACCCTCTGGGGTGCAGAAGACTTGAATGCTAACGGAGCGGCCGCTGGCATCACAGGACAGATGGCCCCCAGGCTCTGCTAGCTTCCTCCCCCACCACACAAGCCCAGCAAATTTGAATTGTTGCAAATCGCAAACAGATGATCTTTAAAGGAAGTTCAGATGCCCACCCACGGTCACTCAGAGGCTGAGTAGGGAAGAATGCAAACCTGACTACCAGGTCCTTGTCATCCTCTGATGCAGTCAGGGATTGTAAGGGAAAAGACAGAATACAGGACACATAATTTACAGGATTATTTTATAATATTCACCCAAAGAGTCAAATGCAAAAGCATGGGAAATCTGTCTACACACTGAGACCCAAAGAATCCAGCTGAGGGCCTGGATCTCACACAGTGTCCAGCATGAGCTCAGCTGGAGGCCTAGAGCCCACAACAGTCTCCTGCAAGTCTCTATCAAGGATCTGCGCTGGACAGGCCCAAAGGTCAATGGTGGAAGCTAGAAAGTCTGTGCCAGCGGGCTGAAGGATCTGCACGGGAGCCAGGAAGCGATGCTCAAGTTAAGGACCAAAGCTTCCCTGAAAAGAACCACAGCCATACTCGGCAACAGCGAGGTCCCAAGCTCCTCCAATGATAACAGCAGAGTTCATATCTAGGAAACCTGCATGACAGGAAAGGGGACAGGAGAATCAACAGCTCACCATTTTCCTTCTAGTTCTCCTTCAATGCTGTTGGTGACCATCTTCAGGTGGGCTCTCCACTCCTAACACCACGCTGGCTCATTCCAGCTGGGGGTTCAAGTTGCCCACCAGTTGTTAATTCACCATGCCCTCTCCTGCACCATAGTGGGCTCAGCAGAAATGAGGTCACGCAGAACAGCACAGAGCTTAGATGCACAGCTTGAATGCTACCAGAATCCTGGCCACAGTCCCTGCTATTTAGCTTGAGCAAATCTTTCACTAGTGCTTCAGAGCCAGGGAAAATCTCAGTGTAGAGCAGTGGTGGTGAACCTGTGGCTCGAGTGCCACAGTGGGCTGTTCGTATCACTAAAAGGTTCGCCATCGTTGGTCTAGGACATAAGCATTTTCTTCAGTTACTTTCCTTCCTCCTCCAGTACCGGGATTGAATGCCAGACCTTCACACTAAGCTACATCTACACTTAGAAACCTCCTGCCTCAGCCTCCCAGAGTGCTGGAATTATAGGACTGCTACACACCTGGCTTTTTGTTTTGTTTCTTGGTTTTTTGAGACCAGAGTCTCCCTATGTAGCCCGGACTAGCCTCAAATTCTCATCGATCCTCCTGCCTCAACCTCCCAAGCCTGGCTTTTTTTTAAAGTAGGACTTTTTCTCCCTTACTCAGCACTTATTGTTGAAAATCTGCATAAAATGTTACTGTGCTTTTCTATCCAATGAGTACTCGGTACTGAGAACCACAGAACCACCAAAATCCTATGTTTCCTTAGGACTTTATAGCATCTCGAGACACTATCAAAATAATTATTGCTACATTGTTTAGGTAGAATTTGCACTTGAGCACACTCCTTTCATGAGCATTGATTCTAAATTCCTAACTGCAGGGCTACCACTTGGTAATTAGCACACGCACGGCTTACGGCTGGCATCTCTTTTGTTTAGTGTCGGTGTGTGAACAGTTAATAAGTATTTTGACAATTCTTAGTTTACTTTATGCCCAAATTTTCAGTGTGCTCCATACACATACCCCTGTGCTCCTTTTTTAAAAAAGGAGTTAAGGTGTAGTGGTGCACACCTGCAATCTCAACACTCTGGAGGCTGAGACCAGAGGATCCCCGAGAGTTCTAGGCTACACAGGCTATACAGTGAGTTCAAGGCCAGCCTCAACTACAGAGTGAGACCCTGTCCTCAAATAAAAAACTTCCCTCTTATTTCTATACCACAAGAGTATGGTTTGGATTTCAGTGTTCCCTAAAACTCAGGTGCTAAGGGCTTGTGAGGTGATAAGCTTTCTGGAAGTGACCGATCACAAGGATTAATATGTGAATGACCTCATAGCTCGGTGCGCTTACAAGGTGGGACTTGATTGGATGAAGCCGCTCCTGGGGACATGGTTTTGGAAGGTGGATCCTGTCCCAGCTCTTTCCTCACTGGCTTTTTTTGGTACCAGGGATCAAACTCACAACATTGTGCTTGCCAGGAAGGCACTCACACCGCTGAGCTAAATCCCCAGCCCTTTCCTCACTGGCTTAATCTCACTCTGCTTCTTGGCTACCATGAGGGGAAGCAGTTTCCACCACAGTGTGAAAGCCATGGAGCTGGCCAACTACGGACTGAAGCCTCTGAAACCATGAGCCACATACACCTTTTCTCCTTTAAACTTACTTTCTCATTTGAAAGCAGATTAGCACACCTAGGTAATGGTCAGGCAATGGAGAACCAGCATCCGAATGTACCCTCCCCAGCTGTGGGCTGCCTCCCCACCTCCCTCTATGGAAAGCTTCCTCTGATGAATGATTGTGCTATCCAGCACAGGTCGGGCATCCCTAAACCAAAAATCCGACACCTGAAATGCTCCAAAATCCAGAACATTTCGTGTGCTCATGTGACACCACCAAGTGCAGAATCCCACACTTGACCTCCGTGGGCAGCAGTCCGAACACTGGTGCAAGCAAGCAGTCACAAAATTACCTCTGGGCTCTATGTTCCAGGTGCAGATGGGACAAAAGACACTGAGTTTCCACTTAGATCCCATCCCCAGGATGTCTCCTGATGCATGTGCAAATATCCCCAAATCTAAACACATCTCAAACCGGCTTCCAGCCCCAGGCACTTGGAGTAAGGGACCATTGCCAAGTTTCCTTCAGTCCTTCAGAGCCAGCTCCCTGACTGAACAGCTAGTGCCGGCCAACACTGCGGAAGGGTTGTCGCTTATATGACTCCCCTCTGTGGCACCCCAAGTTACTCAGCTCCTCATAAACCGGTTTTTGCTTGTTTTTCCCCGATGGGACCCCGATGGGACTGTCATGCAGCGTTCAGTGAGCCATGGGCCTGAGCCCAGGAGCCTGCTTACCTGTAGAAAGCGATCCATGATGGCCACGCACATGTAGAGCGTTTCCTGCAGGAGCCTGAACTTGGAGTGCACCTGCACCAGCCAGTCCACCAGGATGGCACGCATGCGCCCGTTTATGTCTCTTCCATCCAAGAAACGTGGTCTGATGGATTGCAAGACCTGCGAGGGAGGAGACACCTCAAGAGCTGACCTTGTTTCCCTCCCTCGCTGTGTGGATGGCCCGGCCTCCCAGGCCCCCACCTCTAGCTGCCGCAGGTACTGGTAGATGTCCTTGACGTAGTCGCTGCAGAGCTGGGGGTTCTCCCAGTCCTCAGTATCAATGTCCTCAACTTTGCAGAGCACAGCATCCGAGAAAGCTTGGCAGAGGTTCTCCTCCTTCATGGAGATGTCCTCGGGCGTGGGAGAAGGGCCCTAGGCCAGAAAAGGGAAGCACCAGTCACCCAAGACACTGCAGAGCCTGCTTCGGTCTCATGTGCATGACTTTCTGTCTGCTGCTGCTGGAATGTAAACTCTGGGATCTTCAGTTCACACTCCTATCATCCCAGGATTTAGGGGGCTGAGGCAGGAGAACTGCTGGGAGTTCCCAGACAGCCTGAACTATAGATAGCAAAATCCTATCTTGACAACAGAGAAATGGCAGAACCCTGACCACTGGATAGAGAGTCCCAAAGCTGATCATGCTTTGACAGCAAAAGGCTTTTTCTTCTTCAGTTAACTCTAAATGAGAAATCAGTTACTAAAACACAAAAAAGTATGTCCTGGTCTGTGAATGGAACAGGAGAATGCAAAGACTGAGCATTCCAGGGCCGGTTAATTCATCTCCCAATAATGACGACACGATTGTTCACAGAAATCACTCAACTGAAAACTTTGCAAGATTCAAAGGAGACTTGAATAATAAAGTATAGGTAAGCCATCCCATTGAAGAGTAAAAGGTGATTCTCGAAATAAAACTGAGGCTGTAAAGAATGTACACAGAATAATACAAAAAGAGCTTGTATAATAAAGCACAGTTCCACAGTAACTTACATCATCAGGCTCAATAACAATTTCCAATCTTGGAGAAGGACACAGTAACACAGGGAGATTTAAAAAAAAAGAGATTGTGTATTTTGTCTTTTAAGACATGATCTCCCTGTGTAGCCCAGGCTGGCCTCAAATTCCCAGTCCTCCTGCCTCAGCCTCCCAGCTGCCCCACCTTAAACCAAAGGTCTTACGCAGGCAGAGCCAGGTGAATGCGGGCCAGGCAGGTATGGATGCCATGTACTCAAGACCTTATAAGCTAAACAAGTTGAGGGTTAACTGAGGGCCCCGGTGCATGAAAAGAGCGACCAGGACACTGGGGAGGGCAAAGCCCTGAGCAGGGCAACTAAGCAAAAGGAACTAGAGGAGTCGAGCACTGGAGGGAGCTCCGGAGGGAAGGTACCGTGGGTGGGAGGACTGCACGGGTTGGGGGACAGGAGAGCTGGAAGGGCCCAGGCCCCTGCAGCTCAGATCGTCTCCATGGGAGAAGCCGTGGGACGCAGGACCCAGGCAGCTTCCTAAGCACACATTGCTGCAGTTCATGTACAGCGACACATCAAACTTTCTCTAGCAAGGCAGGCAGTCCAGGAAGTCTGGTTTAGTGTAAGAGTCCCAGGCTTCCTCCTTGTCTCCCACACATCACACACTCTGCATCCAGTTCCAAAGCACCTGTTTAGCCACGTCAGGAGCCACCAGAGTAACACAGATCCTGCTCTGGATCCTGTAGAGTGGCCTGAAAGCCACATCCTGGCTCTACATCCTCACTGTCTGTGCCACCATCTCTCAGGCTTGCCCTCCGGGCCCTGGGGGCAACACGCAGGCCCTCTGCCCACAGGTGCTGTGTGCAGCAGAGCCAAGACGGGCTCATCAACCACCCCAGTCCTACACAGAGGGATGGCTCAGTGGCAGAGCACCTGTCTAGCTTGCACGACGGCACTGCGCACTTCTGAGGGAGCCAAACGAGAAAGAAGCCCCACGCCATCTCACCGGTGGGTATCTCAGAGAGTGCAGGTGTCGAGTGGGTTAACAGTGGCTCCCAAAGGCTAGAGACAGCCGGGAGAGGAACAGGTGGAACTAGTTAGCAAGAAGTGTTCATGTGCAATGCACAAGGACCTGCCTACAGATAATGATACTGCAGGGTGTGTGCCACAGGGCTACAAGAAAGGATTTTGGAACCAAGTGTGGTGTTACATGCCTGTAATCTCAGCACTCAGTAGGCTGAGGCAGGAGGATCACCACTAGAGGCCAGTCTGGGCTACACATGGAAACCCTATTTCAAAAAAATAAAAGGAAGAGGGGTAGTTTTCCACACATTCCCCTACAAAGAATTATTCACAAACTTCTACATGACAGACGTGGTCTGCAAATAAAAATCTTCCAGGGAAAGAAATGGATTTTTGGAACATGGACTGTCAGAGACGAGGGAAAATCCAGAAACCAGAAAGATGTGGGATGTACTGGAAGCTGCGGCCGGCAGGGCGCAAGGCAGCCAGGGTGGGCAGCTCCCAGGGCTCTCACCAGTGGTTCACACCAGCAGGCCAACTCGTGGGTCTTATACGCAGTCCGATTTCCTCATTTATGAGAAACACCTCGAGGGCATCAGGAAGGCTGCTGGGAGCTGTGGTTCTGGTCAGTTTGTGCTCTGTAGCAGTAAGTCTGCACCGCTCACAGCTGCAGATGGGACACTGGGGAGCGGGGACAAGGAACTCTTTTCTGTGTACTCTGTGCTGCTTTGTTGTCACTATGGCTATTTCTTGTGCCATTGAAAATAAAGGTCACTCCTGAGTGTGAACTGTGCTCACTCCCTTTTACACATGCATTGGAGAGACACAGCCATGAGACATCCTCGAACCTAGATGTGGATCATCTGTGACTGCCTGGGGGTGCCCTGGCTGTACCCCACCTCTGTGAGGCTGTGGGATGACACATGCTGGCCCCTTTGTGACCACTGCCTCAGACACCATGGAGAGTCCAGGCTGGAGGAGAGACAGGCAGGGATTCGTGTCAACCTGTGGTCCTCTTTTTCACACATGTGATCAGGGCGTTTGCTAGGAAAGCAGCTGGAAACTTGGGCACTCAACAGGCATTTGCAGGACAGTAACAAGTCTGCAAACAGCCTAGGAGATGGAGCCCAGGCCTCTCCAGGAGGCACAGGGGCTCCCAGCCCAGCGGTGGGGGGGGGGGGGGCTCACAGAAAGTAAGGCCTGAGTGATCTCCTCGCCATGGAATTCTTAAGCAAATTTGACTGGATTGGGAAAAACAGTTCATTATTCCTCAGTAACGAAGTGACCTTTACTGAGGACAGAACTCTAGGCCTGTCATGGTTTTTGTTTTGAGACAGGGTCTCTCTATGTAGCCCAGGCTGGCCTCAAACTCATGGTGATCCTCTTGCCTCAATGTCCCTAGTGCTAGGATTACAGGTGGGCACCAGTACACCTGGCTAGGTCCATCACGTTTTATTCTGAAACACCATTACCTGAAATTTATCAAGTAGCCATAGACAAAAAGAGTTATCCAAGGATATGGCACAAAGGGAACCCAGAAAGGGTAGTTACAAAGATCACAAAGAAACAGCTTTTCACCAGGTGTGGTGGTTTACAGCTATAATCCCAGCACTGGGGGACTGAGGCAGAAGGATCACTGTGAGTTTGAGAGCAGCCAGGGCTACAAAGTGAGCTCAAAACCAGCCTAGCATAGCAAGACCCTGTCTCAAAAGACAAAAAAAAAAAAGACGTTTTTCCTGTCTTTCCCTTTCATACTTCCTTGGTTCTTCTCTCTCCCTCCTTCCACTCTCTCCCTTCTTTTGCAACACGGGATTGAATCCAAGAAGCATGGACTATATCCCTAATTTGCGTTTCTCTTGTTTGGGGTTTGTTTTGTGGCAGGGCCTAAATTGGCTGGCGCGGCCTCCTGAGGAGCAGAGATTACAGCTGTGTACCAACACGCCTGATGCCTTTTTTCTATTTTTTTTTTTAACCAACCGTGCTTTCCCTTTTTCTGAACAATTATATATGAAAGTTTGGGAGTTCTAAGAAAATTAAAGCCAATCCTAAGTCCAACGTAAAAGTAAAAAATAAATCATCAATGTTTTACATGGAAATGCATGTATAAGAGCAAAGCTGGTCTTTCACTGGTATAAACTACGCAGCCACTCGATTGATTTTCCCCATTGAACACTGTCAGCATTTTGACATTTATGGTTGTACAGTCTTTTATGAAATGTATTCAACTGATCTCCTAATATAGGAGTCTGTACCCTAAAATACACATTTAATAGGGTACTATCTAAAATACATCACCATGTCTACTTCTGCAGGGTCCAGCAACCCCTAGCCAAGGCCGGAAGGCCTCCAGGCTGTCTGGAAATGGCCTGGGGAATCTGGTATTGCAGCAGCCAGGTCTGCTCCAGGGAGGCTGGTCCTAGCGGCTGTCCTGAGAGCGTGGATTGAAGCCCCTGTCCCTCTAGTCTCACGCATACCACTGCACTTCCAGTCCTGAGCCTGGGTGGCTGCTGGGGTCTGTCCCTTGCACAGGGGCCCAGGGCTCGCTGCTGATTGCATCTCTAGGTGCAATGTGTCCCCTGTTGCTGCAGTGAGCCCAAAGCCAAGCAGGGCACTGTCATTTTCCAGACTCACTGCCCCCTCCTGACTTCCTACTTTTTTTAATGTATTAGGTAACAGCTGAATATAGGAGTGCTTATGGTTCTCATTGTTATCTAAGCGAAGGTTCCAGAGTGTTCCTTCTCTACATGGACATGTCCCCAGTGCGCTCTGTGGTGCATAGGAACAGGGAGTGTCTCAGTGCCCAGGGGCGCTCCAGGCTAACGCCAAGTCCTCCCCACCTGCTGGACCACCGTGACACCTCCTAACACTGCTTTCATCACCTCTCCCCTCCTTCACGCGTTTCGGCTTCCCCGAGGTCTAACAGGATAAACTCCAAACACCAAGATGTTCAAGCCCAGAACAGCCCTGACACAGCTCAGATTTGCGGGTTCCCTGACCAAAGGATATAACAAGCACTGGGGCGCTTTGATTTCTGTTGCTGTTGCATTGATCACAGAAAGGTACCATCTTCCATCAGTGTCTCCCTACCCTCACAAATCACCACTTAGAGGTGAGGCGTCTCTGCCCTCCCCTGCACCATGCCCGCTCTCCTGGCATCCAGTCATACGTGCCCAGGGTTAACCAGTGTCCCACTCTAGGACTAGCTGCTCACTACTGAGCAGCACACTCCTCTTTCTGGATAAGGCTCCTGCCATGGCTGGGTAGGCATAGTGAGCATTCACTATGGAGAATACGGCCAATGTTTTATGTTGAAATACTTCAAACACGCTGTACAACAACATATGTTTTGATCTTGAGAGTGTAAAGGAATTATTGTGCTTATATTGGGCTATTTTAATTAAATTCCTGTTGAGATCACTAGATGTATATAGATATTAAGGTAATTAACTCTATTATTTGAGGTCTAACACTAAGGTACTGAACAGAAAAGGCGTATATATTCATTTCTTGCACCACTGCTTCCAGCTGGGAATATTCTTCCAAAGTCACTGCGCGGATAAAGGCATCCTTGTGATCTAGTTAAGACCAGGCTCCTCCGGGACACACTTGTAAATTCAGCGCTGCCTACCTTCGGAGCTAGCATTTCCATCTGGACCGGTTTCACCGAAGCAGTTGGTTTCAGTTGTTTGCTAACATTTGTTGCTTTGGTGGGTTGAACTGGAGCTCTGGTGTTCTGAGCCTTCTACAAGGAAAGAGAAACTCGGACAGGTGAGACAGCCAGCCCTATCTCCCTGAGCAATGCTACATCTGTCCCAGGCAACATCCAGCCTCCCGACTGTTACCTTAGCAATTTGGCCTCCTCTGGTAGTGACTCTGTTTCCAATTTCTTCTAAAACTGTACGCCTAATAGTCACCTGACTCTTAGCTTTAGAATTAACTCCGGTGTCAATATTCTGCAAATCACTGGACACCTAAAAAACAAAGTTGATAAAGCAGTAAAGTGACTGAAAATATCTAATCCCAGCTACTCAAATTTAGAATTGTTTTGGGAGCCAGGTATAAACCCAGTACTTGGGAGGCTGAGGCAGGAGGATTGCCATGACGTCAAGGCCAGCCTAGGCTACATAACAAGAACTTATTTTAAAAAAATTTTTAAAAAAAGGAAAGGGAGGTGGGAGGTCAGGGGAGAACTGCTTTGGGAAAAGTGAATATGCTGAGATCTATTTGCAAAAAAGAAAAGTCCTATTTTAGGGAGCCCACATGCTGCTTAGAATTAATAGCACTGCACTTAAATCAGGCAAATCGCCCATCCATCTTACCTATAATATATTCTCCAACCAACCTTGCAAAACTATTTTGAGCCTTTCAGTGGACTTTCCTTTAAGAGAACTTGAATCTTCATAAATAAATGATTACTTCTCATGTTACTAGTTAGAAATCCCTGTAGGTTAGTCATTTAGTTAAAAACCTTCTTTTATAGAGATTAATAACAAGGATATTAAAAATGTAAAACTTGGGGCTGGGGATTTAGCTCAGCGGCATAAGCGCCTGCCTTGCAAGCAGGCAGTCGTGAGTTCGATCCCTGGTACCGATAAAAACAAAAAAAAGACTAAAAAAGTAAAACTTAAAAGCTGTAACATCCATAGTTAACAATACCCATTTGTTTGAAAACTTGAAGTTGATTTTTTAATTTTTTTGGATACAAGGAATCAAACTCAGGACTTTGTACTTGCCAGACAGGCACTTATGCGAATTACATCCCTCAACCCAAAACCTGATGCTTAAAACCTAAACTGATTTTATTATTCATTCTAAAAATAAGAAGTGCTTTTGCAGAGATGGTTTTTTACAAATACAACTTTAAAAAATGAACTTGAAAAAGCCGAGTGTGGTGGCACACATCTTTAATCCCAGCACTTGGGAGCCTGAGGCAGGAGTATCATTGTGAGTTCAAATCCAGCCTGTGCTATATAGTGAGTTCAATTGCATCCTGAACTACATACCAAGACCCTGCCTTCAAATAAAGCAAAACTAATTAGTTTTTAAATTATGGTACTCGTTAGTTGATCTTGGTACAAAAGAATATGAGTGGCGAATGCATATATTCAGTATTTAAGGTTAGAGTGTAAAACTCATACTGTTCAATTTTTCCACTTATCAACTGCTAGTTTTAAAAAGGGTCTGAAAGCTCAGTGCTAATGGGTTGAAGCCTGGTCATGTGACCAAATTTAAACTCATCTGGAAAGGAAAAGTGGCAGCTTTTAACTATCTGTACAGCCAGGACAATGGAATTCAGCTGTGTCCCGAAAAGTAAATCCAGGTAAGAGTTAAGTCCACAGGTACAGTACCAAAACTCCAGTACCACTTCGACCTTACAAAGATAGATTAATTTGGATCCTTTTCTCTCGGTCTTCTCATTGGTCCAAGTACAGGCTTTGGGCTAGGGAAATTAGTTTTGCGAGGACGCAATGCAAAACGTGGCAGAGGCCAAAACAGCCAGACTGTTAGCTGATGGCACACGCGGAACACCTGGCAGCCAACCGAACCCGCTCCGGTCCTCGCCTCCCTGGCCCAAGGCCCTCGGCCGGCGGGGAGTAGCGGGGAGGAAAGGGAAGGAAAAAGAAGAGAAGGGAAGGAAATCCCGCCGAGGCCCCTACTGTTCCCCAACCAGGACCAGCCAGGGATCAGGGAACGGCCCTGCGGTGGACCCTGGCTAGGGAGAACAGGCCGGCCACTCACCGCCGGGCGTCGGAGCAGAGCCATGAGGGACGGGACGCGGGGCCGCGGCCAGGGCCGGGGCCGGGCCGGGCGAGGGACCGCTGGCTCCGCGGCGGCTTCAGCTGCTCTCCGGCCTCCCGGCTGGGTCTGCAGTGACCGCTACGGTTCCGGGATTCAAATGCCGCGCCACTCGCGACCCATTAGGCTGACGCACGCCAGGCGCGCGCTCCTCATAGGCCGCTCGAGATGTCCTCCGCACGCTGACTGGCTGGCCGCCTTTGGCCCTGGTTGGCTGTCGAAACAACCAGTCGGAGCAGTTTTTCTTCTTCTACCCGTAAGTAAACAAAACTGAGCCGTCTCATTGGGAGAGGCTCCTCCGACTTTTGACAACCCCACACTGTCCAGTCTTCCCCACGTTCGCAGCTATGGACAGAAGACGGGCGTGCTTCCTGATAAGGTTCCTGTAAGCTCGTCGTTGTATACTCTGCATTGCGCGTCAGGGTTAAAATCCGTGGAATAAGTGACCCGAACACATGTTTAAGATTTTAAAGTGACCGACACGGTGTGGCCAAATCTTTAGCAGCACGGTGGGAGAATGAAATCTAACGTGCACAGAATTAAGGATGCCCTGGAAAAGAGAAGGCGATGAAGACCCAGACGGACAAGCGGGATTGAGATTTTAGTGTAGTGGTAGAATGCATGTGCGTGGCCTTAGCTTCACTGCCCTTCAGAATCAAAACAAAATGTAAGAAAAAGGAAGGCCTGATGCAGGCTGTCTCCGTGGCAGGGCTCCCTGGGGGAATTCCAGCAGGCGGCGCTGTCCGCTCTGGGCAGTGAGCTCACTGCTGTTTCTCAGGGAACAGTGGGACTTCAATGACTGCATTAAATGCCCCCATCATGCAGCCTAGAGGCCCCAGAAATTTCTAGTCTACTAGAAGGTGGCAGGAGGAGCTTCTCATGTTCCCTACACTGGCAGCTCTTTATTTTTCTCAGGTCTTCAACAGATGAGGCCCACCCACATAAGGAGGCCAATCTGCTCTTCCTGATTTGTTGTGATTTGTTTTTTTTCAAAGCAGCTTGCTGTGGTAGCTCACGCTGGTCTCGAACTTGCTGCAATCCTCCTGCCTCAGCCTCTCAAGTGCTAGCAATACAGGCATCTGCCACCGCTGCCTGGCTGTTTTGTTTTGAGACCAGGTCTTGCTATGTTGTTTAGGCCAAGATTCAAACCCCTGAAATTGAGCCATCCTCGGGCCTCTGCTTCACAACTAGGAGAGATTACATGTATTCACCATTGCAGCTGGGTGATTTCCATCTGAATTTCACCTAGACATAGCCTCACACAGTACCCAATGTCTGGTACCCCATGACCCAGTCAAGCAGGCCCATCACAATGCAAGTCACAGTGACCACTTACCAGGATTCAGACAGTGCAGACAGAATTCCTAAATTACAGAAACAGATGACATGAGCCAGGGATACAGCTCAGCTGCACAGCACCTGCCTGACAAGCAAGAGGACCTGAGTTTCACTCCCTGTCAGCCTGTTTGCCACTACAGTTTTATCCTCTTGGTTTCTCATTAAGAGTCTCATTTTAAAAATCACAGCATATTCGTTGGGATTTTCAGTCATTTCTGTATTCTGAGTTTTCATCAACGCTGTCCTGACAGATCTTTGGAAGGGGAAAACTGAGGGTGTTTGCCATAGCCATTGGACGTCTCCTGAGGGCATAAGCAAACATGACTGTGAGCTACAGAGCCATGACTTGGTTGGGATGCAGGCCCACAGACCAGGTATCAGGAGCAGGCACTCAGCAGAGGGGCAGGAGTCAGTTTCCCAGCGTGCCTGGCCTGGTTGCACCTCTTCCACAGCAGGATCTGCTCCTCCTATCAGGGCAAGCTGTAGTGACCTCCCTCCAACGGGAAGTGGTGGGAGGAAACACTGCAACACCACAAGGTCACCAAAGGCACTGCAGTTGCCTATTGGCTGGTCACTATGAGAAGTGGCCACCCAATCATGAAGATATTCCAGCAGCCAGAGGAATGGCCTAAGCAGCATTGTGGCAAGGAGGCTGCCTGTGCCCAGCCTCGTGACAGCCACCCAGAAGCAGGCTGTCCAAGCCTTCAGAGGACTGCCGCCCCAAATGTAGCCCACTCTGAGATGTGTCCTGGACCCATGGAAACTGCCTCGGCTGCTGTTTCAGCACAGTGCATTGGAGAATCAATGCCCATGTGCAGAGCTTGCCTAGGATCCCCCGTACGTCCTGGAAACAGCCACCTTCAGCAGAACTGACTCAGCGATCTCACAATGAAAACCAGACTGAGTATGGCTAATTTGTTTCTGCGTGATGGCAGAGGGCTCGGAGTGGAAATGGGAGAAACAAAGGCTCCTTCAGGAAACCTATGGCTCCCACGTGCAGCTACCACACAGAGCGATGGCTTGGGAATGTGTGCTTAACCCCTCACTGTACCCTGCACAAGTGTTTTAGCAGGGAGAGAAGACAACAGGGGGTGAGAAAGCGTTCGGAATCTGCCACCTCCACAGAAAAATATGGCTAAGAGAGTCACCTCCTCTTGCATCGCCATCACTGGCACAGACTGTACCTTAGCAGCAAGCACGTGTGAGCGCAGACCCAGGGCACACTCTCTCTCCTCAAAAGTGTCAGAACTGGGGTGAAGGGGGCTCCATCCTGTGCATCCTGTGTGTGAAGTGCTTTATGGTCACGAGCTTGTTCACTACTAACAGCAACACTAAAAGCTAGCTTTCATTGCTATTTCTTTTTTTCTGTTTTTGAGACGAGGTCTCGCTATGCACCTCTGGCTGGTCTCGAACTTCCATCGATCCTCCCACCTCAGCCTCCCGGATGCTGGGATTACAGGTGTGAGCCACCACACAGTTTCATTGCTATTTCATAGATGAGAATTTTCAAGCTCAAAAGCTTAACAGCTGGGTGAGGTAGTGCATGTCTGATATCCTAACATGTGGGAAACTGAGGCAGGGAATTCAAAGATAAACTACAGTGTCAAGGCCAGCCTGAACTGCAGAGCAAGACCCTGTGTCAGAAAACAAAAGCAAATAAAAAACACCCAAATAAACCCATGTTTTTTTAAAAAATTCGAACTCACACAACTCAAGGCCCAAATCTAACTCCGTAAGTATCTTATTTCCATTATTCCAAAAAGTCGTATGTACTGTGGATCAAATGCTGCACATGCAAAGCAAGCACTCTATCATTGAGCTACAACCGAAGTCTTTAAATACAATTCTTGTTTTGTTTCATTGAGACAGGGTCTCACTATCCAGTTCAGATTGACCTTGAGCTCACTTTGGAGTCAGGCTGGTCTCGAACTCATAATGATCCCAAGTCCTGGGATTACAGGCATGCACCGCCACACCCAGCCTTGAATATAATTCTTAATCCCTGAAAATGATAGAAATATGTAATAGTGCCTAAGTTTAACTTTGATATTTCCACTACTGTAATATGAAGCTTTCAAAAAACAAAAAAATTTGTATTCTGAGATTAAATTAGAAGATGGGTTTTCTACAGAGTACATTTTCCTATTCACGAATCAGTAATAATGAAATGTCCACAAAAGTTCTGCAAGACCCTGTCTCAAACACAAACACACACACACAAAGTCAGTGTTTAAACTAGTTATAAATAATTTTTAAGTAGAATTAGTTTTGTTTCTGTCAGTTGTTATGGTTCAAATGCTGAAGAATAGTAGCAGCAAAAACTGAATCATGAGAGTAAGAAAAAAGTTTCCAATACTAGTCTTCACTTGTATATTAAATAAGGGTCCACTGATTAAAAAAGTCTTAAAATCTGGAGAACTTGCTTTATGTGGCGGTGCATGGAAGCTGAGGCAGGAGGAGCACTGCAAATTCTATGTCAGCCTGCACTACACAGCAAGACCACCCTGTCTCAAAAAACCAAAAGGTCTGGGAAACTTTTGCTGAAATGCACATTGTGACACAAGACACAGACAATGTGAGATGTAAGACAACAAGACAAAGCACACAAAGGGACACTGGCCAAAAACATTTCCTTTCTTACTCGGTGGATCACAGGCACGTTCTTTCTGTAATTAACAGCAGTAACGTCACAGGTTCCTGTATTAATAATTCATATTTATGCTGCAAATGTTTGCTTTAAATAAAAGTTATAAAGTAGATAAAAGCTTTACCTACACTAAAAAAAAAAAAAAAAATCACTATCAAGTATAAAGTAAGTCAAAAAACTGTCAGGCACCTAAATCTCAGATCACACATCAGTCCCTTGGCAGACACACACACACACTGGCACTCAAAGGGGGACAGTCTACTTTCCTAACCCCGCCCCATAAAATGGAAGACCTACATGATTCTCTCTTACAGCTCCTCGACCTGCTACAACTGAAGCCTGGTTATCAAGTATACTTCTTTTTCTCTTTTTGTAGTACTAGATTACTGACCCCAGAGATTCAATTCACGTATATATGGGCAAGCACTCTAGCACTGAGCTCTATACCCCCAGCACTTGTAAAATTTTGTTTTGCTAAATTACCCAAACTGGCCAAAAACTTGATATCCTCCTGTCCCAGCCTCCCAAGTAGCTGGGTTTATAGGCAAGTGCCACCATTCTAGCTCAAATATGCTTTTAAAAATGTGATTTTATTCAATCCCTGATACCAAAAAGAAAAAAGTGATTTCATATTCCAATTTCTTAATCCATCCCATAATCCATCCTAGATCTGTAACATATTAAAGTATATTGATACAATTACTACAGTATAACAGTTACTAACATAAAAAGCATAACTCATTGAATATAAACACATTTCGCAAATACCTTTCAATGAGATCTATTTTTTAATTCCAAGATGTTTAATGTAAATTATTTTATAAAAACTAATTAGGAAACACAAAGACAATAGAAATATAAGTTATTTATTTAATCAATCCACTTACAAAGCAGGTGGCTTAATGCAAGCTTATTGACAGACACCCCACACCTAATCCATGGGACATATCTTCCACATACAGGCAGTGATCTACTGACTGGATGCATCCGCAATCTGGAGCACATTAAGCATATTTAACCAATAAAATTAGGCATCCTGTATATGAAAGTATCTCGCTAATAGGCATCCTGAAGTGGATTAAAACTTCCTCCAAAGGAGAAATGTTAGTATGTTAACTTAATTTTATACTCTATATTATGCAGTATATCTTAACTATAGAAA